AGAGAACATTAAAGAGAGTCAGACTCCAACTCTATGCAGATTTACCCACGATAACCATTTTTTGTTGGAGTGGAAAAAAGACGAAAATTTTTGAAAAATTTGCGTTTTTCGCTCATGGAATTCTCTCTCTGAAAAACAGCCCAAGGCCGCCGAAAAACTTTGTTTGGAATATGCAAAAATATGGCTGGTTCCTGGAAAAGAGAGGAAGAAATGAGAGTTGATGTACTTCGAGGAGTAGTACGGTATTGAATTACAATAGAGGGGTGGAAGAACAATTGATGCCCTCGAGGGGAAAGTTGGATTCCAGAGATAATGCAACTTAACAGAGAGTTTACGCCGATAAGTCCATAAATGGATAAGATTGCAAAGTGGTACAGTAGAATTTCCCTTCAACGAACCGCAAGCGACAGAAAATGGTTCGTTAAAAGAAGCTTTATTTTTACGGAGGTTCATTTTAGCCTAAAATTGCCTCTTGGGACCTCTGTAATCGTTTCCTACAGACAATTGTTGTTATACGGAACTTTGCCCTAAAATTTTGTAAAATTCCTCAAAAGTTAAGGTGTTAATTTGTGCCAAGTTTCATCAAAAATTGAGCTTCGCATTGTACGACCACTTGCCACAAAGACTTCAATAAATAATATTTTAGTCATCCAAATTACGGTACCCCAGACTATCCACGAAGCCTTTTAGGATCGAAAACTTTCCAAATAATTGTCTACTCTTTCAGCATTTGAAATATGAAAAACATAAACATAAAACACTCAAAAACACCCCTCAACCTGCCAACCCATGACTTTTGACTTCATAAATTTAAAAGGGTACCCTAGGCCTTTCGCGCACTCACTTTCAATAACTACTTCCTCAAATTCTTTATGCAAAAAAACGAAGAGGAGCTCCGAAAGATAACGATCAGCCAACTCCTTCGAAAACCCTCAAAAAAACTTGATCGCGCGAAATTCGTGACTCCAAAAACCTTGAAATGGCAATTGGGGAAGAAATCTGCATAAAAAAGGGAGGGAATATGAACGGCTTTGGCGGCGCATTGATTTGCATACCGATGGAATGGGAGAAGGAGATGGCTTCACATCGGGGGCTCCGGAAGATTTATCCTGACGTGTTTGGGAAAAAAATCGAAAAAGGTGGGAATTTTCGGTTGCGCAAGAGTCGGTCCGCTGGAGGAGCTGCAATTTACATAGTAAACATTAGGAAAGGAACTCGAAATTTTTGGTGAAATAGTCTTGATTCCAAACAATAAGGGCGAAATTCTTATTGTCTGTCTATTTAATACAAACATATAAGAGTTTTCCAGCCAAATTTGACAAGTTTCGGCCAAAAAAAACATTTTCTCTCTGACCGTCTCTCCTAATTTTTTATTGTCTCTCGTCTGAAAAGATGGCGTTTTGCTTGAGTCCAAATTTTTGATAATAGGTTTATGGCTTAGAAAATGATTTCCATAAAATCCGTAGACTTTTTTCTGCTATGCACAGTGCATTTTATGCTTCTATTTGCAGTGAATTTTGACCAATTTCTTCGAAAACCATTGAATTGTTGCGAAAAAACTAATCTATACAGTAGGAAGTCTGATACTATACAGTAAGAAGTCTGCCAAAGCTTCAACGAATCAGTCACCGCGACCCTAAAATTTGATCCCCAACCAGTCCATCCACCCCAAAACCCTGAAACATTCAAAACTCCCTTCAAATCATCATATCATCCCCCTCTCCCCAACCATTACTTTGAAAGACCAGTAAGAGTAATAACAACTTCCACCGGAAAATCATAGGCGCAAAAAACGAGAGAGCCCTCCATTTTTAATTTTTTCCACCGAATATACAAAAATGCGCATTATAATTGAAGCGCATATTTCCAACCTGCGGTGGGGTCGGGTCCCGCCACAAAAGGGTTGCCCCCGGCTCCCTCATCGCCTCTATTAGAGTCGTCGTCGCAGCCAGCCAGAAAATGGATGCGGTAATAACCATATTTGGGTACATTGAAATAAATGCAAAACTTTGGAAAGGAAAGGAATGGAGGTGGAAACGAGAATAAAGTAGTTGGTCGTGTGCGGCAGTCGGAGCTGTAAAATGGTAATTGGATGGTAAAATACGCAACGTGTTTCGCAGTCTTTGAATTAGCGCCAACAGGCTTCCCGTAAAATTGCCTCAGGTGCCTACACGGTTGTATTAACGTCTTCGTTTTTACCGTTAAGATTTTTAAGTCGTTGCAAAAAACTTGACATTTTTAGAATCTTTCTTTCTTGAAAGCTATGACAGTTCAGAAGTAAGAAAACTTTATAATAAAAATAACGTCAGTATGGCAAAAACGTTGTTCTATGATGATCTTTCATCATTTTCTTACAGCCTGCAAAAAACATTGAATATGTCGGCTGGCATTGGAAGAAAGTCAGCCAAAATTTTCAGTATTTTATACTAGGCTTACATAAATAATGAAAACATTAGAACTGGCTTTATGCTTTTTTCCGACATAAGATGTAGAAATGTAAAAAAAGATTGCTATTGTCAACGCTAAAGATTAAAGATATTCAAATTAAAGTTGAAGTAAAAAATGAAGTAATGAAAACTCAAAAACAGATAATATTTTTTGCCGTATCCAATATTCGAATAAAAAATCAATTAATTAAACTTTTCTTAAAGCTGATTTTCTCCTCGCCAAAAACGCCCCCACATATGGCAAAACGATGACAAAGCCCACCCACAAAATGCTGATCGGTCCTCCATTCAAAACATCAGAATCCCCAAAACAGTTCCGCCAGACCAAAACATCAGCCCCCACTTATTTTAATTTTTTTGCGCGGTCTCTTTTTTTCGGTCCGAGGAAATGAAAATTTTCGAAAAAAACTCGCCACAAAATATTCAAAAAAAAGTGCTCGCCCAGCCATTTAATCGCACCTGCGGCAGGTCGAGAGGCGAGAGGAAACAAAAAAGATTGCATAATTCGGGGAGGGTGGTGAGGCGCGAGAAAAAAGGTTGTCAAAACCCGAGAAATGCGGACAAAATTTAAATTCGGAGCCTTTGGTGATTGATGCAAGGGCGACGAAGAAGGTCGTCGACGAAGAAATTCCCGGTTTGATCAGCAATTTGAATGGGCTTCTGGGCTCGGCGACAAAATTTGCATTGTAAAAGACATGTGATTTGCTCGAATTGACTTTCGAAGCACATGAGCGAAGAAAGTTCAAATAGAATTCGTTTTGTGACATCAATAACATAAAAGTTCCGATTTCTTATATTTTCAAATTTATGGCGATTTTTTAATTTGAATATTCAAATTTTTAAATGTCATTTGAGCAATTTTTATTTCTGAATTTTTGATCAAGATTTTCCGATTGTTGAAATTTTAAATAATTTTCAAATTTGATTATGCAAATTTTTGAACATAATTTGATTTTTCAACTTTATGGTTAATTTTTGCGTCTGATTACTTTTCAATTCTAGTGTTTCTTTTCAAAATTTTTTGTTCAAATAAATTATTTGAAATTGCCCTCCAAAAAATTGAATAAACACTCAAAATTTTTGCATAATTTCCTCCGATCATTTCCCCAACACTTCCCCGAAAAATTGGAATAATTTTTCGAAAGAAAAATGGTAAACTGAAGGGCCTGCAGGTCGTACAAGACTTCCTTTGAGAGCGAAAATTATTCCAATATTTCTTTTCAAATTTCGAAAATTATTCAATCACACCTTTGGGTAAACAAAAGCCGAGAGTAACCTTGAAACGATCGACTTCATTACTCTTCATTTTTTGGTTGAAAGTTGAGACGGAAGGTCGTAATCGAGCATTTGAATAATGGGCTGCGACATTTGTTGTAACAAAGGCTAAGTAGATTTGAAATATAATTTTACGGCTTGAAATGAAGAAAACAAATGGAAAATTTTTATTTATCATTGGCAATTCTAATCCGTATTTTACATGCAAAAATTTTTTGTATATTACCTCAAAAAAAATTAAAATACGACAAGATTTCTTCCGCTCAGAATTTTTTTCAATTCCACTCAAACAGAACGGCCTTTCACCAAGTGTGAAAATAGTCAAGTGGTAGTTCGTTCGTTTTTCATTCGAAAAGACGCGGGTTCGAATCCCTTCGCTTGCCAAAAGCGCCGTTTCGGGCTTTCCAATGCAAGTTGCGGTCGTCGGTCAAAGCAAGAGCACTGTGAGGCTTGGGTGTGGGGCAGAATGTTCGATGTGTGACCCCCTCAATCTGCTATCAAACATTTTGCCAATTTCTGGCTTTGAAATCGTATGAAATAACAGTTTAGCAATGTAAATTTTAATATTACATAAAGAAAACGAAATTTTGAGATGTCCTTCCTCAAGACAATCCTGATCAAACTTGGCCAACAATTTTCATTTGCAAAAACAAACGGGATTTTCAGCTTGCAACTCCGAAAAAAATATCTCTAGTTTGTTTTTTACTGCCGAAGGTGTACTCTCTAAATGAGTGAGCGAGAGGTTGACAAAGCTAATACAATTCGAAGCTATGAGCTAACCAGTAACTTTGCCAGTTGAGACTAACCAGTAGTCCCCTCGCTGTAAAAATTATCTTACGAAATGACACAAGAAATATTCAAAGACCTGCATAGACAAGAAAAGCACATCGATCAACTCCCTTGCAAGCAAAGCCCTCTTTGTCGTTGAAATATTCCTTCCTTGTCTATATCAGACCAATGTAAGATTATATATCTGTGCCTTATTTTCTTGGGAAGTGGGTACCAAACAAGAGTTGGCTCTGTTGTGTGCCTTGGTCCTCAGGGGTTTTAATGGGCGTGCCTCTTTCTCTTCACCATGAAATAATCGTTAAGACAAAGAAAATTATAATGAAACCTAATTTTTTTGGAGAGCAAGAACTATAGATTCTTTGCGTTTTATAAAGTCATCGATAACGTTGCCATTTAGAGTATTAATTTACTATCTCATGACAAATGACCATTTCTAATCTAAACTTCCTTTCTTTACTATTGCTGGTAGCAGCTTGCTTAGGCCTTGAAATGAAGTATCATCAAGGGCCTAAAATACGCTCAAAATTTTATAGAACGAGCGCCAATGTTATCCTTGATTATTCTTCAAAATCTTATGTTAGCCTAATTTCTTTGGGAACTCCAGGCCAAGAAATAATTGTAGCTTTGGATACGTTGACTTCAGCTCTTTGGGTCCCAGATCTTTCTTGTTCAAAAAGCGGTAAGCCCATCAGATTTTGGCTGAAAAAATTATTAATTTATGCTTTCAGATGGCTCATGTAAACACAAAAATGTTTTCGATCAAACAAAATCAAAGACCTTTCAAGAAGGTAAGCTTGGGAAAAACGTGCTGCAAGTGTGGCGGTCAGGCTGCAGTGAAACTTGACCTTTATTGTATCTTTCGAACTTGGCCATTACACATGCAATATTTTTGGGTTGCTTTTTAAAAAGATTGCCGCATTTCTAGGGTCTATGCAGTTGGAAATTAAGCTTGTTGATTTTGAGGGCAAAACGATCCAAGTAACTTACAGCCATCATTTCCAGGCTCCGGTGAATCCATTCCAATTCCATTTTTGGACAGTGAGATTGCGGCAACGTTTGTCTACGACGTCTTCCGATTAGGCCAGGTCAATCAAAATGACGTCACACAAAATTACTTACAATTTGGACTGGTCAGAGAGTTCAATGAAGCCTATCAAAGCTTCGGTTATGATGGAGTATTTGGTCTTGGGATTGGCGGCGATAGATCCATTTCCCCAATAATGCAATTGTTCGACAATGGAGTCATAAAAGCGCCAATCGTGTCGGTTTATCAGAGTAACACTGGTCCTGACAATGAGGAATATCCGAACGGCGTGTTGACGCTTGGACAATACGATTTAAAGAGATGCAGAGCTGTGAGAAAATATATAGATGTGGACGAAAAGAACGGGTGGGTGTTTCCAGTTGCGTCGTTCAATGTGATAAGTCATTTTGGAAGTGGGAATAACCAATGGAAGGTAAAGAATGCTTACAGGGAAAGTGTTTAGTCGAGCATGATTTTTTCTTTTTGGAAAATTGCCCGAGTTATTTACTGTTTAGAATAGGATGACATATAAAACAATATCCTTTTTTATGCTGGCAAGATCTTCATCAAACCAAAATCTTCCTTTGAAAAATTAACTTTCAGGGTGTGTTCGATCTCTCATCCGACTATATCCACATACCGTCTACAGCCATCAATATCCTTTTAAAAAAATTGGAGGCATCTCAGGATAAAGATGGCAAATTTTTTGTTGATTGCCAAAAAAGTGTTCCTCTTATTTTCAATCTCCATGGACACATCCTCACTATTAACAGCAGTGAAATCTACGAACAACGAAGTAATTCGAAATGCTTGATCAAGATGAGACAGACGAGAAAAACAGATCAGTACGACTTCCGATTTGGCCAGCCATTATTAGCAAAATACTGCGTGGTCTTTGACTATAATCGCAGAATTGCATTTCCCATTAAAAAAGTTTAAGGGATACTTACTTTTTGTGTGAATAAAAATATTATAACAATTTTGATTTTTTTTTTATTTTTAGAAAAGATTTTTTCAAAAAATCTCAAATTTTTGTAATGGGTAATATAAAGTTCATGGTAAAGCGTGTCTGAAACCCTCTAACTGTTGTTTTTAATACTTAAAAAACCAAGTAATGACCTTGAATTAGAATATAGTAACTCCAATTACTGCAACAATCACGTCATTGCAACATTATGCCAAGACGTTCAACAATGGCGGGCAACATCCATATTTGAATTTCAAATCCTTCAAAAAATTGACGATTGCTATCCAAAACTCTATAAATGTCAACCATAACACTTTTACGACCATAAAAATTCGTTTACTACACCTATTTTGTTACCCAATCTTCCCTCCAAATCTTTCGTATAAAATGTCACCCTCAATTTCTGCGAACCCAAGCTTTTGTAACAAGGAGGAGAATAATGCGGCAGGCGGAGGGCAGAAGAAATATTCGTTTCGACGGCGTTTTTTCGAGGATTTCAAGGTCAGAGAATACCAATTACAAGATATTGCCCATAAACTTACTTGTTTTGCAAAAATTTTAATTGTTTTTTCTCTGATCCGAGAACGCTGATAACCTCCATTGTTTTTGGAAGCCAACAGAGGAATGTCATGGAGATTAATGGCGAGGGGATTTGAGGGTTTAGTAAATTTAGATTTCAAATTTGGCTTTTACCTTTGGAAATATTTACAGACCCTTCTTTCGGTGGGTTAAATTGCGGTTTTTGGCGTTGAACTTACATTTCTTTTTAAAAATGATGATTTTTCGATTTTTTTCATTATGAAACCAATTTTCCAACAACAACAAACCAATTACTTTTGGAGTTTAAGCCTCTGAAGACGTGTTCTATTGACTGTCAACAGAATCTTGTCGTTTTTTCTCATAAAAGTACCTTTTTTTTATTAAATTATCCATGGCGTTAGCCCTCAATAAGATTTTTTTTTTCATTTCCCGGATTTGCCAACTTCCCTTTGTTGACTATATATTTTATGTCTTGTCACGCATTATAAACTACGTTTTATCTCAATCCGGGGCCATATTAAGAGCACAAACGTGTTCTACACCCCTTTTATGGCCTAAACAAAAACCCTTATTTTGCTTTTCTTTACCTTACAATTTACCACTTCCCTTTCTAATAAAAATACCCGTCATCCATTCGCAAACATCACGGCAAACAAAAGGAACATCAAATTTTAATAAAAGAATGCCCTGAGGGCGAAAAGAGTTTTATCGTTTCGAAGGTGTTCCGGGGCGGACAAATTTTATTTTTCGGGATTTGGGGACCCGCTGATTGAAGCGGAGAAGCGAGGAATTCCTCTCGGGCCCTCTTGGCCACAGGTAAAGAGACCGGGGACCTTTGCAGATTTCTCTTCGAAAGACATTTCCCTTTCGTCCCCGACCAGGATGTATAATATAACTTTCTTTAGCGATCTTGTAATTGGGACCGGGGTTAAGCGTGAAGAACTTTTGCAGGAACGCTAAAAATAGGGCATGCTAGGCTTTGAAAGCGAAATTTTTGGTTTTTGGAAAAAAAAAGTTTTTGAAATTTTTACCTTGGTCCCCCCTGTTCTTTCATTTTTGTGATGTGTAATATAAATTGATCTCATTTTCTTAGCTTTGAAATAGATATAAAGAGGTCAATCACTCTGCGGACAAGAAGTCTAACGAAAGTAAGATATTGGGGACTAATAAACATCCCAATGTCCTATTAAAAAATTTTCAATATTACACTTGGCCGTCTTTTACCTCGTTTTCAACTCTAATTTTCTCCCTCCCCTATGAAGACACTCTCTCTATTCTCTAGCCCAAGAATCAGGTCTCCTCGGGTGATTAAACATGTAATGGAGACGGGAACCCCGGGGATTAGCGCGTCCACACCCAAGATTAGCGCAAGGTTGATCTTGAAGTTATAGGGTTCAGTTCGACCTCCGACTCTCTTTAGTCTCGGGTTCATGTTGCTTCTTATTTTTGACGACTTACAAATGCTTTGTACTATCAAAATTGTCAACTTCCGGATGCATCCAGGGATACTGCGGTCACTTTTTTTCAAAATGGTTTTTAGCCTACTGTAATTGTAAATGGATTTTTGATGTTTTACTAAGAATGGAATGCTAAAATAAGGACACAAAGAACTATAGAATCTTTTATACCGCAGAGTCAACAATTTTTACCATTCTGTTTTGTCTTTTTCCTACCCGAAAAAACTTGATGTAGCCCAAAAAACTCAAAAAATCCTATAGTATTTATTCCTTCAAAAGTTGGTTTTTCTCGTAAATTTGACTTCTCGAACTCCCAACCATCAAATAACACCTACTTTTGGCCTATTTTTAGCAGATTTTATATTCACCATGATGGCACCAGAAAAAGTTCTGATGGGTAATATCGGCGGTCCCTCCACTTGCTCCGAACTCGGATCTCATGGATAATATCGCAGAGACTCCTCGCTTTCTTTCTCTCCCCATCTTCCTCTTCTCGTTTCCATGGGATTTCTCTCGCCATTTTTTTTATTTTTTCTGATTTTTTTATTCCGAAGATTTTTTTGAGTGAATTATGATAGAAAGGTGTTGATTTTCTGGTGATCCGAGTGACGCCGAGGATCCCCAAGGATCTCAGAAGGGATTCAAAGCCGTTCCGAGTGATTTAGCTTTGATTCGAGCAGTTTTTCTTCTGTTTTCTATCAACAATTGAATGGAGAATATAATTTTAGGTATTTTTTATAGCATTTTCGAGGAGATTTGCGATTTGGAGGGTTGAAGCAATATTTTACCGTTGTTTTGACATTCTTACGACCTGTTCTCCGAGGAAAAACAATTTCATTACTTTTCGTAAAAATTTATATTATCCATGAGGTTTTGATCAAAAAGGCTAGAATTTTAATATAAATAATATTCATTCTGCGAATTTGAAATGATTATCAGGACACCCGAACTCCTAATCAATCACTTCTATCTATTTTTGCAGTTTGCCCTCTCATTTTCTAATATTATACATGATCCTTTAGGTAAACAGAAAACCAATATGATCAACTGGATGTTAATTAAGATTTTGGGAAGTCGTTCATAGCCAAGCATGCTCTCTAATCCCCATTTTGTAGGACAAAGCGTAACCTTATTGTTTCTACTTATCATATTTTAGTTTTCACATCGAGATCAAGGTAATTCAGCTGATTTATGACTGATTTCCAGCTGAATCATGTGATGGCCGATTTGAAGCAGGCTATAATTAGTGGTGGCTAATTTATTTCCACGATTTTTGGGGGAAAACTCACTGTTCCGACACCAAGCGCATAGTGTAACATAATTTTTCTTGTTTTTCCGCGAGCGCTTTGTATATTTTGGATACAAAGTGTTTGTAAATCTTTATGAAGAGATTCTGATCTGCTCTTTCGGAAGGTTTCACTATTTTTGGTTGTTTTTATGATGGATAATATTATTCGCGATTTGACTCTAGATCGAAATAATTTTTGATATATTTCAGATAGCTAGAACGACTCGAAAACTGCAGGAATCAGTCGATCCGACCAAACTCTCGACGGGATTGGCCATGGCCCACTTGTCCGCGACTCCGCGTCGCTTCGGCCCTCAACAACTGAACACTAGGTGGGTTGTTTTTTGAGATTTTGTGTTTCTCGATGTAGGCAAGAAGAGTGCGAATCAGAGGTGACGTTCATGACTTCCAAGTTTGATGTTGTTGTTATTTATGATGTCTTTTTTCGGGGCCAGCCCAAGCCCCCTGAGGACTTGCGCCCCGAAAAGCCACATAAATTTGAAGAAGCCGCGGCGGCGCTGATAACGTCACACAACCTCCCCGGAACGTCTTTTAATTATAAATTGGCGGGGATGTCAAGAACTACGAGCAACGAGGCTAAATGCCATCAACTATGTCATGGATAATATAATGAAAAGCAAATTGAGGGGATTAGGATCGGTCTAGTGAACAGGGCTTGATCCGCCCGTCAAGGAAACGGAATGTCAAGGACCGCCAAATGGATAGGATGTGTCTCCGGGGACCTTCGGGCCAAGAATGGAAGAGTTTTTTCGACCCACAAAAAGAGTTATTTCTTTACATTTCCGGGGGCAAAACGCCCGTTGATCGTCTTATCAGAACGGAAATATGACTGGGCACTTCATGGAGACGAGTTTTTATCATAAATTCGCCATTTTTAGCGACTTCTAGAAAAAATTTTTTTTTGGAATTTTCGATTTTTTATTTTCTTCCAAAAAATCCTTTGGCGCCAAAGAACAGCTTCGAATTTGGCTACGAAATGGTCATTTGTGAGGGCGTGAAGGGGTTTGCGGGGGGAAGAGCATCGGTTTGAACTGGGAAAGTTCGCAAAAATCCGCTTATAACTGCACGATTTTCGCTCCCACGAATTTTACGCATAAGAAAGTCAAAAACCAAATCCCCAAACACATTGTCAACTCGAAACGTTGGGATTTATGCTACGAACACATAAAAAGTTTGTTTTTCGATGAGTTTTCAAGTTATCAAACGCGAGGGAGTCAAAATTTGTTGACTTTCCAGGAATTGCTTTGTTTTTCGAGGAAAAATCTCGAAAAAAGCAATTTTCCCTAAGGAGAAATCTCCGCTGCAATAAATGATAATCGAGTTACGGACATTTCGGGACTTATGAAACACATATTTCCCATTAATTTGGACCATCTTGTGCTATCGGCCGCCAATTTCCGTTTTTCGGCGGAAACCCCCGTCTTAATCAAATCTCGCTCTTTTATTGAACCCCGCGGGCCTTGGAGTTCAATAAAGGAACGAACAACAAGCTTGCCGCAGCGCCCAGCGCACTCTATTTGATGTGTTACGCATCGGTATTGCACATGGTATCTAAAGTAATAATCCCAGATTTGAAGATGAATAAGAAGGTTTAGGGGGTGGATGGTCCGGAAAAGTCAGCTTTTGTGTGTTATTTGACAGATGGAGTGGGTGTGTAATGTTAGATCTATTTATGAGATATGCAGTGGCGGACCTGATCCAGTGGCAAACACGTACCATTTTGCATCCGGGAAGCATCAAAAATGTGGCAAAATGCTTCCCTCTCCTAGTGAAAAATTCCGATTTCAAAAGCGCACCCGATCTTTTTGTGAGGGAAAGGGCGCCATTCAAAAAGAAGTTTTTTCACTTGGAGAGGGAAGCATTTTGCCACATTTTTGATGTTTCCCGGATGAAAATGGTACGTTTTTTGCCACTGGATCAGGTCCCCCACTGTATCTTATGAGTAGGCCTAACATTACCCACCCACTCCATCCACCAAATAACACACAAAGGCTGACTTTTCCGGACCATCCACCCCCTAAACCTTCTTATTCATCCTCAAATCTCGGATTATTACTTTAGATACCATGTGCAATACCGATGCGTCACTGTACTAGTAATTGGTAGTTGCAAACAACTTGTAATTTATGACGTTTTTGCGTAAATCTTGCCGAATTACTTGTGAAGTAGAGATAATTGCCCATTCAACGTCTTGCCCTTGCAATACGGTGCCAAATTACCTTCATTTGCATCTACTTTCATCGAGTTTTGCGGGGTTCTTTTATGTGTTCTTGCTTAAATAAGGTCCCAAGGCTACAGTGTCGGCAATTTATCGTCAATTTGACGATAAATACTTTATAAGAAGCAATTTTAATGTATGAAATGGCTATAGCCACATTTTTCAGCCAGTCAATCATGGGTGCGGCCGTCCCGAACGAAGTCGCCTACATCGCGATCAAGTACAATTTTAACTGGACCGAGAACTCGTTCCAACAGGACATCACGTCGTTGGCACGCCTGATCCGACAGGAAATCAATCGGGAAATGCGGATGAAGGAAGGATGTGTCAATATGGTGGTATGTCAACGGGGGATTTTGAGTTTTTTTTTTAAATATTGTAGTAGACGTTTTATATAAAAATTGTATTTTTTTATGAAAATTGATGTTTAGTTGGAGGAAACTTATTAAAAGAAGTGAATTTGAGATATTTTGAAGTAGATTTTAAAACTTTCCGGCTAATTTTTAAATTTTTACATCAAATTTTACATTTTTTCTTTAGAAAGCCGTCATTGATCGCCGGACCACCGATTACATCAAAGACGACATTGAACGCATCACCGGCAAGATCGATGACATGCTTCAGGATCTCAGCGCCCTCTCTGTATATACTTGTGGTAAGTTTGAACTCAATTTTTGTATCAATTTACATAAAATAAGGTCAAGTATAATATAATTTTAATTTTTAGTAGAAGAAGACCAAAAACCGGAAGGCCAGGACACGAATGATGAGAATTCGGAAGGCACCAAGAAGGATGATGGCGCTCCGAACTTGTCTGCACTTTATTCGAGGCTAAACGCCCTGAAGAAAGAGCTGGACAAAGAATTGAAGGTGAAAGAAGGTCTGGATCGGATGATGGCCGCACATGCATCGAGTAAAAACACTATTAATAGCATTCAAACCAGGTCGAGTGACCTAATTGATGATAATCGGGCCAAAATTGCTTCATTGAGAATGCAAATTGACCGAATCGACATGATGCTCAAGTCCAGAAAGAACAGTGATTCGGGTAAGAAGGTCTTTGAAGAACTTTTTATCGGAGTAAGGTTTGGTTTGTTGGACTACCAGCACCATCTAGAGTAAAAATTTTTATTAAAATTTAGTCTAGTTTTGATTATTATTATTTTTTGTATTATACTTGGCAAAAATGCTGATTTTTTTCCAATTTCAGAAGACACAACCATAAACTCGATTGATTTCCTGATCCAAGACCTCCTCTACCGTCTTTACAGAGAGATTGCCCTCGCCGACGGAGCCAAAAACATGCTGCGAACACTAAGCGAAATGAAGAAACAAGACCCCAGAACCAAAAAAGACGCCACGGATACTCGAGATCAAGCTCACGAAAAAATAAATCTCATCAAATTGGCTTTAGACAAATATACGTGAGTATTTTTAGTGTTTTGGAGAAGTTTAGGCACCTCGGTCAAGGATAATATAATGTTGGAAGCCAATTTTAGTAACCGTCTCCCTCAAGACTCTCCAAAACGAAATTCGGTCTGTCGAGATATCGATGACATCCAAAGACCAACTAGTTTCCCTCCCCTCAGTGTCTCCGAACGATTCTCACCCCCATCTTCAAGCAGTCATCTCAGAACCATGAGCGATGTAAGTTAATATAATTTTTTTTGTGATCCGGAGTTTAGGATTCGTCTCCAGTGTCCCAGAAGAGCCTCCACAGCACACCAAGCCAATCGAACGTGAATTTTGAGAGAAGATGCCCAGTCGCACCACCTCTTTTGGCCGTCAGTGGAAAGTTGGAAATCAAGTAAGTCAAGAAGAAGATTTGATGGGTTTGGACGGAAAACTAAAGATTTTTGGGAGGAAAGTGGTGTTGGAAGACAGTTTATGGAGTTATTTTTCAGACTAATGGGATGCAAAGACCTCATGACTGATGGCATGCTCAGACCATCCAATGTTTTCTCAAACGGCCATGGTGAAGGTAGCAGATCTGCGAGAAAAATGTCAAGGCAACAAAGGTGAGACATTTTTTGAGTTTTTTTTTTGGTTGTGCAGGCGGATTAGGAACGTATTTAGTCTTAAAGCTCTAAAAAATAACTTTTGGATGTGGTTTTTGGATAAAATTGTTTTTCACTTGGAGAGGAGGTATTTTGCCACATTTTTTGATGCTTCCTGGATCCAAAGTGGTAGATTTTTTGCCACTGGATCAGGTCCACCACTGTAGCATTCGAAAAAATTCAAATTTTCTGAAAATTCGTTGTCCAAAAGTTGCATCAAGGAGCTGAAACTTGTACACTAGTCTTTTACCGATGTCTTGCCGTCTTCTGACCTCTTCTTCTTTCCCATCCCGTCCAGTCCGCCTGTTTGCACTAACTGCCTTACCGTTCTTACCGCTAGCCATCAAAACAAACTCGGCCAAGACGAGGTGTTCGCCACTCTGCGCCTCGACAACCGCGTCGTCGCCACCACGGAAGCCCGACCGGTCCGCGAGAACTGCTGGAATCAGACGTTTGACCTGGAATTGGATCGGACCAAGGAACTGGAAATCGAAGTTTACTACAGGGAAAGCCGGAGCATGTGCGCGTTCCTGGTCCTCAGACTCGGGGAATACATCGAGCCGGGTCTACACAAGAAAACCTTTGAGCTAGAGCCACGAGGACAGCTGATTTGTGAGGTAAGTTATATTGTAGTAAGTGGCTGAAGGAATTTTGCGAAATTTTACTGAATTTTGGGATTTTCATGTCCCGGATATACGTTTATTTTAGTATTTAATGTATCCCCTGACATTATACATCAAATTCTGGGTATAGGCTTTGTATTTGCATCAGTAGAACCAAGAAAAACACGTCCCGAAACTGCGGGTATTTAGGGGTTAAAAGTGGAATTTCGAGTAAATTACAGCCTTACATGAGTGTTTATGGTTGTTGATTGTGGCAAAGAAATGTTAATTGCGGTGTACTTTGGGAGTTTGAAAGGAAAAAATGGCGTTTATTTACTGCCTTCATTTACGAAATGAGCGATTTTTGTAAACTTTGGGATTTTAAATTTTGATCTTTTATTGCCAGATGGGAAGGGATTTTTAGACTCGTCTTATGGGATGATAATAGTGGTTTGTTTTCAGCTCCGCTATTTGGACCCCATCGAAGGCCGCAAACCGAAACTGGAACGCCAAAAACGCCTGTTCCACGTGAAGGAACGGCGGGAAATGTCGAATATGAAGAAATTGCTGGGCACCACCGCCTGGTTCCGCCTCCTCAAGAGCGGCTCCAACAACTCGGCGGTCCGCGAGCCCACGGTCAGCCCATATTACTATCCAGGTAGGCCCGAATTCGGAGTTTTCATGTTATCCATGGTGTAATTGCGCGTGAACAGACGTTTTTTTTGTGGACTTTTACCCCTCTTTTCCTCATCCGAATTCAAGATCTGGTCTTGTTTGCCTGCCCTCTAATCGGATTTTTGGCTTTGTATCCAGGGAAATTGGAAAAAGTATGGAAATTTTTGTGTTTTTTATGTAAGTTATGATGTTTTTTTTGCAACGAAATACGAGCCCGAGTTTATTTTTAAACGGAAATGGGAAGCGGATATGTTCCCGCTATCGTTTCCGGCGGATCCTTCGAAATTCAAACGTTCGGCCGTTCATTCGGCCGCTCCCAAAAAAGGTCAACAAACGTTGCAAAGAGTAAAGTCTAGGTAGAATAACGATGGGAGAGGACGGGAACAGGTTCTTCCGAGGGTTTACTGTTTACAATTTTTTGATTCGGAAACGTTTTATACGATAAATTTGATTTTTTCGGGATTCTTTGTTGATTTTAGGGTTTCACGTCGTCTATATCGTAAATCCCAGTCCTTCTAAGAGTCTCTCAACCAAGATTAAGAGCTGTCTAAACTTAGTTTGCCCTTAGAACACAGGAATTTTCTTTAGGTACGTCTTTTTTCCGGCTTTGTTGATATTGTCCATGACGAAGTCAAAGATTTTGAAACCAATTGGCCCATTTTGAGGGCTCTGATGGTATCTCTGTCTTTTATTCACTCGCGAATTTCCCCAGATGTCGTAACGTGGTGTTGGGTGTTTGCAGTCTCGTCGTCCTCGTCGTATGGTGGTAGCAAATACGGACAGCGCTACGAACCGGTCAGCGGCCAACGACCGCTGGCCGGCATGGCCATGAGTCAGTCCGTGTATGGGTCATTGGGTGGTTCCGTTCACGCCTCTAGTCCTCCTTCAGCTTTCACGTCGCCGCCGCTCCCGCCCAGCAAGTACAAGTCGGTGGGTTTGGAGGAGCTCAAGGTGAGTCAAGTGTAATATAATTTTGACAAAAAAAAATTATTTTTTTATGATCCACTTAATATTTTTGGTCTAGTTTAACAGATATTACTTTATTTTTTGTTTTGAAATTTTAAAAAAGCTTCAAATTTTGAAATTTGACGAAGTGTCACAAAAAATCAATAGTGACATTTCGTATGTCGTATTATTTTTTCGCTCGTTTTACAAGTTTTTTGCTTTCCAGGCTTCACTTCCCGCTACACGGCGACAATCAAGCCCTAATGTACATCGACTGGTCGAAACCGAAGCCCAAAATGCACCAAGGACCACACAACGACATGCTTCATTGGTACCTCATAAAGAGCAACAAGTAACACAAGATCAATTCAAAATGATCTCAGTACTCGGACGAGGGCACTTTGGAAAGGTTAGTTTGAGTTTGATTTCTTTTTTGGATTGTAGGATAAATGGAAGATGAAGATGTTCATGGTGAATACAAGTTTTGTTGAAATGCGAGGAAACTTTTTGAAAATGAAGATTAGAGGGAGAAAAGATGTTTAGTGTTCAAATATCCGTATTTTACAACCCAAAATTATTTATGGTATTTTTTAGGTAATTCTTTGCCAACACAAGTTGAACCAGAAGCATTATGCCCTGAAAATCCTGAAAAAGGGAGATATCCTGGCCAGAGAAGAAGTCGAATCCTTGATGGTAGAGAAGAGAATCTTCGAAGTCGCCTCTCGCCACAAGCACCCGTTCCTGGTCAATCTTTTCGCGTGTTTCCAGACCCCCGAACACGTATTTTTCGTAATGGAATACTCGATGGGCGGAGATTTGATGAGGCATATCCACGATGAGATCTTCAGCGAAGAGCGTGCCTGCTTCTACGCGGCCTGTGTTTTGTTGGGACTCGAATTTCTGCACAAGAATAATATCATCTATCGGGACCTGAAGTTGGATAATTTGCTTTTGGACAACGACGGATACGTGAAATTGGCTGACTTTGGCCTTTGCAAGGAGGGAATGGGCCCAACGGACAAGACCTCTACGTTCTGTGGAACTCCCGAGTTTTTGGCTCCAGAAGTTTTGACCGAAAGCAGTTATACCAGAGCCATCGATTGGTGGGGACTCGGAGTTTTGATCTTCGAAATGCTTGTGGGAGAGGTAAGAGAAATTTTGGAGAGCTAGAGAGATATTAGCTGATTTTTTGAGGCATTTTAGAAGAGTTTTTTTTGTCTGATTTTTATTTAATTTTAGCCCCCATTCTCTGGTGACGATGAAGAAGAAATCTTTGATTCGATTGTCAGCGATGATGTCAGATATCCACGCTCGATCTCGTTGCACTCAGTCACTATTATGCGAAGGGTAATAACTGCTTTGAGACTGTTTTTTTACATTGTTTTAGTTTTTTGTTACTTAAAATTAAATTTTTTTAGTTGCTCCGTAAAAATCCGGAAAAACGAATTGGCTACGGAGAACATGATGCGAGAGAAGTGAAAATGCAAACTTGGTTTGAGGTAAGAATGATTTTTTTATAGTACTTGGTGTTTTAAGTACCAGTATATATTCTTTTGATTTTTAGGACTTCCACAACAAATGGGACGATTTGCTCCGGAAGAAGATCAGACCCAGCTTTGTTCCAACGATTGTAAGTGTTTTTGATTTTTTTTTTTTCTATTTTTAGGTAATAATGGAAAAAATGTTTGGGTCTTATCTTTGATTTTGCAGAAAAATCCGGAAGACGTCTCAAACTTTGATGAAGAATTCACCCGAGAGAACCCACGCCTCAGTCCGGCCCGTGATCCGCGCCCAATCACTGAATCGGATCAGCTCCAATTCCGCGGCTTCGACTTCTCCAGCCTCGATCTTCAGTCAAACGGCCATTAAATTAAAGTGCAGTTGAGAGAATGGCCAGTTTTTTCGATGGAAAAGATGACAAAGGATGTGAAATTGATTAGTTTTGGGTCTAATTATGTTGTCTGCTTTATCTGGGAATATTGTTTTAGGCCATTTTGTGTTGATACCAAAAATCTCTAATTATGGTAAAGTTTTGGTAAGATACGGGGAAAACTGACATGTTTAAGGAGACTTGAGCAGTATGGAGCTTGTTTTTAGACGAATTTTAAAATATTTGAAGTTTTGAAGAAGTATTTTACCAAAGTTTTAGTTAATTTTATTTTTTTGCCCCATCTCTGCGCCTTATCCCCATCAAACTTTAACCCCCCTCTCTCTCTCCTTGAGTTGATTCTGCAGTAATTGTAACCTCCAATTACTGGGCATTCAAAACAGTTTTCGCATTGGTCCCTTGAAAAGAGTCCCGGGTTGTTTCACTTTATTTCTCTTCTGTTTTTGTAAACTTTTCTTGTCTCTATATTGTAATAAATCTTAACTTAACCTCAGATAAATTGTAAATCAGCGATCGGAGAAGTGGTTTGCGGAAATTTGTTGGAAACAGAAGAATATTTGAGACGGTCATGTTGTAGTAGCGAGAATTGATGGTATTTGTCGAATTTTTGGGTTGAAGGTGTGCAAAAGGGGTTAAAAAGAATAGTAGATGACTGTAGTCGATCTTTTTGGGAAGAAATTGCGATTGTAACTTCAGAATTTTGCACTAGATTCGATTTTTACAGATGCCAGACAAAAATGAGGATGCCGAGAACCCGGAAATCAAAAATAAGAAGAAAGAAAAGGTTAGTTTGTGCTAATTAATGGCAAACAGATTTTTCAGAGCTGTTGTGAATCTTGGAAGCCGGTTTTATAAAAATTTTTGTCATATTTTATGTTATAGTAGACACCTTATTTTTGGTCGTGTTAAACTCAAATAAAATAATTTTTTTAGCTTTTCCGACTTGATCCAGCCTTCCCGGTCACCGCCATGTCCACATTTTTGACGTGCGGCATCACTCAGATGTTTATTTATGGAATTACGGGCAGAGCGAGATTAGCTGCGTAAGTATAACGTAATTTTTAGCCGAAAAGGCTAATAAAAAGGTCTTTTCTGATGTCTAAAACGAATATTGCTGTAGATTATGCTCTATAATAACATTTCCCATCTCCTTTACCATGGGAATAATGGATGCGGAACAGGATTTCATCAAATGGAAAAAGACGAAAGCCCTCCGGGAAAAGGGAATCGACCCACGTTTCATGCCTTACAAAGTCAAATACGACTGGACCAACTACGAAGACAAGATGTACATCAGTCCCGAGAGGGTCAAGCTTGATGATTGATCTCCGAAATAACTTTTTTGTCGTTCTTGTTGTAGTATATGAAATTTAGGATTTGGTTTTATTTTCATGGAATGAATGGCTAAAATACGGAGTGGTTTACAGATAAATGATTAAAAAAGCCTAATAAGTACATAAAATTTAGTGATCGAAAGTTCTAATGGGTTTCAGCGCTCAGAGCCATGTTATCCGATGAAAGCTGTCCGATGCTAGGGCGCGGCCTGCGGCTGATTGACAGTATAAAAAAAGGTAATTGTTGGCCCAATTAACAACCACCAGCAGCTTTCAATAAACTTGAGCTACTCACGTAGGATTTTACGCAATGAATGCCATTTTATACGACGAAATGTGTCTTTGCTTAGGGCGCAGTCTGCGAGGCTTGGAAGTGGCAATTTTAGAATCAATTTAAAGGTCACGGAAGTGTATCCGTGTTTTAAACACAAGCAATATCCCAAACCACGTTTATCAAGGTCATATTACTACATAAAATTAGGTACATCCGTTTCCAACGGAAGGCATCTTGAACATCCAACCGTGTCTTACGATCCGATTTTTTACGGTGTTTTCTCCTCTTTGGGCCTTGTCAAAAGCCCCATAAATCTTGCAGGTGTTGGAATTACAATCCCTAACTGTGTAAGGGAACAAAAAAAAGAAATAGGAAATGTGACGTAACTACCAGAGAAAACGACCGGTTTTTCACCAACAAGGTCAAGGTTGAGGGATCGGATCAAAGACATTGTAAAAAGCAAGAAAGCTATTTTTTGTTTTGTAAAGAGCACCATGAAGGGAGACGCGTGGGTGACAAAGAAGATCGACTTTTAATTGAAGGCGAGCTTCTGGAAAACACGTAAAAATTGGGAGAAAACGATACCATGGAAGGGAAAAAGAGGTTGTAAAATACGATATACCGCATGGGAAATTTCAACAGACGCTTAAAAAAATCAAGATGGCTCTTTATTAAAACGTTATGTTTAATTGTATTACAAAGTTGTCATAGGTAATATATATGGCTTGTTTCTTATAAAGATAGGTTTTCCAGGAGGCTTTGCATGCGGTATTTTTCTTCTAGTCCGATTCTGATTACCGTCTTTCGTTTTTTGGAGTCGTATTCGAAGATAAAACACAATGCCAAAAATGGCGGGAAAATCGAAATTCAAAATTTTTATGACTTCAATTGTCAAAAAATATTTCCGCTGAATGATTTAAATGCTGGAAAGTAAAAACAACGAAAAAATTTCAGTTCTACACCTGAAAGATCTAATAATTTATATTGCACTAGGTATAAGTCATCACTTTTCCAATTTCCCATTGCTCCCTCCTAATTATGCCCTTAGTTCCCACTTGCCTTCAAATCCCTGTAGCGCTCGTGATATTGCTTTCCCTCCAGTTTAATCGTATGTTTGATCGTATTTTCCGTCTCCAAATAACCGCTGACTCCTCAACAAATCCACAGGAGACGGCTCAAAAACACAAAGAAAACGACAGTCGAGAACAATCAGGAGCACCCATGACGCATGTCTAATTGCTCACAGCAAGACGAAAATGTTTCCTCGGAAAAAAAATACCGACAACTTTGAGAAGGAAGTAAAAACTGAATAAATTACAGCGAGTTTTTGAAACTTTGGAGGAAATTTTTTATGTCAAAAAAGGCGAAATCAAAGATATTTGCAATAATCAGCATAAAGAATCATTGGATTTCTGAAGACATTAGATGCATAGCTTCAAAAAAAAAAGTTTTTTGATTGTAAATATGAGGAAGGATTTACGGAGTTAACATTTTAGCAAAGATGATACGAAGTTTGAATTCGTGTTCTTGAAATCAGCCTGAAGCCAAAAAAAATTACAGTGGGGGACCTGATCCAGTGGCAAAACACGTACCATTTTGCATCCGGGAAGTTTCAAAAATGTGGCAAAGTGAAAAAACTTTGTTTTGAAGGGCGCGCCATTTCCCTCACAAAAACAGCAGCCCCACTGTCAATTCTACGAACTTTTGACTTAAAAATCTTGGTGGTTTCTGCAAAGCGTATGCTGAAGATCTCGTAAGACTCTTACTTAGAGAATCGTAAACTTATTTTGTCCTTAGATTCATCATAGTTCCACCTAGAACTCTGTCTTTATCAGGGTAATTTTTGGTTGCCAATCTTGTATATCCCATTTCTACAGACTTATTTTTGCATTGCATTTGACCCCTTGATAATCATTTCTCTTGAGCTCCTCAATTTGCAAATTGATTTTTTTTTCGCTACAAAACCGGCAACAAACACCGCCTCCACCTCCCTCCTTTTCCGGGTGCTGACATAACCGAGAAGCGTCGGCGGTAAACGCAACGATCCGCATTCGAAACGCAGCGGACTGTTTCATTAGCCCGGTTAACGTCATTAAGTCCTCCGAAGAAGCGGAGCCCTCCCCTCCAGCAACTCTTCCTCCCCGAAAGATCCGGTCCGTATAAATAGGGATGGGGAAGGTGGGAGTCGCGAACATGGGTTACGCAAAGCTGGAGGAAGAGGCGTTGCGTTCGGAAGCCGAAGGCATCCGCACCGTCGCCTTCCTGGGCGTCGTCATCTCGACAATCGCGACGTTGGGATGCGTGATTACCGTGCCCATGGTCTACAATCACATGCAACATATGCAGTCGGTCATGCAGAGCGAGGTCGAGTTCTGTCGGGCCCGCTCGATGAATGTGTGGAAGGAAGTGACCAGGACACAGGTAAGAGGAGATGGGATTTTTTTTGATAATGATAGATGTTTTGGGGATTTTGGGATTTTTTAGGGATTAAGATTTTATTTTTTCAAAAAAAACTTTGCTTTCATTTTGGTGAAACTTGGTTTGCAAAAGACGTTTTTTCGTGCGTAATTTACTTTGGGCTCAATTTGAAAAATGAGTTTTTGTCAAAATTTTTCACACCCACAACGGAAGATACCTCGGGTTTTCATCCCAAAACCATGTATAAGAAATGTGCAATATTGGGCAGCTTTCGACCTAAAGAATTCGGTGGTTTATGCAAAGCACGAGTCAAAAATGTCTAACAACTTTTCGAAAGTTTTAGATTTAATTTATGCCATGTTCCATAAAAATTTCTTGATTTTAAGTTAAAGTTTTCTTTCCGTAAAGAAAAGACTACATACTTAATCCATCGTATTTTACCCCCAACCTTCTCCTCTAAATCCTCTCCAAATCCTTGCAGGTCCTCAGTAAAGTGCAGCCCCGTCTTCCTCGTCAAGCTGGCTATTCCTCAGACATGGCTGTGATGGGTCCTCCCACCACCACTTGCTGTGGCTGTGGAGTTAGTCCAGCGGGTCCACCGGGCCCACCAGGACCAGATGGAAATCCCGGGGATGATGGGCAGCCGGGGACCCCTGGAATGCCCGGCTCGGATGGCCCTCCGCCGATTCCGGCGGCAGCTCCGGAGTGGTGCTTTGACTGCCCGACTGGTCCACCGGGACCGGTTGGAAACTCAGGTAAATGAAAAATAATATCTATCTCTAGATAATAACTATTTGTGGTGGTAAAATAATTTGAATGTAAAAATATGCAGTGATTTCTCATTTTCAGGCCCTCCCGGCCCTACCGGCAACGCTGGCGCCCCGGGAATGCCCGGTCCAGATGGAACCCCCGGCCCTCCTGGAGCTCCCGGAGGGCCTGGAAAGATTGGAGAGCCCGGACAAGCCGGTCCCGCCGGCCCACCAGGACCCCCGGGACAACTCAGAGAAATCCCCGGCCAAGTGGGCCCACCCGGACCGGCTGGTCCACCCGGCGTACCCGGGCCAAATGGCCCGCCCGGAGGCGATGGACAGCCTGGAGATGCGGGACCAATGGGACCGATCGGAGAAGCCGGAGGAAGCGGACCGCCTGGAGTGCCTGGGGATCAAGGAGGACCCGGCCCGGCGGGACTACCGGGCCCACAAGGAGGATGCAATCATTGCCCGCCACCAAGAACCGCGCCGGGATATTGAGCATGGTCAAGATGGGAAATTTATTGTTTATAATAAAGATTGTGCAGTAAAAAGATGGACTGAAAAATATGACTAAAATTGGGCATTATAATTTCTGTCAAAATGGAAAAAAAGATGACATTTTTTATGGAATTTTCAAATAACCTCGCATTTGAATTTTTCTTGGAAAAGTTTATAAAATTTATGCAAATTTTATGCGAAATTACAAAATCAGAAATTCAAAAATTTGGATCCGAAAAAATTATTCTCAATTTTCCTCATAAAAATCGGTCAACTTTCTCCATCATGTCGCAACAAGCCAGTCCCGCTCGCAGTCCAAACCCACTCCCGAAAAAGGCGCCGAAACCGAAACAGGAGCGTGGAAGTGTCGAAGAGGATTCGAGTACAAGCTCCCGGGAAGAGGACAGCGATGAGAGTGGAGATGACTCGGAACGACCAGTGGCCGACCAAGAAGTTGTTCAAAACGATCTCCTGGACTCGCTGATTATCCGGTTGATGAAAGCGTCGGCCAAAACGGAGCCGAAGAGGAAGGGAGCCAAGAAAATGGCCGCTTTGATTGAGGTGCAATTGGAGCTGGAAGAGCTCAAAGAATTGATCATATTGGCAATCAAGAGCTTTGAAAAGCAAAAGAGTTTGCTGAGAATTGAAGAGTGAGTCAGATTTTATGGGAATTTTTGTGAAATTAGGGCGATTTTTTGATTTTTTCGATGAAAAATGAGGATCTAAAAGTATCCAATTTGATAAAATTTGGCGTCAAAGTTGTCGAGAATTCATCGAATATCTCTGCAAAGACTGCACCTAGAAACTACTCCTAGAAGCCTTAATTTGAATTTTTTTCAGGGACACGCTCCCTTTGATCATTTGCGCTGACATCCATGGCCAATTTGCCGATCTCCGCAACATTTTTCTCCGCTGTGGCCCTCCTCACATACAATCTTATCTGTTTTTGGGTAAGAAAATTGTAGAATTTTCATTACTGCTAATAATATTTAAAAATTAAAAAATCTTTTTTAATGAAAAACTATCAGATTTTGATTGTAAAATACGTTAGTTGAAAAAATGTGTTTTAAATTTGTTCTTTAACCAATTTTTTCCCCAAAAAATTTGATGACTTTAGGTGACTACGTGGATCGAGGAGTTCAAGGGATCGAAGTGATCACTCTGTTACTCGCCTTGAAGATAAAATACCCAACGAAAGTTTTTATGTTGAGAGGAAATCATGAGGACGCCAATACGTGTGCTTCTTACGGGTTCTATGATGAATGTGTTAATCGGTTTATGAGCAAAGACAACAAGGTTGGCGAGGATGTAAGTTGGATTTTTGGGTAAAATACGGTGAATAAAAGGTTATCAACCACTCTTTGATTGGTTAAAAGAAGGCATTCAGAGATTTCTACAGAGGTTTGGGGCATATTGAAATTTGAAATTCAAAATTCCCGCCAATTTTGGCATTCTGTTCTGAGCCTTGATATTGCCGGGAAATTTTGTCAATCTGTCAAAATTTGATTTTTAAAATGGTTGTCTAAATTATTTTTAAGTTTTTTACTAAAACTAAGGTATTTTGAAACAAAGATTTTGTTATTCATGTCCAATTTACCGATCACTCTTTAGCTCTAAAATTATTATAATTTTTACGATGTGACATTTTAATGTTTCACTTTTGACTTGCAATTTTCAGTTATGGCAGCGTTTTGTCGGAGTTTTCAATTGGATTCCGTTGGCGGCCTTGGTGAATAAGAAGATTTTGTGTATGCACGGTGGGATTTCCCCGGGTCTGGAGAGTCTACAGTCCATTGCGGATGTAAGTACTTGCTACTGCTTTTGTCGCAAGACTTCAAAATTTTGTTGGATCGCTTTTGCGGTTTTTGAAAGTTATCATGGATCACTTTTGATACTTTTTGATGTTTTTTGCTATCAGTTAAAAAAAGTGATTATTCGGGGTTTTAGATCAAACGTCCAGCCATTATCCCTCCCTATGGATTGATGTGTGATCTGGTTTGGGCCGATCCGGAAGAGAAGTTGGAAGGATGGGCCATGAATTCCCGCGGAATCTCCCTCAGTTTCTCCGATGAGGTGGTCGAGAAACTCTGCAAACGCCTTGGAGTAGACTTGATTGTCAGAGGGCATCAGCTCACAAAGGAAATGACCAAAAGTGGGCATAGATTCTTCTTCCGAGGCCGACTTTTGACCATTTTCTCGGCTCCCAATTATTTGAATATGAGAAACTCGGCGTGTGTGCTGAAGGTATCAAAAAATGTAAGTAAAAGTTTTAAGTAGAAGATTTCTACAGCCATTGCAATGGGTTCAACTTTAGAATTTCAAAATTCCCGCCGTTTTTGGCATTGTGTTTTAGTTGCCGCTAGAGGCCTAAAACATAGATTTATAATCAAATCAAGCCTCCTAGAGGAACTTTTAGCATTTTTTAATACGTTTTACATTTCTTTTGACCTAAAAATTATATTATCCATGAGATCTGGTTTGGAAAAATGGTCAAATTTTTGGATTTTGCCTGTCTTATGGCATGAACGAGAATACAGAAGATATTATGGGATACTAGAAATACTCTAGATGAGGTTTTTTTCCGTTTTCAGTTTTGTAAATTATATTATCCATCACATTTTTGTTTCAGATGAAATGCCGCTTCATAGTGTTCCGAATCCAACGACGTCGTCGGGCCTGATCTAGTCACCTTACAATTTGACGCCATCGAATTTGCATCGTATTTGATTGAACAAATAAAATTATTTTTTTATTTCAAAAATCTCATTTTCTACATTTAAAAAATTTTCATTTTTAAAAATTTTCAAGTAGTGACTTAATTAAGGTTTATTTGGCTTCACTAACTGTTGAACAAAGTATTTAAAACCGAGCAAGAAATTATTAAATTGTTAAAGAGCAGTGTTTTTATTGCAATCTCCGAATGAAAGACGTTTTCTGGGCGTTTAAACCTGATTAAAAAGCGGCGAAAGAGTAAAGGGATACGACGAAAGACACCGAGGGACGTTGCTAATTGTATTGGAGACTCAGTAGGCTCTAAATCACTCAAATGTATCGCAAGTAGACATTTAAAATCTGAAAAAATAGGGATTTTCGACAAAAATGGGGAGAAAAATGGGGTTAATTACAATTATCACATAAAAAGTAGTGTAAAATGTTAATAAAAAAGAATGTAAAATTATTCTAAGATCTCGGAATGCTCGTCGGAAGATCCATCGGTCTCATCGGCTTCGATTTCGGTGTCATTTGGCTCCTGGGAAGTGGATGACGTCATCGGCCTTAAGGCTGGGAAATCGGATTCCCGGAGGGGTTCGGGATTTTTGCAGATCAAAAATGGAACGTAAAACATTTTGGAGTGGAGGAGGACGGAGGAGGCGGAGTGGAGCATTGGGAGCCTGGAAAAATTTTAGAAATTAGTAAGTACGAATATTGTGCCTAATATTACAAAAATAATGTTGAAAAAGTGGTTTTAAATTTTCACTTACCAAGTCAAAATCTCGCTGAGTCTGGGTCCATTCTCGCACTGACTCAAGTGAATTTGCAACGCTTTCACAAATTGGTCTTGAATCGAGGAGACCTTCCGGAAATACAAAGTGTGATAATCTAGGCTCTTCGAATCCTCCTCGTTATCGTTTGTTGGCGTAGCGTAGTGTAACAAAGTGATTGCTTTCAGACAAACGTAGGCTTCCAAAGTGATTTTTAGCTTGCTGAAGGCGTTCAAAAGGGCTGTGAACTTCTCAACAAGTGGTCCTGCTTCTCTGAAATGATAAAATACGTCGTTTTCTACAAAGATTTGATTTTTCGAATTTTCAAATTTTTCATAAAGCTTGGGCAAATTCTACCAAAAGTGAGCATAAAAATTTAAATCGGGTTGTGCAGAAACTTCCAAGTTATAACAAATTTTTGGATCTTCACAAAAATTTGTCCACAAAGATCTCCAATTTTTCCGATTTTCAACTTACTTTCTAACATGTTCAAACGGAATATCTTTAGTCATCACCGCACTCAGCCGTTGTTGTAGAAGCTCCAGATTCCTCTGAGAATTCACAAATGATAAGCCACATTCATTTCCCTCGCTCTGAGTCTCATACGCGTAGAAACAGGCGCTCAACAGGACCAACTCGGCCCATCGTTGCGTCAGCAAATGCGTATGGACTTCGACTGGGAGGGTGTTATAAAAAGGCAACATTTTGGTCCATTCAACAAGTTTTTCGACAATTTCATCACCAATTCGAGAGAGCCGTTCGGTTGGTGAGGAATTCTCGGTTTGATTTTGTTGTTCCTCCGACCAAATACGAAGACCTTTCAGATTGATGAGTTGATCGAGTCGGTCCAGCTCGATTAGCTCCTAAAATACGAGGAAAATAATTTTGAGTCATCAAAAAAATCAAAAAAATTGAAATTTTGGCATTTCACAGTGCAAAACAAGATAAAGTGAGGGGCCTGTTTTAGTGGCCAAAAACGTACCATTTTGCGTCGGGGGAGTATCAAAAATGTGGCAAAATGCCTCCCTCTGCAACTAAAAAAACTCTGTTTTGAACTCCGCGCCCTTTCTCTCATAAAAAGAGTGGGCGCGTTTTTCAAATCGAAGTTTTTTCACTTGGAAAGGGAGGTATTTTGGTGCATTTTTTGATACTTCCCGGATGCAAAATGGTACGCTTTTGGCCAACGGATAAGGTCCGCCACTGTAATATATATGAGTATCCTAGGACGCCTAATAACACAATTTCAACAAAATTTCCAATAAACTTCGAAAGTAAAATACGATTTCCCGAGAAACTAATAATTTTTTTCCAAAATTTACCTGTATCAAATTTTTGTTAGTCGGTGGATCCCTAAACTGCTTTAGGGTCTCCTCATCGTTCACACTCTCAAACTTGCGCTTCCTTCCCCATCTACTGCTGCTCGAACACTCCTCCTGCCCACTACTGCAGGCTGTTGGGCTTTTGAGGGCTTCCGAATCCTCGGACGACGTGGCCTCGCTGCATTTCCGGGTTTTTCGGTATTTCAGCTGCAAGCGCATGAGATTAGAATACAAATAAGCGAGCGATTAACAAGTCACCTTGTACAGATTGTAGATTGCGGAGCCATTCCGCCCTCCGGGCATGCGGTCTTCGCGGACGGCCTCCAACACCATTCCCTGCTGCAGACACTTCTGGAAGCGGCAGTATTGGCAGCGGTTGCGTTGCTCCTTGGTCATGGGACAGCCGAGGGCCGATCCACTCACACAAACGTAGACCCGTTTGTTCTGCACCGTCCGCTTGAAGAAGCCCTTGCAGCTGAAATTTGAAAGATACGTAAGAATGTTTACAAGGGTTCGAAAATTCATTGCATATGCGACATTTTGGCATAACAACCATGGAACACTGATGTGCCATAGTAAGTGAAAAAAATCATATTTTCAAGAGTAAAATACTGACCAAAAAATTGAAAAAATCTCGATTTTCTGCCGGAAGTTTTAGAATATTAAACAAATTGGGAAATAATTGAAAATACAGACACTATGAAGTATTCTATCGTTACAGTAAACCCAGCAAATCAGTTTACTTTTTTTTACAACAGTATGTTGCAATAACGGAAATATAGCCTATCCGATCGTTACCCATCTATTTTTAGTACGAAGTAAGTTAAAGAACTTAAAAATTACTGCTTTAATTATACTTTAATACCAATAAAAATTTGGTAAAATACGTTCTGTCCTGACTTTCTAATAACATCACGAATAAATACAAAAAATAACCGAAACGACAAAAATAAAAGATAGTATAAAAGTGTCACGATATATCACCCCAAGCGACAAAATTTACAGACCGGAAGGTATGTAAATTATTAATAATTTATCGTTGATGGCCTTGGATAACAAAAAGATGACAAAAACAATATGGAAATTTTTGATGATTTTGAATTTTTTTGAAGAAAAAGTTGATGGTGAAACAATATAAAGTGACAAAATAAATTTGAAAAGTGGTTGGTATGGGCTTACAATACTAGTCAGGACCACTGACGTTTCAAAATAGCATATTAGTATTTAGTCATAGTAGTATTTCGAATTTCAATTCTGGTATCTACAAGTGTCATGTGCAGTATCGGATTCTTGACTCCACCCCTCAAGACCCCTAAACCCCTTTTCTCAAATGGGGGTACCCTCGTTTCCCTCACCGTGACCCCCATACCAGCGTCTACCTTTTTTTTTTATTCATCCGAATCCATCCTGTTCACTGGGTTTGTAGGTCAATGGCGATTTTGCGAAAACGGAGGGGGCAAACATTTTTTATTTCAAAAAAGAACAATTCAAAAAAATTTTTGCGCGTCAGGGTCATCAAAAAGGGGGGTGGTTTAGCGGGCTGGATGACAATGGCAACATTTACAAGCGATTTTCAAGAAAAAATGGGGTGAAAAGGATGAAAAAAAGGATTTGCAGAATACGTTGGGGATTAACAATACTGAAGCTATATGATTTATAAAATAATCAGCCTAATTGTAAGAATTTTACCATTTTGAAAAAACTTGGCTATTTTTTTAAAAAGTAGAATAAAATTTTCGATCAAATTAAAAAAGGTATTAATCAAAATAAAATTTAACACTAATAATCAAACATAAAATATTTTTAAGACATATATTTCATCATTATGCATCTTACATTAGTCCAAAACATGAAAAATTTAGGCGAAAACGTCCAAAACCGCCGAAAAATTGCTGAAATTATAAGATTAACGTTTCTAGAGGCGCTCAACACAAAGATATAACTTGTAATGTTTGTAAAGAAGACTTAAACTTGGTCTTTTGCCATTTTTGACCTTACTTGAACCTTAAAGTTGCAGTTTTTTGATGAAAATTTGAAAAGAGAGTCAACTACATGTCACAGAACAGTTTTTCTCCCAAAATCTCCCCTTGCCCCATCTAACATTCCCTAAAAACTTCTTTCCCACCTCCCTCCACCCTCCCTTCAACCATCAACCTCGACGTTGTAGCCCTCGGTCAGTCGTCTGTCTAGCCTCAAAAAGAGAAAAAAGAGGATTCAGATGTCCGCGCACCTCCCCTCGCCGCCCCGTCTTCCTTCTCCCGCCGTCCACTTTTCGGCGGTTTAAACGACCCACCGACAGATACGGTGCCAGTCGGCTCTTCGTTGACCTTACCCTCCGCCATAACCCAGTGACCTTGTAGCCGACGATGGCCGTGTCACAGTGACCCCCAAAGACAAGGAGATCGCCCTCAAATCGGCGTGCAACCCGGAGGCAGTGAGGAAGAGGGGATGGCGAAATTTTTGAAATTATGGGGTAATAGGTGAGGATATCAAGAAGGAAGGGGGTAAATCAGAAACATTATGGGAGAGAAGGCAGGTAAAGAGAAGGGTTTTGGACTCTACGGTGGGGCATAAGTGGGTACCGAAGCAAATTTTAGGCTGCCTAAATCACTATTAGCCTTTTTTGATTATTAGTTTAAATGATCAAAAAAAAAACACTCAAAATTCTTCAAAAATCGCAAAAAAATGATGATTTTAAAATCGTAAGCTCTATAAAATCTTTGCAAAAAAACTATGTGCCTTTCAAATTACCCAATAAATCAAGAGCTAGACAATTTTCAAAAAACAGAAAGGACCTCAATTTTAGAGAAATGGTTTTTAGCATTTGTTTGGCCAAGAAAATGATGATAAATCAATATTAGATATCGATAGTGGCTCAGATCATGATAGTTATTACTGATGGCCCACAGAAATCACTGAGGAAATAAACGGGTCGTTATGACCAATTATAGCGATTTTATGGATGAAGAATTAAAAAAATAGGATGACTAAAATTTATCAGCTCCAATTTTCATCTTTTGCCAAAAATACACAACTAAGAAATCTTTAAAATACGTGATCACTTCCAGCGTTTATTGCAAAATGCCTATTTTTGATATCGAAATTAAAATTTTACGAAAATGACCGTTCCATTTTTGCCTTCTTCAAGACGACGAAGGGTTAAAGGAAGGGTGCGAAAATACAAAAAAATGCGAAAAATTTGGAAATATTTTTTATGCGGGTCCCGGTACAAGGTAAAAATACATAAAAGGAGCGCTTTAAAGGGCGAGGGAAGGGGGGGGGGGGCGGTGGCAGGACGCGCAACCGGCTGGTCGGAAGAATAAAAAAAAAGTCGGTCAGTGGGCAATCAGAGCGGGATCTCAGTTTTTGCGGAAGAAATAAGTGCAAATAACCGAGAAAAATATTAATAAAAGCCGGCAGTGGACCATATGGGGGGTATGGGAGAGTAAGCGGAGTCAAAATTTAAAAAAGAAATTGCGGAAATTTAATACGGGGTACCCGGGAATAAAGTCATCTGTTTTGACGATATTTGGCTCTAGTAAAAATTAAGATTTCTTAGAGAATATTAGTGAATTTGAAACCGCATTATGCAGAAACAAAAGAGTTTTAAAGATGCCAAACCGCGTTATGCAGAATTTGCAGTAAATTTTTAAGCATTCAAAAAGCACTTTTTTGGCTTGACACAATCTGTAATAATTATTAGATTTGCTGGGCCATATGGCCATAAAATTTCCTGAAAAATGTGTCATAATGACTGATTTTCCAGAATTCCACAAAGTCATCAATGCTTAATCCAATTTTTTTTGTCTTTACGACCCTCTTAATCTACCCAATCCATTTAAGACTTATCCATTATCAACACGTCAACCGGAAGTAAATTTAGCGCCGTCAAAAGCTAATATATCACCACCGGTGGCATGCAGAATACAGCGGGCAGATGTGAAGTAAAATCTCCAAACAAGGTCGCGACAGACAAAGAGTTCAAGCGGCTTTCATCTAAGGTCATTGTGCAATACAGAGATGATAAAGAAGTAATAAAAAGGGCTTGAAAATATCTTGGGATTGAATGAGAAGGATAATATAAAAAATTCTCCGCAACTCGGCAGAACGCAGAGACATTGGCTCAAAATTTTACGTATTTAAAATGCAGTTAATGTAGAGAAAGAGAACAAAATTTGAGGTCAATCCGTCTGAACATCTCAAATTTATGGCTTCTTTTCCACCAGAGATGACTAAATTAATATCTTAAAACAATATTCTTCCATTTAAAAATACCGAGGCAGATAAAAAAAAAGTCCAATATTAAAATATGAGCCGCAAGAAGACCCCGAGAGCGCCCAGAAATTAAAATGAAATTTAAAATGGATCTCTTGGGCCGAATCTCGGAGCATTTCTCTTAACAGTGCCTAAGGGATTACAAATCTTCGAAAAAAACAATTATATAACAGAAAGGAAGAGAAACCACTTGAGAAACAGAATGCAGTAATCCGACATGTAAATATTAGGATTTCGAAAAAATAATTGGTTCGGATTAGAAGGATAGTCAAGTGGAGACGAAATGAGGGGCCTTAGGGCTTAGAGGCAAGAGTGGGAGTAAGGATGATAAAAAAGAAAAAACTAAACGTTCGTTACTTATATATCTTGTTTTACTATACGATAAATTTTAAAGCCGCTTTTTTGAGAGAAATTTCAAAAGTTAAAATTTCCGCTATTTTGGCATTCTGTTTTATGCCCAAGATGAAGAAAGTCACAAGTTTGTAAAACACAAGGTTGTAAAATACGAGCGATTATTATACTTATATAACTAAAAAATTAATTCTAAGAATTTTAATAAATGTACTACAAATTTTAAAATACGTTTCCATAAATACGTTGAAAAAAATTATTTATAATTTTAAATTAAAATAACTATTTTTTTCAACAAATCTCTCATAAATAACATAAAATTTCCACACCGAAACCAAGCCCAAAACCCAATAATTTACCGCAACAAAAGAAGTGCAAAAATTGCGCAATCTAATTACCATCGCCCCCTCCAGAATGACCTCATCAACGAGTGCATCCGCACTCTTTCCTCGTCCTTCCCAGTCTCGCGAAAACAAAAAAAAAAAGAAAGAGTGCAAAAGCGACGAGAAAAACGACGAATGAAAAATTGTAAAGTGGTACAATCGGGTGCAGAAAGCGGTGCCGGCCGGCAGGAAAAGTCTCGCGGGAACGCACAAAAATAAAATATATAAAAACAAGAGCGTTGGCGCAGCTGCTCGCGCCGAAAATTTATGCGAAATTCAACGGCAACGCAGCCAAATTTATGAGCAAGTGCTTGTCGGCGAGAGTGACCGGGGAAGGTACAGTATTTTTGGAGAGTACTGTGAAATTTGTGGAGCGAAAAAAATATTTTTAAAAATTTTAAATTTAGGCAAATTGAGCTAAAAATGGGGGAAAATACGACAAAGATCGCCTTCCAAGGTTAACCATTGGCTTCAAAATTGTCTGTGGATACTGTAATTTTACATAACAGCCAAAAAAAATAGTCATTTTTGCTGGAAAGGAAGAAGATTTACAATTTTCTGCTATTTGCCACGGAGAATCATCAAAAAAGTGGTTTTATCCCATGAAATTCACATTTTGCTCTATTCTGTACATATTATTGAATGGACATGCCTATTTTAAAGAAAGGACTTTTAGCCACACTAAAAATTATTTTTTTCAAGCCTTCTTCCTATGTTTATTATCAAAATCAAAATATAATTTACCCCATTCGCCCGCTCAAATCCCCCTTTATTCCCACCTTTACCCTCCCTCGCCTCCCTCCCATCGAATTTCTCGCCATTTCGCAGCCCAAGCGGGGTAACCCCGCTCGAAAAGCCGAGTGAGATTGGTATTCCGGGGTACCAGTGGCTCCGTGGCACGCTCTCGCCTCGGCCCAATCAAGAGGCCAATCGAGAACACATTTCAATTTTTGGTCGCGGCCGGAAATCTGGATATAATTAGGAAGGACAAAAGGAACAGGGGTAGGGTTTCATTTTGGGGACGGGAAGATGGACAGAAGCACCTGGTTATAACGAATGGGCAAATTTTGGTGACTGGATGGGAAACATTTGATGGAGACAGATCAGGAGAAGCGGAAATGGAAAATATTGAACATGATGACGAATAAATAGTAATAAGTGTGACCAAGATACGATAAAAGGCTTCATGAAACTCAAAATGAATTTTTCTCCAACAAGAGCAATGTAAAATATGTGCGATTTTCAGCTTATGCTCTGCAGAGACAAGTGAGATTTTTAATTTGAAAATTGGTAAAATCTCGAGATTTTTTGAAAGTTTATGAATGAAAAATTCCAGCCTTGATATTTTTGAGCTTCATTAAATAAAACTCAAATTTTATTGTGTGGAGAATGACAATTCCCCATGCTGTTCGAGAGATTCCACATGCAAAATTAAATTTGTCCAACTAGGTGCAAATGAACTACAAAAAACTCTGTGAATGACATAAACTTAATACGTATGTTATCTTTTTACAATTTTAGCTCAAAAAAATTTCTTAACAGAGCTGACTTTTATGATGGTAACTGAGGTTCACGTATTTTACAACCACGATCAAAGCAACTCACCCCTCACAAGAATAGACTCCATAATGCAATCCACTTGCTTTGTCGCCACAAATTACACAGAGCAATGGATCCACTGGCTTTGTTTTCGGATTCTGGGGACTTTCGGAGGTTTGGGTTTGAGATCCATCTTTTATTTTATTATTATTATTACTATTGTTATTGGGGTCAAAAGTCTCGGTTTTGTACGCCTGATACCACGGTTGCTCGGACGATAAGGCTGATTTCGAAGGCTGAGGAGATGAGTTGGAGACGCTGAAAAATGGATTTTATTCATTGAAAATGATGACGTGAGAAGGTCATAGTCTAGCCTCATTAAAAACGACTAATACATATGTATGTTAGGTAGCTTAAGATTAGTACAAGTAAACAAACAAATCCAGTGCTTGTAGTCCTTTTAGAACAAAATATCCTCAAACTATTTTCTTATTCATTTATCGACTACCTTTGATATGCCCTACAAGATGTCTCTACAAAATTAAGACCAATTTTTTATGGCATATTCGTGCCCTAAAAAAGTTGACACTTTTCTGCGAATTTTTGCATGAAAAATATTCATGCCTGTTTCTGTCTTGGAGGGTAATTTTGATATAAAAAATATTTTTTCCTTGCAAAACTGGCAAAAAGATTTTTAATCAAAGGGTTATGTTTCTCTGACCGCACTCCGCGTTCCGCGTACTCTCTAGGCCGTAAAGATTAGTAAATATGTCGGCTGCGCCTTCAAAAAGCAAGCTAATACTCTCAAGAATTCATGTTGGCCACATGGCCAAAATGTTTCCAAAATTTAAAGGAATTATTTAACAGGTACACCTAGGACCTTCTGTTATATGTAATTCCGTTCAGGTTTCATCACATTTTAAAGTTACTTCACTCACCCTTCTTCCTTGACTTCCTTCACCTTTTCCTCTTCTTCCTTTTCCTTTTTTTCCTCTCCATTATTATTATTACCATCCACCACGTTGCTATTCAGATTGTTATTTTGCAACGCATTCAATTGGTTCAGTTGATTTATGTAGAGTTGATACAGACTCAACGGGTCTAGTTGCGGGAGTTGGTTCAAATTTAATGGTCGTTCTGCATTCCGGGAATGAGCAATGACCGGGGCTCGGTAAGGAACGGGGTTCTGGAACTGGGTCAGAACATTGTAATGATTATTCATCGAAATTGGGCCAAGTTTGAGGGAATGAAACCTGAAATAGCATGAAATAGTTGTTTCTTTAAATTTCTAAATGAATAATCATATTAAAAATGACATTTTAAACTACAAAAATGTATGCCAATTTCGTATTTTACCCGTATTTTACAAACAAAAAAATAAAAAAAAAATCAAAACAAAAATGCACGAGTTTTTGGTCAAAAAAAATCTTTTTTTACTAATATTCGTTGAACTCGGGTTGTCTGGGAACTAATTATAATGCGCAAAACAAAGCTCGGATTAGGGTGTTACCATAATAAGTTATATGATCCAGACTGTAGCACTTGAATAACCACGTAATATGAGAGCAAAAACAACAAGAAAATAACAAAAAATTTTTGCCTGAAAAATTGCAATGAAAGTTTAATTTTGAAACGCTAAAATGAGAAAAAAATTGGATTACAAAAAAATTTTTTTTTGATTTTTTACGCCATCCACTTTTTTGTCATCGAAAGAAAAAATTCTCTGAAAATTCCAAATTTTTACATTCCTAACTTCGACCCAGATATACCTCTAAACCCCTCAAAACTGCCCTTCATAAACGAGTAAACCTCCGAATTATGCAAATTTCAGCCTTCGCCGAGCCTCCGGTCGACCTCAAATTGGGAATGTCTTAACCTGGGATGACCCTCAAGTCCGAAAAATAAAAAGGTCGCCCCCCATCCGTGTTCATGCCACCTTGATTCCAAATAAAGAGCCTCGAGTGGCAGGTGGAAGGGGGGATTCGATAGATCCGCGGATCTCCTCCGGGATGACCCCTCCGCTCTCGCGGCGGCCTCGAACACCGGCTGCGCCCCCCTCTCTCTTTGCCCTAAGGGCGCGCATCTTCGCGACCCCGACGCGCCCGAAAAAATCGCTGTTGCGCAATGTGGAGGCGCCCCGTTTCTGGATTCGGTCTTCCTGAAAAACGCGCGGAATGAAGATCCCCTCGGGGGATAAAAGATCCTGGAAATGGCGGGCGCAGGTAATGCGCCTGTTAATAGGGCAGGGATGGCGGAGAAAAAATGGATGCGAAAACAAAAGTGAGAGATTTACAGATGCAAAAAGTGGCTGCTGGGGTTTGAAAACGAAAGGTCTGGAATGTTTCTTAAAATACGCCGTTGATTCCTTTTTGCTTTTTTAGTTTGGTGCATAAGACTTACCATTGAAATTTCTGACTTATTTTTTGGAAACTGGCTCAAATTCTGTGCAATATGGCACAGATCAAAAATGCATCTGTAGAGAGTGCGTGTCAAATTTTTAGCTCGGTAGTGATATGGCCATAAGAAGTTTTCCTTCTGCTCTCCGCATTACATGGAATATTCCTTGGTCGCTAAAGATAGTTGAGTGTCTTTGCTGCCCTTGCAAAGCGTAGCCTAGGATTTTCAGAAATAATTATTGGGCCAAGACCCAACGTTTACAATTCTTCCGTGACTGATCTGTGAGAGAGAAGTTTAAGAAATTTAGTTTTTAGGTGGGAGATTAGTATTCTATTCGAAGCATAATAGAACGTCTATTCTAAAAATTGTTTTATTTATGGCACCGCCGATATTCTTATTCTTTTTATATCACCATCTTGAACAAAGATTATTTTCCGTAGTTTCCTGCCTGCAACGATCATTCCATTTCTTGGAAAAGTCTGTAAAGCACGGGCAAAGATTTGCATAAATTAATTAGTAGCTTAGATACACTACTTGAGCAAATTTTGAAGAACGCTTGAAGGCATTGCTTCGAGCAATGAACTTACAAACATTACTCAAATCTTTGCTTGTTTACCTTTTATTTTTCGGCATTTCCGATACTTAGAATCCTGTGTCCATCCAACTTTTCTCCCAGCAAAATCTCTTATTTTCCCCTTCACCCTTTTCATGTTTGATCCCGTTAATTAACCTCTTCATTAATCAAGAAGAATCTACCGTATCCTTTCCTTGTTCCTTTCGATCATCAACCTTGTAGTTATTTTTTGAGATCCTTTTCTTTCTTCTTTCTCCAACTTCAGATTGACCTTTCCCTCTGACGAAAAAGACCTGCAGGGATTTGGGGGATCTTCATTTGATCTCGGGAAGAGCGGGAAAAAAGAGTGGTCGAAATCGGGGTTAACAGGTCGGCGCACTTCAATTCCGCCCGGGGATTTGCGGATTCGATTGGATAATGTGTTTGGATATTATCCATGCTATCTGCACCTTGTCGTATACGGCTTATTTCGTATGTATTTTTTTGCAATAGCGGTAGAATTGACGGGAAATTTGTGGTCAAATTCTGATTCTCAAATTTCGATGGCCAAAATTGGCCAAGGCATTACTCCAGCCGCAACAGTCCCATGTTTGTCAAATATAGCTTCTCGGATGTTTAAGTAAACGACGTTTCAATCCCTGAAATATTTAGCTCTTGCTTTGTAGGTACAGCCGAAGTATTCAGTGATCTTTGCCGACGAGAGAGCTGGGGAAATGAGTAGAGCAATCAAGGATAAGAGCAGCTTTGTTGTATCTTTGCTGATTTCATAGCGAAAACAAATCTGCAAGCTCAAATTTTAACCATTTTCTTTTCAAAATGTCTCCAAAATTCTTTCATAACTGTTTATTCCATTAAAATTGATATGAAAACAAAGAAACATCCAAAACGACGTCGTATTTTATACAAGTAGAGGTTATTGAAATGCGATTAAAAACCCAGGGCTTTCGTGGAGACGGAAGCCCGCCTGAGATCCAAATTTAAAGTTGTTTACAGACTCGCCTACTCAGTGGCGGATTAAATTGCAAAAAAAAAACTAATTAAGACATTGATGGAGATGTGAAACACAAGAAACAATATTGCCAGAGGAATAAACAACTTGATATGCAGAGCAGTTGAGATTTGATATTGATACGTGATATTGATACAGACATTGAGATTTGAAATTTTTTGGTGGAATGAATCGGGAGATTGTACTTTTAAAGGGCATAATATATAATCTTCTTTTGAGACAAGGGACATTAAGGAAATTGATGCTAATTAAAAAGAAGTGCTTCGGAGTGTAAAGTCACAACAATACTAAATCTCACAATCTTGGATAGACAAAATATTGAGGCTCAAAGGGACCTATTACATATACATGGGAATCTGTTTTAAACTCAATCTTATCAAAGAATGCCGCAAGTCAGACTCTCAGATTTCCTTTGAATTCTGTACACACATTGGGCCTTTACCAGATACCCATTCCCGAAAATTCTAATTTGCGCTTTGCAAGAGCGGCCGAGGTATTCAACGAGGCAGAACTTTTTTGCATATAAAGTTGTAAAAAATCCCAATTTCTTCCATGTTTAAAGAGGAATCAACACTTAAGCCGAGGCTAAAATTCACGTCTATATACGTGTTAGAAATGTTTTACTACCATTTGTGCCAGATTTCATCAAAATCCGTTTTGGGTTTTGCAGCAAAGCTAAATACCCAATATTAGCATACCACTCATATCCCAATTTCCCTTAATCCAAAACGATTACATTAGTTTCTTAAACCTGTTTATGTCAAGTTCCCACGAACCAATTTTTGATGGGACCACTCTTGCAATTTCCGGATTAACAATTTGCTGATTACCATTCTCTAAACCTAGTATTCTTAGTATACGCCCTCGTAATGGCAAAAATGTCGAATAACAAGCAAATTAATAAGGCGTAAAAGCTAAAATCCCGTCTCAAAATGATACATGATGACTTAAGTTGGTGTAAACAAGCCTTGAGGGGGCATTACGATGCGTCATAATTCTGTCTAGGCAAATCGTTTATGAGAGAGTTCTCAAAGTGTGACAGAAAGATTTTGATGAAACCTGGGTCAAATTGGTGTTCGATTTTGTTAAGACGCATGCAAAACTTTTGGCTCGTAGTTTTAACCACTAAGATTTTAAGCAACTTCTAAAAAAGAAAATTTTTAAATATTCACAAAGATCGGCCGAAACTACGATTTTTCTCTGAAAGCCTCTCATCATTTTCCGTAGTCTTTCGTCAACAATGCCAGTTGAATATCTCGGCTCAACTTGAAAAACAAAAACCAAAATTTTTGGCCATTCGATTGAGGCGTTTACAGATAGGTTACAAACAAAATTTGGAAAAAATAGACTTGACTCGTTCCCGTTTTCGAGCAAAAATTCATCTAACAAAGATACCTTCCAATTGCGTCTCATACTTTGGTGTTGTTGGTAAACGTTGATCCGAAGGTTTTGAGCAGCATTCCCCTTCGTTCCGGCCGCGGCTCGGCCACTCTTCGATATGGTTTCGATACCAACGCCGAACTGGCATGAGTTATTGCCCGGGAGTAGAAAATCCAATTGCCTGCGGAGTTGAGATAGGGCAGAAAACTGGAAAACATTCGAATTTTTTGAGAATAATCCGATTCCAAGAAGGTGAACTCGACGATCCCAAAGTAGGACAGCATGGGAACCACGACGAACACCCAGAACGGAGTCCAACAAGCGAAATGGAAGAGGACCACGGTCAGGATGGAGCGGACCACTCGAGTGGTGTAGGAGGTGACAAACATGCTTTTACCTGAAAACAAAAAAATATTAAAAATCAATTTTTGATTATTTGAGCAATAAAACCTTTGGAAATAAAATGGTTTTGAAAATACCCATATTTTTAACTTATGCAAATTTGCAATTTTTTACCGTCTTCGGGAAAAAACTATTTCAAAAATTTCTAAAAACGGTTTTAGCACCAACTGATCATCATTGTCCGTATTTTACAATGCGATTTTAAAAAAAATCAAACTTTATCCCGAGCAATGGTAATTTCAGCATGATAAATCAAAAATTAGGTCGACAAAATACCAATTTTTACTTTTCATCAATTCCAAAAATATCTTCCGTTAGCAGTATCTTATTTTATTTCTCACCGTTTACCCACGTTTACTATTATTATTTATTCTTTACAATGCGCAGTCCGCGTATGATCAAGCCGTATTTTACCAGCCTCAAAATTTTCCTGAGCCTCCTCGTACGTTTACTTACCATCTTTATTCCTGAGATGCCGGATCAGAAAGTAGTAACAAGTCGATATGAACAAAACTGGCAACACAAACCCCAGAATAAACATGTACATGATGAACACACTCATCACATCGTCGGGCAGGTCAGAGGAACATGTCGTAATATTCACTCCGGGATTGTAATAATCTTGCACGACCGAGGTTTTGGCGTAGTAAATGATCGGAGAACACAGTGCTCCTATTGCGGCGAGGAGAATTATGACAACGGTGAAGACGTTGGACACTCGTTTTCGACTGAAAAAAGATGATTTTGCAAGTAAAATTTTTTTTTAATTTTTTTGATACCTTTTGATACTTTTTTGAATTTTTTATGTTTTTTTAGACTTTTCTTTATATTTGATTTTTATGACGTAAAATTTATTTTCTGCATTCCAACGCCAAACATATGTATGCTTAACACGTACACATACATGTAAGCGTTACTTCAGCAAATCTCCCCCATTGTACAAACTGTATAATCCGCTGAAACCGGAACCTCGGGGTCCGTCTATCGCCTAATCCCAGGATCAAATTACAAAAACTCAAAACCTGTCGGAAAATATGAATGGGTCCGTCTTCCAAAACAGTCACGGTCCTATGTAATCCTTCTTTTGTACAAATAAAAGCATTGTGAAACGCGTTCGAACGGCTTATAAAAATTGCAAATTTTGTAACTGAAAAGCATGGAAAAATTCTGGCAATAAATTTTTATTTTATTTTTTGTACAATTTTACTGCTGACGCAAAGCTTGTATTAATACAACAGGAAGTCCGCTAAGCACGGTCATCATCTGAAGGTTTCCTTGACGTAATTTGAGTTTTCTAACAAGCGAAGTCTTTTACTGTGGCTTACAGATTAGCTTCAAATTTTGTAGGCGTACTCTGAACAAGCCAAAAAAAACAGACACAAGGAAAAAGACTGCCCCGATTTTTATGTTTGAAAAAATTTCTAAAATTTTAGCTTGTGCTTTCCAGCTTGTGACACGCATCAAATATTTCACTTCAGTCTGTCAAATCAAAGTCTAACTGACATTTTTCAACAGTAATCTAAGCCATGTCGCTTTAACTTGTTCTCGTTTGAAACTTTAGTAAACAGTTCCGTCAAGTTAATCAAGATTATTTTTAACTGCTTACTCGTACAAGGATTCCCAGAACTTAATTTATATATTCAATGCATTTGCAACATTTTGAAATTTCCAATTTCCGGAGTTACATATAATTAAAATGTCATGCAAAACTTTCGAAGGTCTTCCTGAAGCTTCGTGAGTGGTCGAAATGAGTCAATTTTGTGCTCAATTAGGGAGCTTCAGGGCTTAAGATGGCTTAAAGAAATTGTTGGTACTACCTAGTACAAGATTGTTTTTCCTACCAAAAGTGTTATTTCAAAACAAAAAAAGATATAGACCATGTTATACTAGAGCTTCTGGTTTTAATTTGTGATCATGTTCTCTTGTTGAGTCTTCAAAATTTGTTAAAAAGTAGTCTTTGTAATTTTATCGACAAAACTACCTATTTTTTAGGTATAAAAATAATGCCTTTTAGGGCATGCTTATGCACTAGTTTATGTAATCGAACATAATCCCCACTTACCGACAACAAAACCACTGAAAAGGTCGACATATCACCAGAAATCGTTCAAACGACATCACAGCCAAAATGGCGACAGACAAAAGTTTGTTGATGTTTTCCACGGCAAAGAATATCTTACAACCCACGTAACCCAACTCCCAACTGCCCAGAATAAAGTAGGAGGTCACACTGGGCGTCATGCAAAGCACCTGGAAATGGAAAATTATTTATCAAGGTAAAATTTGAAGATTCTACGCCAAAATTTTTGAATTTTTATAACTGACAATGGAATTTGATGACTTTAGGATTACAACAAGAATGTAAAAAGAGTAGAAGTTAAAAGGCCCTAGAAAATGAGGAGAGAAAATCATAGAAAAAAGAACATTTTTTTGGTCATCACCTAAACTCTCCGCCGATTTTTTAAAATCATTTTTTGATTCAAAGCGCTAGGTAAGCATATTGCAAATGACTTAGAACATTCTGCTCTAAGTTTGTGACAGATTTCATTTGAAATTAAGCTTTGTAATGTGGTCATTTTTAAGCCTTGTTCAACGCAATAGCTTGTACCATGCATTTTCAAACCTCCACGATAGATCCTCCAATCTATCGATAATCTTTAATCTCGCTTTGTCCCACTCAGTTTACAACCAGATCCTATTTTGCTTAACAATTTCATCCGTTAAGCCCTTGATCCTATCGATAAAACAAAATGACTTTCCCGGAAGCAATTATCTAATTACAATAGGCCATTAAAAATATGCATGATTGCTCATCGAAAGATTCAGATTATCGATGGATGATGTGGTCTTGAAATCGCTGGAGATAAGCACTTTCTCCATTGGGGAAAAATTAGTTCCAGGAATCAAAGTTCCGTAGACCTGCATGTTCCTATGTATTCGGATGGATTAAGAAAGTTTTCAAGGTACATACATCACCACTGTTCGTGGTTACAGACGTTTGAAGTCCGGACAGTCTTCTTGTACTAGTAATTTGAAAAACGAAAAAACGGAGGAGTGTGACGCCGTTGCACTCTTTGACGCGTGACACAGTAAGGCCCTTGATTGTCACAGGATCTTATAGGACTTCTGTTCAAGGTGAAAAAGTTAATTTTTTTCAGATTGTGTTTTTCTGGTTTGGTAAGGCCGTAAATTAATCTATTGAAAGATCATGTTTTTCAAGCGCAGTTGAGATATTCAAGGATCTTTGGCGATTAGTGAGGGAATATTTTCCTCAATAGGATTGCAAATAAATAATCTTCAGCCACTTAAAGATCAAAAAGTCTCGGCTGAGTCCATAATAAAAACATCCCCCAAAGATTAAAAAGCGAAACTTTGATTGGCCAAAAAGACCTCAACTTTTCAAGGAATACATCAAACTTCAGTCACAACCCCAAAAAACCCTCCTCAAAGTTCAACTTACACACATATCAGCGATGCTCAAGCTCAATATATACAACGACATGTGTTTGAAAACGCTGTTCATGGGGCTCCAAGTCTTGTAGAGGATCCGGATCAGCGTCACAATTACCCACGAATTACCCGATATTCCAATTACCATCACGGGGAGGAAGTACGCGACGGCCAAGGTTTTCTCAACCGGCCCAACCGTCATCCCTACAATCATGGTTGTTGAGTGGAATAAATGTAAAATGGGAAGGAAAGCAAGTCTCGTGGACGATTTTCAAAGGCTTCACGAAGCGCAAAGAACAATAAAAAAACTGTTATGGAATTACATATAAGATTTGGGGGATAAATTAAGAATTTCAGGAGGAAAGATTGAAGCTTGGTACGGAGGAGAAACCAAGGTACATATGTACATGGAGTACAAGGAAAAATTTCAAAATTTTGCTTCAAGTTTTTATATTGGGAATGTTTAAAGTGCAAGTCCCATTTAAGAAGCTAAGATTCTGGATGGATTAGGCCACATATCAGAGGTTAATAAGGCAATTTCTCAATATTCAATGATCACATTTTCCTCAAGCTTCGTATGTACAGTAGATGAAATAAACCGGGAAATTGGATGACTTTAGTGATTTTCGGCCTTCATCTGAAAGCACAAATTCCAATGAGATTTAGGCAGTTTGCTTTGCGTAGAACATGTAGGCTTCTGGCAAGTTTAGCCCCCGCTTTGTAAATACAAAAACGTACAAGCGAGCTAACAACGATCTTTGCTTCTGAAAGGTTATACAAAAATAGGTGATGGACGAACTTTTTTATAGTAAGAATTTTTTTGACCACATCTTTGCAAATGTTATAGTTGGTTTTTGTGGAAATCGTGGTCTTTTTTTACACAAAATTTCAATTTTTTTGATAAAAATATGGCAAAAATTTTGCTCAGAATTTCTTCCATTTGTCATCGAAATCTAGTAAGCCACAACCAAAATTTTTGAAAAAAATCCGAAATATTTTTTTGCAAAATTGAACAAAGTCGCGCGTAACTAATGAAACAAACATCCATTTCAAAACCATGACGTCCACGTGTGTATAAAACAAACTCTTCTAATAAACCAGTCTGATATTTTTATAAGAAACTTTTCGGAGAACCCCTTAATTAAAAGTGCGGCAGCATGCGTTTTATCATAAAAAAAATAAATAAAAAATGCGGCCAAATTGAGTTAAAAAGTTTTTTGAATTGGACTCAAACGTCTGGCCAGGGGTAAGAAAAGAGGTCACACCAGACCTCGGAAATGACATGGTTAATGTAAACTAATATCGTAGATTGCGGTTTTATCATCAAAACCGACGAAAGCCATGTGAAAGCGGCGTTCTAATACTCTGTGTGAGATACTTTACAATACTTTTTAGAAGCTTGTAAACCGAGATTCCTCAGAATTGAAAAACCGATTTCGTTAAAGTCCGAAACTCGCTTCGGTTATGGCCTCAAGATTGTCGGAGGGGATTTGACAATCAGCTCCCTGACTTCCTGTGCCCAAAGACGCTTAGTCGCCGAAGCGACTCCACCCATTTTGCCAGCATTTTTGTGCGCACTGTAAAGCGGATTAATAGGCCAAACGAATTGGCCGACTTTGGCCCCCCGCTTTCGCCTCAAGATCCCCTTAGGGCTTCAACTTCGGTCCAGGGTTTATTAATTTTCATTTTTACAAATTAAAGACCCCGACTTTCTTGAGTCCAATTAAATTCCGAGACAGAAAGAAACTTAGCGCAGTCGATCAACTGCCGGCTAATTATGGTGCCATGCTCGAGGTGCTAAATAAGGAGGGATGACAGGGGTAGGATCAAGTGAAAGAAGCCCCAAGAGAGGTCTAATTAAAGGCACGTGACGGAAATAAATTAAAGAAGAACGGAAATTTTGGGACTTTTACATTTTTTATAATAAATATCAAATAATACTATAGCATCTTGGATTTTTTTAACAAAGCCTTGGTCAGAACTTGTGCCTATGGAACAAACCTACTATTTAGAACAAAACCCTTCTGTAACGAACAACTTAAAAGGTCTCTAGAGCTCATATTTTTAGTACAAAACAAGCCTACATACAACGAAACCTTCCTTAATTTCAAACACGATTATATGTACCTCACAACCATTTTTCAACGATTTTTTCAAAATTTTCCGTAGAGTATTCCAATGACTTCGAAAGAAAAGTCAACCCCGTAATTTCCGGTGACAACCATTCATCGGATAATGCGATTTCCTTGCAATCTCACAAATTGCAAAGACTTTACTAACCGTCACTTCACAGCATTATCAAATCTACTCCAAGTCATCAAAAACAATGACTTGTCTCATCTCTGATCTCTCAAGCAATAAAAATTATCCGTAAAGCGATGAAAACAGGCAAAGGGTCTTCTAGGCAATATCTGTAGCAAATAAGACTCGCACAGTAAACGGAAGTTTATCTTGCAACTCAACACAAACAAACGAAGAGAACTTTGTCATGAAAATAATGAGAGTCCAGGAGTACTAATGATGACGAAAAGTTCGCGTTCGTCCCCTGGATTAATCATAAATGAAACCCCCATCTTCAGTGCATGCGTTATGGCCCACCTCCCCAAAAGTTGCCCTTTTTTTCGGCGAGCCTAATTTGAATGTCAAAACAAAGTGGGCTTAACGTGGCATTTGCCAAATCACTATCGTATTCCGACCCCCGGGGAATTCGGCTAGAAGGACAAAACACAGGAAATACAGGGGATTTTGCTTCGAAATTAAAGAGGGATTTGGGAGACTCACTTTCTTAGTATTAGTACGAATAGCCCTTCAAGGAAATGCTCCAAGTCCGACGTTCAGATTTTCTTCAAATACGAAGAGTATCACTTTATATAGGACTTTCAAGCCATTTCGTTGGAGACAGAATCTGTAGTATGGTTTTCTGCTAACCGGTAATCTAACAATAAGTAGGAAATTGTCGATATTTCACGTACCATTATGAAAAATTCTTCGAAACATTACCAATATCAAGTTTCAAGTCTAAATTTCATTTATTTAAATTATTTACTGTAAATAACATTTGTCTTCGTAAAAAATAAAAAAAAAAATTAATTGAATGTGGGTTCGTTTCGTCCATAAAAAGTATGCACTCTGTAACCACAAAACGGATGAAAAATATATCTTCAACGTAATCTCCCCGATCCGGGGCACCGCTGGATTATACGGTAACAAAAAAGATTAGTCTTTAACTATGCCAGTACGTACCGGGAAGTCATGTGCGCATATTTTGTGGCCCCTTCAAAGTACTAAGTTTGAATTATAATACAATCTTTGGAACACGACGGTATTTGTCAACAGTGGAAGTTATACAAATTAAAAAAATAAAAAAAATAAATTTCATTCCAAAACGAGTTAATGGTGAAAATTAAATTTACCAAGCAAGTGCTCAAAGTATGGGATTTCAATTTTTATGAAATGAATAAGTTCATGCTCAGTGAAGAATTACAAATTTCTTGGCTTGGACTCCTCTCCAGCCAAGAAATCGGGCTTTTTGCCAGTCAAGACGATAAACAATTTTCATTATGATCTCGCGCCATCCTTATATCACGATTCTCTCCAAAAAAATAACAAAAGATTTTTGTGATTCATTGAAAATGTACATCCGAAAAGACCTCTTTTTTACTCTGTCAAAGATCACAAAGAAAATGTCCTCAACGCTTAGGTTCCTCTTGAATTTTGAATACACAACACTTTGCGACAAGCCAAGTCCCCATAAAAATTCCATAAGGCTTTATTAATTTTTTGAGGAAACGTTCTGCGTGATACACAAAACTGAATTTTTTTATGCATAAAATCGCCAAAAAAGAAAGATTGCTTTTTTCAACTTTCGCCGAAAAATTAATGCCGTTTCTGCAAAGCGCGAACTAAAATTCTCGCATATGCTTCAGGAAAAATATATAGTTTAAAACTTGCACAAAATCAAATAGTGCTCAAATCCGAATTTGAGCACTTCCCCGGACATTAGAGTCAAAGTGGCGCGACATTCCAAAGAACAAAGTTCAGCTGTATCTCATGAATTTCTACAACGTTTTTATCACAAATTATTAGAGAAAAAGGAAAGTACAACCAATTTAAAAGAGCATATCCGTAATATCCTTCTACGAGCGCACATCAACATTTGACTTTCATCTACACCCTTCGAGAATGTAAATGCCTAAATTATACATTCCACTTCTCGAAACAGCAATGCCTTAATTCATACATATTAATTCCAGCATAAACAATGAGAGAAATCTTCTTTATTTTTGACAGCACAACAACTTTAACATTTGAGATTCTTAACCACATAGTAATTAGATTGTAACTGAAATCCCGGTCTATGGTTAAATCCTTCCAAAACGCCCTCAAAAATTAAGATTTCGATTTAAAAAATGGCTATAACAATGAAAGCAACAGCCATGAATATCGCAAATCTTTGTATGATGACTTATATGCCCACAGTTTCAAAACGTGCATGTACTTAATGTCAACGACCTGAGCGTGCTAAAGACCATATATGTATTTTTCGGATAATCCTAACACTGTGGGATGCAAGTAGAAAAAGAGGAAGCGGAAAAGGCTTCGGAATCACCGGAAGATGACAAAAATTGATCGTTCACGTAAGGATGGAAGATGTTGATGTGACTCAAAGTACTGGTTACGTTGGATATTCCGCCTTTGTATAATAAACATGGTTAAAAATAAGATCAACTGTCGTCTGTTTACAGATATCAAAAGGTAAAATTTTTTGCCGTAGGAACTTCTGAACTTCTCTATGGCATAGAGTTGGATAAGGCAAGCATAGGAAAGATTTTGCATGATCAACTTGCAGATTTTTTCTAAATCTTGTATTTACAATTTCCATGTCAATCCAAGAGGGTTCTATATAACCTACATTATGAAATTCAACAAATTTTAAGAATAAAAGAAGACATAATATGTAGAAAAGGAAGAAAGAAAGTCAAAAGAATACATTTCTAATAATTTCTATAATAGAATCTTCGGCTTTCAACACTGCTGCTGGAAAGCTCGAGCTAAAATTCTCACATGTCACAGAAGATATAATATTGTTTTCTTTTGTGTGTATTACAGTTGAATTTAAGAAATCTTGGCTTATACACGTTTTTCACGAATAAAATTCACGTTTAGGTCAGTGACCTTTTGACGGATCCAAAGTCTTCTTTTTAAAGATTTAAAAATCTTTGAAGATTATCCTCTCAAATCAAAAACCATGTAAAAATAAAACGCCCTTTTAAAAATTCCTTGCTTCCGATACTTCATCCCGCTTCCGCGATTTCCAAAATCTGCATAACTTCTTGAAAAACGAAAAAATAAACTAAGCAATGAAGCATTCTCCAGGCAGAAAAATTCTCTAGTTAATTTGTGTCATTTCCTGGCCTCATGCCCTTTAAACCCATGTATCGTAATTTAATCGTCGTATTTCCCCGGAACAATCGTCTGGATTTTGTTTTAGACCGCACTGTGCGATGAAATACTTGTTTTATTGCGATGTGCGGCCAGTTTTTGTTCAAAGATCATACTGACAACAAATTGTAAAAATATCGGAGATTAAAAAACGGTGAATTTACAGTCTCATTATGTGAAGAAATTGAATTTTTGAACTTTCGTAAAATCACCCCCTTCCCTTCCTTCCCCCACAAAAATACAGTAATCCAGATTAAACACGAATTTTTTGTTTATGTATAAAACATATTAATCACTATGCTTAAAACTCCCTCTGTAGAAAGGGGTTTGGAAAAACAGGAAAACAAAAAACTACAAGGGATTACTGTGAAGTGTTGATGAAACCGACTAATTAGTTGAAGAAATCCCAAATGGATAGGTCAAATCTTCTCCCCGAAGGACAAAAGGGCACATCGACATGTGCTTGTCGATATGCCAACGTCGACGTCGCGACGGCAATCTTTGCCCCGATGGCATTTCACTTCCTGTTTTTGATTAAATTTCCCACGTCAGACATGGGTAATGTCATAAATGTTTAATTGGGGCAAATTTTAAAGTTTTCTGTATGTAAACAAAAAGTTTAATTACCGGTACGTTCATGGGAGGGGTAAAAAACGTAATTATCACCAAGAAGGAAAGAGTTGACTCATTGGTCAAGTGTTACACTGCTCTTTAGATAGGTCAGAAATAAATATGTTTCGTATGTGTCCAGTAAGTATGTCACTTCAGTCTATTTTCAAGCAATACCGTTGTATTTCGGCTGAAACATCGACATTTTCCGCAGGGGTGGTCGGCGGGCCGGGCCCGTCACGGGCCGGGCCGGGCCGGGCCGCGGGCCTGGGGTTTTTTCCGGCCCGGCCCGGCCCGTCTAAAATACAATGCCAAACCGTTGGCATTCATTGTTTTCGCGCCGGGAAAATTAATTGATGTTGTTATAGTTGCTGTTTCTCAAGTTCTAAAACGTTTACAAGTCTCTAGTTCCATTATAGAACCACAAAACTATCACATTGATCCTTTACTAGCTAGATCAACGCCTTTTTTGCCTCAGTTTAGATCCCGAGCCTGGGCGCAGTTCGCAGAACCCTCTATAGACGGGCCTGCACGGGCCGGGCCTGGAAAAAGACTAGACGGGCCGGGCCGGTCAATTAGACGGGCCGGGCCGCGGGCCGAAAATCGGAAAAATAGGGTCTGCTGACCACCCCTGATTTTCCGTCAAAGGGTAAGAGATGACCCAAGTTTCAGTTTTTGGGACATGTCTTTCCCGAAAAATAAAAATTGTAAAAAATCGCCGGAAAACGACAAATGACCTCTTTCTGACTTCGAAAAGCCCTTGATCAACCTTTTCCCAGCCCTTCCAGCCCTGTTTTTCCCAAATAAAACGAAACCTAATCTGCATTCGGGCTTCCTATGAATCATAAAAACAGTTTTCTGGTGCAATTTCAAAATAATTTCACAGTTATATTTATGGAAACGTGTGCTAAAACACCCGTTTCAGCTTACATTTTCGTTTTTCATTTTGAAATCAACAAGAAATGTGAAGGGGAACAAAGTTTATCTTGTATTTGTTTGGTTTGATGAAGTTCAAAACGGGATTGCTGGGGAGCGGTTGGACGAAGGTGTGCCGGACTCGATCTGGACGATTGTTTCTCCGTATTTAACAATTTCCTTTTCATTCCGGTTTCCAAACATGATGCATCGTTTGTTTTGTCCGCGTTTCTTTCCAAATTTTTGTTGTTCTTCTCCATTTTTTGCAAGAATAATTTTCGAATCTTCTTCAGGCAAGACATGGAGGAAGTGGAAGAAGGATGGGACTCTCTGACAATCGCTAGCGGACTTGTGATTATCGGATTTGTCTTGTTCATGGTCCGGCGATTCATCAAAGGTGCCCAATTTACGGAGAAGGTTTCGGTGAAAGGAAAAGTCGCCCTGGTGACTGGCGCCAGCTCCGGAATTGGTCGACAAATAGCCAAGGAGTTGAATTTGAAGGGGGTTAAGGTGTACTTGTTGGTCAGAGATATTGGCCGAGGGAATGATGCGGTTCGATGGATGGTCAAATATGGATGTGACACTACAAGATTGTTGGTTCGACAATGTGATCTAGATGATTTTGAGAATGTCAAAAAGTTTGTCAGCGATTTTGACAAGGGTAAGACTTTCGTTTTTATTTTTTGTGAAGTTCAGGTACATTATTTCTGAAAAGACCCAAGTTCTCATGGAGAATATAATTTTAGAAGAGGATCACGTCGACATTTTGATCAACAATGCTGGATGCATGTTCATCCCAAAGTTTACGACGACCAAAGATGGAAATGAAAAGGTTTTACAGTCCAATTACTTGGGTGAGTTTAGAATGTCAAGTGCAGTATAAAAACGGCCAAAACTTGAACTAATCTTGTATTTTAGGTCATTTCCTGTTGACTGAGCTCCTATTACCCAAGTTGGAAGCTGCTCCGAGTGCCAGGATCGTTAATGTGAGCAGCGCTTTACATACGAGAGCTGATACCACCGACTTGGAGAGGATGAACAAGAAGCAAGAGTATGGAGTTGTTAGCAGCTATGCTCGTTCTAAGCTGGCTAATGTAAGTTTCGAAGGAATAAAAAGTTCAAATTTGGAGGATAATGTATAAAAAATTACATTACACTAGACAAAAGATGGTGTAAATTTGAGATTTTTGGTCATAAATTTAGATGGTTGCACTTTGCAGACTTCTAAAATTGATTCTTAGTGTGGGAATAGTCTCTAGGAAAAAAACGAGACCTAAAATACCTTTTTTGTCCAAACAAAACTACTATAATATAACTTCAGGTCCTTCATGCCGTCGAATTTACAAAACGCTTGCGCCGAAGAAGCAGTGGGACCAAGATCACAATCAATTCTTGTCATCCAGGCGCTGTGGACACTGACTTGGTTCGAATTCCCATTTATCAAAACTTTGTGAAGAAGATTTTCAAAGTTTTCATCTGGTTTTTCATGAAGACTGATCAGGATGGGGCTCAGACCCCTCTGTTTTGTGCGTTGAGCAAAAAGCTGGAAGGAGTCAGTGGCAAATACTTTGCGTGAGTTGTTTTAGAGATTATTAATTCCTAAAATAGGGCATTTTTTGCTTATTTTTACCTAAAATAAGATGGGATTTCGAAAAAAATGTGGAATTTTGGTTATAACACAGTAGAAACGCAGTGAAATCCAAATATTTTTCCGAATTAAACCAATTTTTTATTTTTCAGTGATTGCGCTGAAGCCAAGCCTCATCCCTGGGCATCCGATGACGACAAAGCCGAGGTTCTTTATAATCAATCCTTGGAGTTTTGCAAAATACAGCCAAACTGAGTCAATATTAATAAAAACATCTGTTATTGTAAGAATTTTAAAGGACAAAGTAAAATTTTATTTTATAGCTTGTTAAACAAGATTATTACTTTAATCATGGCACTTGAAAACTTGAATTATTCATAGTAAGCATGACGTATTGTAGTATTTATTTTCAAAGATAACAAGGAACATCAACATTTACAACAGTTTTTTTATTTTATTTTTTTTTTTATTTTTCCCCCGGAAAATCATGGGAAAATCTCCTCACGTCTCTGCCGCAGTGGCTGCCTTACTTTTCTGTAATTAAACAGCCTCATATTACAACTTTTCTAATCAAGAAATCAAAAAAAATTACCGTATCCTTACCTTTTTGATGACTTTCTTTTTTTTATTTTTTGGTTTTTTCTGAGTAATTTTGCTCCTTTTATCCTTCTTCTTTTCCAGAATCTCCTTGATCACCTCATCACTTATTCCTTGTTCCATCAGCTTCTTTTTTCGATAAGTCATCTTCTTTTCATCCACTTCCTTCCATCTTTTATCAACTCTGATCTCAATTTCTCTTTTTAAAACCATTACATTTACTACATCTTCAGCTACTGACTTCTCTTTAACCGGTAATTGGGCCAGCTTCACTTTGATATGCTCTTCAATGGCGGCTAATTCTCTGAAAACGAAGATTTTTATTGCGTAATAGTATACTAGGCACGGTTTCTCAAAACCAATGTTTATATCTAAAAATCAAGGTAAAATTGTATCAAACACTTACGCCAAGTCATATTGAGTGACAAACGTTATCGCAGAGCCGAATCTGTCAGCTCTAGCAGCTCTTCCAACCCTATGAACGTAAGTTTTAGGGACTTCGGGGACATTATAATTGATGACAACGTCCACTTGAGGGATATCCAAACCTCTTGAGGCAACATCTGTACAAACTAGTACCTTGGCTTGGGCTGATCTGAATTTGGAGAGAGCAAAGAGACGTTGCTCCTGCATCAAACCAGAATGGAGAGAAACGGCCTAAAATAAGGTTATGAAAGTCGTTCAAAACTGGTGCCCTTCGCAATCTAAAAACGGAAAAATAAAAATAAAAGACGACTTACTTCAAACCCAAGACCTTTTAGTAGCATTCCCATTGTCTGGCATTGCTTACAAGTCTTCACAAATACAATAATTGAGGTGTTTGGAGTAGCCACAAATAATGTTTTGATCACATGAACAACAAACGCGTCTTTTGTACCCAGTGGAGTCAGTACATAGAGCTGTTGAAGTCGATCTGCAGTCACTGTTTCATTCATCTCGTTGAAAAAGAAAGGTTTGTTACAAGATACCTAAAACAATATAAAATAATATCGAACATAAAAGAAATAAAAAGCAACGTAGTTAGAAGATGTCTTGAAATGTATGAAGACTACGTTTATGATTAAATGAATATGAACCAACCTCTTTCAACTTTTTGATGGCCGAAGTAATTGTTGCACTGAATAACAAAGTTTGTCGCTTTTTAGGCAGATGATCCATAATTTGTTTCAACTAAAACCAGAATCAAACAAAAAAGATTAACCCACATCAACTGCATATTGGCCATCCAACAGCTGATCGGCTTCATCTAAGACAAGATACTTGATCTTCTGGAATAAACGCCCAATTCCGTCCGGTTCACTGCGTAAATGATCGGCCAGCCGGCCGGGAGAAGCAATAACAATGTGTGGACGCCTGCAAAATAATTCCTTTGTAGATCAAATCAAAGAATAGGTAAGTTGAAATATGATGTTAAGTATAACATCAGAAACCACATTTACCTTGTCAAATGTTGAGCCTGATCTATCTGCATCCTTCCACCGGTAATTATCGAGGTCTTCAAGTTGATCGGCTTCCCTAACACAGCAAACTGATCGGCAATTTGAAAGACCAATTCTCTGGTAGGTGCAATTACCAACGCGAAGATTCCATAAGGATCCACCGCCAACTAAACAAAGAAAAATATAAATTAAAATCAGACCTTACATCCTGAAGTATTGGAGCAGCAAATGCGATGGTTTTACCAGTACCAGTCTTGGCACAACCCAAAACATCTCGGCCTTTGAGGATTTCGGGAATACAGCTTGCTTGGACTGGAGTGGGCCGATGAACGTTGAGGATTTTGAACTGATCCCTTAGCCAGGAAGCTACTCCAATTTCCTGGAACGTTGACATGACTAAAATGCTCGTGTTTTACCACAAACTCATCGAAATTAGGAGATTTTTTCCGGAAATAATTTTCTGAAAATCTTTGGCATTCTGTCTCAGTAATTGCCATAACCGCGGGAAATTTGAAAAATGATTTTCCACGTTTTTCAATTTTTATTTTTCCCAGATTTTCGGTAGATTTGTGTGGAAGTCTGAGTAAAACTAGCCGAAAATGGCACACAATGATGCCGCCTCTCTCAAAAAACGGGTTGACAAGCTTATGGTCAGTAAACTTGAGGATGATGAGGTATGCGATCCGTTTTTTTGTCTTATTTATGTTTAGGAATTTATTGAAACCATGAATTATGTGACAGGACTGATTCCTGAACACACAATTGATGAGAGGAAGCTTAGGCTGACATTACAAGATCGAGAGCTGCAAATGAATCGAAAATTTCTGGAGAATTTTGAGAAAGTAAGATCCGATAAGATGGATAATATATTTTTAGATGAATGACTCGGTTCAAGAGTTTGTTGACAAGATCGAGACAATGAATTTGATCTGTACGGAGCTGACGGCGAGAATCCAGACGAATAAAGAGAAAACGAGGGATTTATTGACCAAAACGGCGAGTCTTCAACAAGCCAAGTAGGTCTAGCACAATATATGCCATAACTCAGCTAGTAGTGGGTTTCGTTTGTTGAAATTGTACACAAAGAACGTAGGCAGGATTTTTTTGTGTTTTTAAGTATTTTGCGAAACGCGGTACCAATTAGCATCTTTGCCTGAATTTTTATATTATTTTATACCTAAAAATGTCATATTCAGAAAACAACTGGTCACTGAGAGGAACTACATTGACGACTTCTTCAACAAGTATTCTTTGACCAATAACGAAGAGATCATCCTTGGTAGTGCTATTAATGAAGGTCAAATTAGCGATCCTTTCTTCAAAGTTCTCCGAAAACTGAGCGTAATCCAGCAAAATATCAGCTCGGCACTCAGTGTGGATGCAGAGAGCACGGCTTTGTAAGTCTTTCTTCGTTTTTCATATTCCGAGTTTAGACAAGAAATGAAGAGACAGGTGGAGGAGAAAGATCAAGCCGCTTTCAATGCCCTCTTCTCCTTTGCTCAAAGGGAATGTCGGTTGTTGAATGTGGAGTTCCTCGAGCTCAAGCCGATTCTGCACATGGCTTTGGAAGCTCTCCAGCCCAGAGAGAAGTTATTCGAAGTGGTTTTGGAGGAGTACAGTGCGGCCAGAAGGTCTTTTATCGTCCGAGCTTATATTGATGTAATGACCAAAGGAAAAGGCCTCTCAAAGCCGATTGAGAATCTCTCTGCTGATCCGTTGAGGTGAGAAATACTCAATGAAACATGACTTCTTTATCTGGTTGGATAATACGGCATATTCCAAATTTTTAGCCGTTATATTACACTTGACATTTTAGGTATGCAAGTGACATGCTTGCATGGATCCATCAAGCTTTAGAAGGTGAAATTGAACTTCTTCAAGGACTTTTAAAGTCATGTCCCCCTGAAGTTATCACTCCCACATCAAAGAAGACCCTCTCCAACATATCCGAAGCCCTTTGTCAGCCATTAAAACTTCGAATTGAACAAAATTTATCAAGAGAAACCAATTCGGTAGTACTCTATCGACTTTCTTCGCTATTTTTGTACTATTCACGACATTTTGAGTGAGTTTTGAAATATTTTTTGGTTTTCTTTTCATAATATTTTAGGTATAAATTTGATGATTTTTTACAGAAATTCTGCAAATTCTGAGTCAATGCTGGTTAGAACGTTGAAGGGCCTTCACGAACTTGCTTCTAATATGTTCTTCAGCGTTGTCAGCAGCACAGTGCAAAAGATTTTGAATAATGTAAGGGTTTTTGACCTTATTTTAGGTATTTTTTTGCTGAAAAATCAAATTTTTTGATGAATCTGGCTGCTTGCGATCTAAAATGAGTTTTGGAATTTAGATGTCAGTCCCGGACTACGATCTTTTACCAGTCAATGCCATCAATCAGACCCTTTTCCTTCTCCGAGACATCCTGGAATCACAGAATGATGGAGCCTTCACAGCCATTGTGGACAAGAAAGAAACCTATGCCCGGATTTTCAGCCACGTCTTGGACCCGCTGAACCAGTCAATCCAACTTGTTTGCTCCAATATGCACAACCCATTGGACGTGGCCGTTTATATGTTGAACTGTTTGAACGCCATAAAGACGGTCATAATTATGTACCAATACACGGATTCCAAACTGGAAATGATCAAGGCCCAAATCGAAGCCAATGAGGATGTCTTGGTGGGCGAACAGGCCAGCACCGTGCTGATCAAATGCTCCATGCTGGATATCTACACGAAATGCGTGGCCCATCAATCCAACCAAGGCCCGTTGTCCCAAATCCAGGGCATGGAACCAGAGAGGATTAGAGAGAGTCTGGGACAGTTTAAGCAGTTCCTTGCAAAACCTGAGGGCTATCAAGCACATCAGATGGTCAAAATAGCAAGTGCAAGGAGCAGGGAAACGGTGGAGAAAAGGACCGCGGAACATATCATCACGGCGTTTAGAATCATCCATGACAAGATTGTAGACCCGGCGAATTTGTATCCGGATCTGGGGATCACCAGTGTCGAAGAGGTAAGGGTTTTGGGATGTTGTAGTAGCCATTTGTGGTCGAAGAGGTGGAAGTAGCAATTTTGTAACGAAATTTGTGTTAGTTCGACTCGATTGTTGTATAATTAGGACTTTTAGGTGGTATAGAATATGAGAATCTTAATTTTGGGAGCTTTTTTATATTATCCATGAGGGTAATCTAGCATAATGTAGGGTTTTTTTTGGCAAAACACAAATTTTGTTTTGGGGTTTTTTGGTCTTGGTCAGCCCTTGGGCATGGTGAATTTGTCAATTTTTTCCAGTTTTTGCTTTATAGTGTCAGAAAATTATGGAAATTTCATATTTTTTTGGCTAGTGTAATATCAAAAAAATTTTTTTTGATGTTTCCAGACATTTGGACGTTGTTTGTAACGCATTGTGCAACAAACAAATTGTTAATAGGATTGCTTTAAGATTCTTATCACTAATTTTGCAACTTTTTCCCTTTTCCCTTCCTAATTTTCCCTTTTTTCAGGTTTCCAAAATCTTGCTCCCCCATTCGTAACAGCTGTGATACAACTATTTATGGTGATGTTTTATTATATAGAATATATTTCACTAAATTTTAATTTATTTTGAAATTTTTATGGGTTACTGTAACAAGAATTTTTTGATTATTTATGTACATGTATATGTCGCTAATGACTGATTTATTTATGTTTTGACAAATAAATAAACAGTTCTCCCGTCGTAACAAAGCCCCTCCTTCCTTTTGCGGATCCCTTTAAAGGGCTTCTAATTGGCCCGACTCGCGCACCATATGTCAAGTATAATATAAGAATGAAGCCAGTTTACAAGCCTCTAATTGCGGATTAACCCGACAGTCAACAAGGATTAGACATGGCAATATTTGGGGTGAAACATGCGGGGATAGAAAAGAATTACGGTGGTTTGGATTGGAGGTGATGTCAAGTGTAATATAGAAATTTTTCAAAAATTTGATGTGGGTTGTAGAGTTTGTATGGTACGGTTCTGGGGTCTGATTACGTACTTAGAACAGTTCATTGAACCTTTTGATTACTAAATTTTTATAGTAGGGTCATTTCTTTCAGCTTGCGATGACAAGCTAATTGTCGCCAAGAGGCGACTCGCAGATCTTCTACAAATTTGGCACAGTTAATCTGTTTGGTCCAAGTTTCTATTCCTAAAAATATTAGCTAGCGCCATGCGGGAGCAACCGCGAAATCCGACCGTTTTTGCAGACGACAGATTATGGAAAATGAGAAGAGGCGGTTAGAGATAAAAACTCTTTTGTTACACAGAATTTTGCATGTACTTTGACGACTAATTTTGGCAATCCACTTGATCTATAAACCCCTGTGAACACAATCTTAGCCACCGCTTATAACGGCCAATTCAGCTGTCGTCCGAACATCGGGGTTATGAGGTCGTAACTCCATTTTTATGGCGTTTAAATTCGCCCGAAGCTCAAACGGCTATGAATTTAAATATTTTTGACTATTTAAATTTCTTTCTTTGCAATTTCTGTGAATGCGGGAGGGATTAGAGGACCGTTTCAAAGTTTTTAGGAGTTCAGAAATGCGCTTAAACCTCGGCTTGTCTGGAGTGTGTAAACAAATAAAACGAATCATTTTTAATTTCTCTGTTTAACAATCATCTGAGGAGAGGTGAGGATTCGAGGGTGAGAATTTATTAAATATTCGGATTTCCGAGAGGTCGTTTTTTAAAAGTTGCTGTCAAACTCCTGTAGTGGTGGGATCTGGGCATGACTAGAAATGACTTTGCATTCTCGGCATTGCGAAGTGGCTTAGACTAAGGTATGGCCAAAACGTTTTTTCGCCATGGCCCTCCTTTGAGCATTGTCTGTACCTCAATGACTGTGGAATATCTGGGCGGTCTCTGCATAGCGCGAGCCAAAATTTTCAGAACCTTGTATGTAAGCGGCCGGAGATCTGTGAAAATTCAAAGAAAATCTTTGCGTCGCAATATAGAGAAACTTTTTACAGAGAAGTTTTATGGGATACTGTAGTATTGTTTTGGTCAAAGATTTTGAGAAAAAATAAGAAAAAAGATTATTATGACGTCTAAGTTTTAACTAATATTTTTTTAAATATTTTATTTTTTTTGATGCTTAATTAGCCGTAATTTTAAATCCAAATACTCCCCACACCAAACCTGACCTCCCCTGCGACTTTTTTTAACCTTGTTTCCATAACAAACCCCTCAATCCTCCGATTGTTTTCCTCCAAAAACAAGTAGCCATTGGCTATTCCACGCCCTCCGTGAATGCCCAAAGTCAGGCTTCAAATTTGTTTCTCTGAAGAGGCCCCGGAAATGGAATGTTCCGAAATTGGCGAGCAAAGAAAGGGCCACAGATTTGGGACTGATTCCGGGACAACAAGTGTTTCCCTTCTTATGCCCTGAGGGCACATCTGAAGCGGGATGAAATGTGAAGTCGCCGAGATGGTTTTTTAATCAAATTCATGAGTTATTGTGACACTTTCAGAGAGCGGCAGATAGTTTTTGAGGGTTCTGGAATGTCGGGGTGTGGTGACAAATTAAGTTTACGATTTTTTGGGGGGAGTCTTGGAACCTTTGAGATTTTTATATTAAAAATTTTTTGCTATGAATCTATTATTTTTTAACCCATTTTTTCGATTTTTTTGATAATTTTTTCCATTTTTTTGGAATTCTCTATAATGATTTTTCATGAAAGAACCATTTTTTAACCGATTTTTGCTTTGAAATTAAAAAATTATATTTTTTTAATAATAAAAAAAATCTTTTTTAGACCTTTTTTCTAAAAAAATAAAACATTTTTTAAAATTTTCCAAGTCAAAAAAATGATGATTTTATCAATCCCCCCTTCCTCCCCCTCGTCTGCCATGTTGATTTTGACACGTATTTATAACAAGCCTTATCTCGAAGTGGACTCTTCAAAGATCTCGTCATGTCCACCAGGAAAAGATGTGGCCCGACATGACAGCGATACCCTCGGCCAGTCGTATTTTCATCCATCTAATCGCAAAGTGATCCGTCATGCCCCGCGGGCATCTTGGGCCGGGATTCCTGCGGTTTGAACCGCTGTTCTGGCGTCGAATTACACTTGCCTTCACCTGGGCCGCGGATCAGCTGCCGATTTATGCTTATGGGAATCGGGCGCGAAAAGGAAAAGGAAAGGACTTGTTGGACACTTGGGACAGGAAGGAAAAGGGTTTGTTTTGAGTCAATAAATTTAAAGTTATGTATACTATTAGGTAGAAAGTGAATATTTTTGATGACAAAAAGGGTTTGAAAAATTTCTAGACATTTTTTTCCAAAACATAAAAATTAAAAAATTTTTTCAAAATTTAGAAAATACTTTTTTCGAAATCCGCAAAGATCAAAAAGTCTTGACATTTTTTCGCACTGTGCGGGCGCATGAATTCGGCGTTGCGACGAGGTGTCGCGCGATAAAAATTCGGCGAGGTGCGAAAAAAGAGCGCACTGTGCGTTCAATTGCCCTTTTCAAAACAATGTTCTTGCACTGTGCGGTGTCGCAGTGCACCGTGAATTTTACTTGTCGCCGCGCGACAAGTGTTTTGCGCGACGGCGCACTGTGCAGACATGACAAGAAAAGCCCATCAAAATTCTTGAAACGAATTAGGCGAACGGAACGACCTGTTTCCAGCCAAGGCCGCTTGTTCGCACCTCTTTCCGGATATAAATGCAAATTTTCGCTTTGCGGCTCGTGAGTTTTTATGTTTTTTTTTGCGGCAAGTGGCTGTAAACGGTAGTTAGCTGGGGTTTCGTTGAAGCGGGTAGACGGGAAATGAGAGGGGAAAGACGTCAGAAGGAGGAGTGTGGAGAGATTTACGGTATAAATGTTTTAATTTTTTTTGCATTCTGTGCGAAGAATGTTTCGTATTTTACAAATGCAACGTACATTTCGTTAATTCTAACCTGGCAATCTTTACTTTTTTGCTCATTTTTTATGTTTTTTGAAGCCTTACCTTCTGAATAAAATAAAGGATAAGGCATTACATATTTTACTCAATTTTCTTTTTTGCTTTAACGAAATTTATTCTACGATCCCATCTTTTTTTGCAAATTGGAAGGCACATTTGGATTTTTTTTTTATTTATTTTCTTTGCATAAAAAATAAAAAAGAAGATTGTTACAAACGTATTATCTCACTAAATTTTACCATCACTAAAATTTGTTTTATCATCCAAAACTTCTTTCTTTTGTTAAGATTTTTACTCTTTTTTGCAAATTTTTAGTAGTTTTATGTAATCTTCCTTCTTAAGTCATTGTGTTCGTTTACCGGTTTTTTGTATTTTACCCAACTTCAGCCTTTATTACCAAGCCCTTTACTGTACATCCACTTTTCCATTTTCGGTCGATTATCACTCCGAACGGTCCATTTCCCTCCCCCTCTCAAAACGACTTTCTTTGTATTGCCCGCAGGCGATTAACGCGGAAAAGGATGCATTTCGGAGCCGTTTTTTCTTGGGTCCATCCTCTTTTTATGATATTTGAACTGGTCAGAATTCTTGCGGTTTTGGACATGAAGAGCTGTTTTCCGGATCATTTTTTAGATATAAAACTTCGCGAATGGCCGATCAAATGGTGGTATTTAAGAGGGCCTGAGGGCTTGTTGGTGCATATTGAAGATGAGAAATGGGAGTTTTATGACGTCATAGGTTACGATACTTTTTTTTTGATGATTTGGAAACTTGGAATTTTGGTGGGAAATAAAACTTGAATTACGTAGTAATCTCTAGTATTTCCAGAAGCAACTTGCAAAATTCGAAGTGAATTTTTACTTTTAGAACTTCCCGTATTAACTAGAAATTTTTTTCTTGGCCTCTCCAAACCGTCCTAAAATTTCAATCAACCCCATTGTTCCTCCCAACCTTCATGAATTTTCCCTCCTCGAAATGCCTCAAGAATTATATGACTAACCACAAAATTTTATGGCCCTATGCAAATGAGTGTTCGCGTCCTCATTTAAACCCGTGTTTCCCGCTTTGATTTCGCCCGCTTTTCGAGTTTTGACCTTTTCGGCGAAAGCGCTAATCAACTCGTTGCAGGTGGTCGTTTACAACTCGGATTGGTCGTTAAATTGAAGGAGATGACACTGACTACACGGTGAATTGAGTGCGCTGACAGTTGGATGCATTTTGAAGTCATCGGACACGATCTAGTCAGAGAAGGAATCTTGATACCTCAACTAGAGATTTAAGTCGATTTAGAAGCCCTCGGGGGATTTGAAGAATTCGACTTTTTTGTAGACGTTCTCTATGGAATAATCTACAAGTCTATGTCCAATATTTATACTCACTGCCAAAAATTACGCTCAAATTTGAAGGATCTTATACTAGACATCTATATCTGCCAACTTGCGAAAAACCACTGTGATACGCCATTTATCCTCAACAAAATCTTGTCAACGCTTAGCTCAATCCACTGCCAGATCAGCTGCAACGCATAGAACCGTCATTTTGAAATTTTATCAATGCTGGAGCCATGCATTCGCACCATCATTACTACCGTTTCCCCGTCGATTTCAGCGATCTCCTGGCTTCGGAATCCCCTGCTCGGCCCCGAGGCCATCGGACTGACTCCAGTAAATCATTGTTAAATCCGAAACCCGACTTTTTCAACCAATTTGAAGGTTTTATCGACAATACTGAGACTACATCGGCTTCTTCTTTGTCATCATATCGGAGATCGTACCATCCGAGGAAATGGATATGTCTAAATCTCTTGGCTTTACTTATTCTACTGCTAGCTGGACTGGCTTTGCTCTACACTTACAGCCGGACCCCATTGACTTGCCCAACGCAAACATTTATCGACAACAGCACTCGATATTATGATGAGAAATTCATTAGTGAAATGCTGATGAATTTGATCGATTCAAAGAGAATACGAGAGAACCTTCGCTGGCTGACCAATGATGTTCATGTGGCCGGAACCAAGACCCAGTTAAGTCTGATGGATCGGATCGAAGATGAGGTAATTTGAATTTGATTTATTATTCAAATTATTAAAAGATCGGGCGCCGCAATGGGCTGATTAATGGGCCATTCGAACTTTATATTATCCATCATTGTTTCTGAGGGAAATTGGATAAATTGGTTAAGATTTTGATCTAACAAAAAATTTATACTCCGCGTACAATGTTTTGACCCCCCTCCTAACTCGGCCCAAAGTGTACTAATCCGGACCAAATTTGGTATATAGTCTACTCGCAGGCTAGTAACAAAAAATAACATAGCAGGGCATACCTTATAGTTGAATTGCAAGATCCAGGAGCAATTTTCAAAAATCACCTTAAAAAATCGAGGAAAAAGTTTTGACCCCCCTTAAATAAAGTTAGATATCGCCAGCGGATATCGCCCAAACCTCTCGTAATCGACGTCTCATACCTGAATACAGGTCAATAAATGGTTTTCCGTTGAATCCTTCGTTGCATTTGAGGATTCAACGCGTTAAACCGTTTTTGATGTAGAGCTGCCCAAAATGGTAAAAATCTTGCCCTAGAGCTTTCCAATAGCTCTAAATTGGATTTAGATTATGTGATTTAGACCTGTATTCACCTTCTCCTTTCAATAAAAGTGCATGGTGACCTGGCGGTGTAGATCCGGCAGATACCCTCTTGTCATGCCCAGCTTTGGCGACTCATTAGCTTTCTGACCTAGGGGCTAGATATGGTCGTTAGGTTCTCAATGCAATCCTGAGACTCCTACTTACTCTCAAACAAAGAATAAACTCCCACTGACACGATCTCATATGGTTTGCAGGCGCAACTTTGCCGATCTGCACCTTAACCAGAAAACCGAGTTTTTCAAATGGATTTTTACTGACGAAAAATGGCTTGCATTAGATGGCCCACGTAATTTAAGAAGCTACGGCAACCGCCGTATACGTTTGAGACGTATCGAACGCCAAATCGCCCGCGGGGATCTGATCGTCCTCAGGGGCATCTACAGTAACGGCAAACGCAAGATTAAGCTGAATGAAACCCATTACAAAACGTGTCAAATCGAAGCATTTTACATTACTGAGTGTAAACAGGAGTCTCAGGATTACATTGAGGACCTAACGGCCACACCTAGCCCTTTACTCAGAGAGCAAATGGGTCGCCAAGGCTGGACATGACAATTGGATATCGGCCGAATCTACACCGCCAGGTCACCATGCACTTTTATCGAAAGCAGAAGGTGAATACAGGTCTAAATCACATAATCTAAATCCAATTTAGAGCTATTGGAAAGCTGTAGGGCTAGATTTTTACCATTTTGGGCAGCTCTACATCCAAAACGGTTTAACGCGTTGAATCCTCAAATGCAACGAAGGATTCAACGGAAAACCATTTATTGACCTGTATTCAGGTATGAGACGTCCATTACGAGAGGTTTGGGCGATATCCGCTGGCGACATCTAACTTTATTTAAGGGGGGTCAAAACTTTTTCCTCGATTTTTCAAGTTGATTTTTGAAAATTGCTCCTGGATTTTGCAATTCAACTATAAGATATGTCCTGCTATGTTATTTTTTGTTACTACCCTGTGAGTAGACTACATACCAAATTTCGTCCGGATTAGTACACTTTGGGCCGAGTTAGGAGGGGGGTCAAAACATTGTACGCGGAGTATATAATCTTTAAAATACGGCGTAAAGAGGAAACAAAATCTTCAAAAAATTTTTTAATTTTCAGTACAAAAGCCTCGGATTCAAAGTGAAGACATTTGAGTATGAGGCGCTACTGTCCTATCCCGATGAGAGCAGACCAAATTCAGTTCACTTATGGTCCGATTCAGAGGGATGGATAACTATTTCAAAGGGAATTGGAACTCCAATTGGGCCTGGAACGGTAAGAAGACGGTTGCTTGCAAAGATTGTTGAATATCTCGGCCAGAATTGCAAAGAAAATTCTAAAATTTTTTGTGAATGAGACGTGGCATAAAAACCCTTAACTCATGTCAAAGTTTTACTCTTATCTTTCCAATTTATCACTCTTCCAGAAACGCGATCCCCTAGGTTCGCTATGGTGGAATGCCTATTCTGGGAATGGAACCGTCTTTGCTCCAGTTGTTTATTGCAATTATGGAACAGAAGAGGACTTTACATTACTCTTGGAGGCTGGAGTAAAGCTCAAAGGAAAGATTCTGCTGATTCGATATGGCGCTAAATTCCGAGGGGACAAGGTGTTCCTGGCTGAACAGCTTGGAGCAGTTGGTGTTCTCCTTTATAGCGATCCCTTCGATTTTGCTCCGGAGAACCCGCATAATAACATGGTAATATATTGTATACCTGAGCACATAAAGAGCTATTAAATGGTACTGTATGTACTTCTTTTTTAGACCTATCCCGACCAAATCTGGCTACCCGGCACTGACGCTCAACGAGGAACTCTGTTAAGGTTCAATGGCGATCCAGAGACTCCGACCTTCCCTTCAAAACCTTACGTTCATAGAGTAAAGCAGCACGATCTCAAAGACGAAGGATTCTTGCCCACAATCCCAGTAATGCCCTTAGGATATAATGATGTAAAAAGTTTAATGGAACATATGGATGGAGTTTCTGTGCCTGTAAGAAAGTTTTTAAAGTTATCCTGAAGCATACACATCGACTACTTAATAAATACCCTTTCAATTTTCAGTGGTCTCGCTGGTCTGGAAGTCTCCCAGTCCAATACAAACTCAATTCCACTGTTCGTTTCCGTCTCGATGTGAACACTCGACTGGAACGAGGCCCCATCAAGAATGTCATCGCGGTTTGGCCGGGCCGCGAAGAGCCGGATGAATGGATTTTGCTGAGTAATCACGTCGATGCCTGGAGCAATGGAGCCATTGATCCGAACAGTGGGACTGCTGTGATGTTAGAGCTAGCCAGAGTCGTCCAACAAGTACATTCTTCAACGGATTGGCGACCCAAAAGGTCTTTAGTTTTCTGCCAATGGGATGCCGAAGAGTTTGGGTTAATCGGATCAACCGAATTTGTGGAAGAAATGCAAAACACCTTGGCGGATCGGGCTGTGGGCCTTGTGAATGTCGATAATATCAATGGAAATTCTACTTTGACGATAAAAGCGGTCCCACTGATGTATAGGGCACTGTCTAGAGCAGCTGGAAGAGTAAAACAACCGAATGATTTGGAAATAGAGAAAGGAAGGAAGACTCTGCTTGATTCCTGGAAGTACCATTCAGCGAAGGGAGCATTGCCTGGAGATAAAAGCGTACCAGCAATTAGTCATCCACTGGGTGGCTCAGATTTTCAACCATTCATTGGTAAGGGAGTTTATATCGTTTCTAACAGCTTCCTTATTTTTCATAGTGTCTCTTCAGTCGAGATCATTGAATGCCGCGAGATCTCGAATCTCGCGGCATGCTAGGAGTTAAAACTTTCTGCCATAAATTTCAGGCTTATTTAGAGCATCCTGACACTCTTATAAAAGAATCTAAACTTAAAATTTTTGGAAGCTCTATCGACAACATCTGATCTCAAGTATATATAACAAAAAACATTCTACAATTTGATTTTCAGGTTCATTAGGAATTCCTGTGGCCGATATTCGTATGGAAGGAGCTCCACAATACACCTTTATGCTCTACCACACCATCTACGAGACCTCGTGGACAGTGGAAAATCTGGTCGATCCGACGGGTCAAGTGTTCCGCGCTATGGGTCAATTCTGGATGGAAGTGGTCAGAGATCTGGCGGATAGTAGAGTGAGTCTTTCTGAGATTTTTAAAATTTGAATGCTGCCAAAATATTTGTTTCTGAGATCAAAATTATATTACCCATGTTGGATTTCGTGTAAAAATTAGAGAAAGCCCCATAAATTGCGTCAAAACGATTTCGTATTTTAGATACTGCCCTACGATGTGAACGACTACTCTGTTGTCATCTCTGAAGGTGTTTTCTTTCTCGAAAAATATCTTAGAACTCTCAATATCGACAAAATAGTCAAAGATTTTGACCAAATTTTCGAAAATCTCCACGAATCGGTATTAAAGTTGCGTAATTCGGCCGCGAAATTTACCCAGATGATCCACGAAATCTCACATCGACCCGAGTTAGTGGACGACTCCAGAATTCGGCGGATAAACCGGCGGCTTAAAGGCATCGAAAAATGCTTTTTATCGACCGGTAATGAGCGAGCTTCCCATCGTCATCTTGTCTTCCGACCCTCTTGGAGGGACAATTTGAATGGCCAGATGTTTAATGGAGTTCTGGAGCTGGCCTTGGAGCTGACCGAAGAGGAGAAAAGAGATGACGAACTGACAGATCAACTGATCTGGGAGATGAATCGAATTCAATTGGCGGTGGAGAGTGCGGTGCATTTCCTTGATCTCATTTGAGTCTAAAGACTTTTAGGACAATTTTTAATGACTTTTTGGTCTTTTCTCCAAGTGCAGGGCGCAGATCTTGATGAAATTTTCGATTTATCATCTGTTTGGGCCATGCTTTTATATGTAAAAAGTTCTTGCTGTTGCTGAATAAGGAGTGCCGAAATATTCAACTTTTGCCGGAAAAAAATAGTTTGTGAAATTCACCAAGTTGCTACAAAATACGGAGGGTCCAAGTGCCGATCAACGACTTTTATATGTATCTGACAAAAAAATCGTCGCACTTGAATCCACTTGTCGGATTTGGAGGCATCTTCAAACCTCTCCACTTTCGAAATCCCATTTAATTTTCGACTTTCTTAATCGAGGTCATGTAGGCGCTAAATTAATTTGGATGTTTTGACGAACGGTTGCATGTATTGTAAGCAAATACTGATTCAAGTTAAAGACGCAGAAATGATGATCGTATTTTACAAATTTCTAACAAAAACAGTTGAAAAATTGGGAGAATTTAATTAAATCGACGGCACAGCATTCCCACTGACAAGACGAGGGTCCCAGGTGCGGCGCTCAGAATTTCTCCGGATCTTACTGCCATCGAAATCAAAGAATTGCATTTGGGGTATTTTCTCTGTGAATATTTGTCTTACTGTGAGATTTAAATCCCAATTTATTGTTCGGTCCTGTTGTAAGTACCATTTTTAGTCAACTTATCCTCGTATATTAACTTTACTCATTGTATGTACAATCTATTTCTCTGGTCTCTCCTTGATTATGTAATTTTTTCCGATTTTTTGCCTTAAATTTTACTTAAAGCAATTTTAAACTACTCCTCTAAAAATCAAACAATTCCTAATCTTCATTTCCCAATTTCTGGTCCCCTCTTACCCCATCCACAATCCATTTTCAAGCCCACCATCCTCTTTCAGCCCCATCTTGACTATAAATCACTGTGATGACGTTATGAATTTTAATTTCGAATCGAATAAAAATAAAGAATATTGCGCAACGTCTCCCGTTCAATGCCTCGAGGGCATTCCCTTTGTTCGGCGGCATGGTAATTGACCTCCTAAGGGGTTCACTTATTATTCCTGGGATCTTCCCGAAACCTCCCTACATCCACTTCCAGCCCATTTATAAACTTTTCAATTATTTTTTCGATGTGTCTTTAAAATAATATAATTGAAGATTGAGCGGGAAGATCAACTCCATTTCTTTTCTTTTTGACATTTTTGGGTCATCCTCGGCACAATTTTCAATTTTTTTTATTTTTTTTTAACATTGGGAAGTGCTTGTTGTTAGAAAGAGAATAAAAGTTTGCAGTTACCCTAAGGCAATCTGAAAGTTTCAGAGGCTCACATTAAGCTTTAAGGCTTGAGCAATGACTTATCCTTGAAAGCACCGCTAATCCCTTTTTTGGATTCTTTTATCATTTAGCTAGTCCACTAGTCCGCTGTTTAGCAGGGAGCAATTTATTTACCGGTTGATTTTGATTGATTTTGAGTTAGCTTATTTTTATTATAGTTTCCAACCTTTAGATACACAATTAAGATTTTCATGTTTTTTACTTGATGAATATCGCTTTATTTTTCGAGCTATCTTTATGATTAACTGAGCTTTTCTCAGCGTAGGATTCTATTTTCCAATTTACTATTCATGTTGTTGGCCTTAATATGTAGTACGTATGTAGAATCAACGCTAAATAAAAAATCTTTTTTATGTGATGTGATACAAAGATCTTGACGAAAACGAAATAAACTTAGCACAAAATTTTAATAAATGCATATAACCAACGGTTTTATAGGTTCCAAGATTAGATTTTAAGTCGAAGCTTATAACGGAACCCTTGTTTAACGAAAAATTTTTATTTTACATCTTACAGTGTCTTTTGAAAGCTTCGATTTAAACTTTGCAATTACAATGTACACGTTTCTAGCGTTGCTTGGCATGGCCTAGTTCTAGTCTAGTAAAATTGACCCTTCGTTTTGTGGGAGTTTTTTGTAGAGATGTTCCGTTTCATATTTACTTCTTGATTAACAAACTATTATATCTACATAAACATGTTCGAACAATATTTTGCTTCGTAAAAGGTTACTTACTTTTTTTAGCAAAATCATAACAAAGCAGATACAGTCATGGTAATGCGATCCGGCTATTTAGCCCTACCGCTATCACTGTTGCTCCTCACAAAATGCACATTATCCTGCGCCGCTACTTCAAGCTCAACTACCCGTAAGTTACATTCATTGCTGCCCCTCCAATATACATTTACATATCCATTGCTTTATTCAGTATAAACTATTTTTTCAGCATGTGGAACTTGCCCGAGTCTTCAAGTCATCACAGATAACAACAGCTTGGATCATGGGGTGACTCTGACCATGGGAACGAATTCTGCACAGTGCGCCACACTAACAGTCACTTGCACCGGCGATACCTCAACTTCCGAAGTTATTTTATTGGTATGTCAGCATTTTGCACTGCATTTGGCCGTTGAAAGGTGCTACAAAAGCGATGAAAAGCAATCGCTAAATTTCTTACACCTAGTCCTGGGCGGCGGAGAAGCCCTAAATTTTGTAAAAAAAGGGGGCAAAGAGCTATAATTTTACTCTGTGAAGTGTAAGGGTATCAAAATGAAAAGTAAGTCCAGGACAGCCGTTTGAAAATTGTTGAAAAACAAGTCAGCTACATACCGGCTATTTTTACTCATTTGTAGTCGGAAGAAGAGAAATTTTTAGAACGGCTCCTCTGAACTCACTTTGCACTCTGATACTTTGCAGAATAAAGTTAGAACACTTCTGCTCCCGGCGTGCAATGCCCGAAGCTTCATCGACGAACTTCTGCTGAGAAATCGGCGGTTACTTTTCACTGCATTTTGTAAAATTCCCTGCAGTATTTTATAGAAAGTAAAAAAAATCAATGTGTATGAGAAAAAAAATACATAATGACAGTAAAACCGTTGTACAACCAACCCATATAACAAAACCCGTCTATTACAAAAAACAATGAGATCCAAGCGCCAGTACTGTGTCTAACCAAGCCTGACCGATTCACCACCGAACCGGACAATCATGGCGCACAGGCAATTTGTCTAGCGCAATAAAGTTGAAGGAGTTAATTTGAGGCCACAATGAACCGAACCTTGCCATAAAGAAATATACTTTTGGCTAGCCACATTCGAGTGTTTTATTTTTGAGACTTTTTATGCAATTACTTTTACTATATACCCAAAAAGCTTTTTACATCCAACCCTTTCAGTGGACCGACAACGGACAGGACCAAGGCTCCTCCACGGACAGCAACGACAATTCAGTGACTCGAACTCTGGTCTGCAACAACAACATGCAATGGACCCTGACGGACAACGACTTTACTGGCGTTGTAACGGCAGTTGAGTGTCTGGCGACCTGAGAGGTTGGAATTCGCAATCAAATGGTCTCTTCTAATATTCTAATGATCCAAAGTTTATATTCTTAATAAAAGAGAAACGTTTCTGTTGAGGGAAAGTGTTTCGCGTGCGGGGTGAAGTGTCATTAGCGGGATTCTTCTTCGAGGGCCCGCTTCTCGAAGCCGCGAGATCCGCTTCGGATCGGCTTCGGTTTAAAAACGCTCGGCTTCGGCAACAGATCGTCATTCATTCCTGTTGCAATTTAAACTGTATTTTAATGGTATTACTAGCATCATCACTTTTATTTTTCATCACTAACTAGAACTTCGAGGCCTTATAACGGTTTCTAAATCATAATTTGGACCAATTGAGATTCTACGGATACTTTTTCGGCCAAGTTTATATTACAGTAGGTTCAAATGTCAAAAAATTTTGATTTTTTAAATTTAATTCTAATCTCAGGATTGGCACACACCCAAAAGTGAACAAATAGAGCATATTCAACATTTTCATAATCTCTCTACCCCATAAAATTGCCTAAATCATCATCAAAAATCGACGGTTTTCCCTTCCTTCCGTTTAATGCCATAAATGTTGATGTTCAAAATCGTCCTAGTCGTAACTCTACTATCCAACGTCATAACCACGTCTACCTACGCGTGTGCCGCTACAGCTCCACCAAGTCAACCAACCACCATTCCCGCAACGACGTCCACAACAACCACTTCAACTGGCACTACAGGTACGTATACGACCGTAATTACTAGAAGCTATGTGACGGCAAGTAGCCTCTAAGTGTAAGTATTTATCGGATCAGTGTTAGAACTCTAAATTAGGTCATTATTCGGAACAACTGACTTGATTTTTTGCTGATTTCAATTATATTGTACTAGGTGATATAATTCGAAAATCTGAGCAATAAAACATCACCTGAGTTGCCGGCACTAATTTTACGACCAATTTCAGAGTGTGGTACGTCTTGTTCTCAAGTTACTCTTAAAATGGATAGTGAAAATAGCAGACCTATTAACCAAACAGCTAAAGAAAACGCGGGAAATGGCTGTCCTGGCTTCGTATTGGACTGTGGTGGAACTTCTGATGATTCTGCAGTCATTTTTACGGTATGTAGGATGTTTTTAGACAATACATTTATCACAATTTGCCCAATGATGGCGATTTTCGACCTCGTTTTAGATATTAAAGCTAAAAATATTCTAATTTCAGTGGTATCGCAGTGGCACCGATGTCGGAAGTACCTTCGGAACTGGGACAGTCACTGCAACAGTTATCTGTAGCGCCAATAATCAACTAACATTAGAGGGAAGTGTAGTAGATAGTGTAGAATGTATATCCACGTAAAATAATAAGAAATAAATAATTTATTAGAATTCGATCACAGAATATTTTACACTCGGCAACTGAGAAACTTTTCATACCAATTGTGCAGCTTTTGACAACCGAAAGATCGGGGAGTTACGTAGAATATACAGGCTAGGTTCTGGTCTAAAGTAATATCCAAAATTATGGCGAGAACTTGCAATTTTAGTACTCTGAGCTCATAGTACTAACCATACACAACAACACTCCTCCTTACAGCACTAAAACTCAAAAAATAATACCAAAACCTTACTGTATATTCCAAATAAACCATATCGTTCATCATGTATAACAAGGATGTCCTTTGACCATATCATCCAGTCGACTGTGGAACAATTCTGATTTTATTTCCTCCTCCGTAGACACCATCGGATTCCTCACCACCGTCGATACGTATAACTCGTAGATTTTCTGCATCAAAGCATGAATTCCCTCGGCATCCGGGTCCGTGTTCAACACCATCTTCACGGCAGTCGCAGTTTCAATGTAATGCATCTGATAAGCGGACGTTTTGAACGACTTCACCATCTGATGTCCACCCTTGGTCGAGAGTTTGGAGGAAAATGAGCGGAGAGAGAGCAGCATCCCATAAACCAACTTGAATTCCTCATCTTTGGACATATCCGAAGATTTTTCCCGCTTCCATTCCTTGTAGACGATACATTGTCCCGATTTGTTGAAGATGTAGAGGTTGTAGATCGTCATCGAGACATAAAAGAAAAAAACTCTCGACAAAAAGAATTTTTTTGGAAAAAAATCTCGAAGAAGTTTGCGTGGCCACCCGTGGCATTTCCGCAAACTGCGGCCTAAAATACCATTCGAGACAGAGACGAACACTTTTAGGGAGCGGAATCGCAAAGTAGTGGCATATATTGTCTTCAGCTGATCAGGTTGCAAGTACTTGCAGACCAAATTTTCGAACTTTGCTCGAATCATGGGATTACCTTACTTTCCGTCATAAACAACATCACAGCGTGACGATTTTTTATGCCCAAAATGCATAAAAATATATGGGGCCTTACCTTATAAACATTCAATCTAGACCTCTAGAGTTCCGATATTTGACTTTCATTGTAATCGTACTGCTATTTACTGTTGAATAATCAAAACTTTTTATTATCGGGCGCAGCATGCCAGAGGTCAAGTGAACCGAATCGTGTTCTCCTTGAAACGTAATGCCAAACTTTTTTGGTTTTATGTCCCGCAACGATGACAATCGCAGAAAAAGCGCGAAATCGTGGTAAATAAAATTGCTGGAACGAAAAATCCGCCAGGATTTAGTCGTTTCGACATCGTGGCTTTGAAACTTGAACCAAATATGACCGAAAATCTTGATCGTGGCTTCTTCCAAGTAAGTGTAATATGATTTATGAGTTGAACTACTTTCTCTTAATCGTTGGCAACGAATGTCGGTGATTAAGATGTAGATTGTTACTCATTTTTGTCCAAAGTTATCTGAATTGATCTCTAATTGTCCGTATTTTACCTAAAATAAAACTTCTTATCTGGTCTGACTTGTTTAACTTTCAGCATCTTCTCGACAACAGTGCCACGGCCAAGAAGAACCCGGTCTTGCAAGTGCTGGAGTTGAGAAAATATGGAAGTGGGAATGCGTCGAGTAACAGTGTTGCTTTCCGCGCTCGAATGAGTGATTCCCAATTCACTTATTCCAATTGCATTGGATCTCCTGAAGTCTATGAAGTTTTGGAGAATCAAGGAGTACTGAACAGTCGTCCCATCATCCGGGTGAACAGCTATACGAGTAATGATAATAAGTGAGTGGTTTTTATTGTTAATTTTGGTGTTTAGGATCAAGAAGTAATTTGCTGCGGAAATTTGCCTTATATCACTTTTTTGATGGCATGATATTCCTGAGGTCTTGAGGGGTCTTGGAGAAATTTTGTGGGAGGTTTAAAATATTCTAGATTACCTGTTAGACGATATAGTCTGAACGCCTTAAATAATATAGATTTTTTCTCTTATCGTTTTTATTTTTTTAGTGGAAAACGTCTTTTCTGCATGGTGAACGTTGAAGTTTTGGAGGATTCCGCTCAACAAGTTGGTCAACCCATCCCCCATTCCGGAAATCCTAACGACTATCGTGGAATGGACACTATGGAGATCTCAACTGCATCTTCCCCATCTCGCAAACGAGTTGCAGCCTCTATGAATGCGACCACTCCATCCAAGAAAGCAACTCCTCAAGGTGGAGTGTTTGGACAACGAGTCTTTGCCATCAAAGACATCAGTCCGTATGTCAACAACTTCCTTCTTTGTGGACTGTGTCAGTCGAAGGAGCAGATTAGACAAGTCAACACGAAAAGAGGCCCCTCCAACATCTTGAACTTCACCTTGATCGATGATGCGGGCTCTTCGATTAGAATCTCAGTTTGGGGAGATCAGGCCACCCAAGTTGACCAGATCTTAGAAGAAGGTCAGACTTATTATGTGAACTGTCAAGGAAGCGGATGTGTGAGAGAATCTAACAAAAGATTCAATGCCACTGGACATCCATATGAACTGAGTTTGAATAGCTCTTGCACGGTAAGTTTTTTAAATTTTTTGTTGGTTTTTTAGGAATGGTTTAATGAATACGACATGAAGAAACTCGGGTTTTAATTTTCAGCTCGAACCTTGCATTGACAGAGTCGTGGCTCCAACTTCCATCAAACTGAACCCAATCCCATTGTCGGACATCAAAATGCATGCGAATGAATGTGTGGACCTTGTGGGAGTCATTGACACGGTAGATGAAGTCTCGACAGTCAATGCGAAGGACGGAAGAACCCTCCACAAAAGAAATGTTGGCCTCATCGACGACTCGAAGACCCAAGTACAACTTACTTTATGGGAAGATGACGCCCATTCCTTTGACTACCAGCCTGGAGAAGTTGTTTGCGTGAAAGGAGCGTCGGTCAGAGAATTCAATGGTGGTTTTTCGCTGAGCGTGTCCAAGGCCCAGACCCAGATCTTCCCATCGCCACCGGAAGATTCGACCACGGAATCCCTTCAGAAGTGGTTCATTCAAGAAAGACCGAATGCGGAAGTGGCGTCGATCAGTGGAGGGGATGCCGGAGGATCTTTGGAAAGAGATTTCAAGTCGATTGGAGTGGTTCAAGCCTCTGGAATGGCCAACAGCACTGCATTGGATGACAGAGGCATCTACATCAATATCAAGGCCATGGTTAATGGAGTCAAGACCGAAAATGCGTTCTATCAGGTAATAAAGGAGGCTGATGCGGGGTTATAGAAGGAAATTGGAGAGAATTTTTATGTTGTACATGACAAGTATAATATAAAAATGGATATTTTTTTATTTTTTATTTTCTTTAAATTGAATTTGTAGTAAGATTGTGTGTTTCAGAGCTGCAAGCAATGCAGAAAGAAGGTGAATGTGGTCGACAACACCATCAATTGTGACCGCTGTGGACCCGGAGTCGAGGCCAAGTATGTGTACATGCTGTCTCTGGAAGTCGCCGATTTTACGGGTGTTTGTTGGCTTACCCTCTTTGACGAAGCTGCCCAAAGTCTCCTGCAGATCAGCGCTGATGAGCTGCAGCAAATGTATACTGATGATGTAGGTCAAGGGTTATATAATTTCTTCTCAATTTTTAGAGTCTTGGCTTTTAAATAGAAAGACGATGTATTTTACTTTCAGAGAGAATCCTACGACGCGGTATTCGACAGAATTCGCTTCAGCGATTACATTTTTAGATGCAGAATCAAGTATGAAACGTTCAATGTAAGTGGTTTTAATGTTTGAATTTGATGTTTAGTGCAAGATCAAAGCATAAAATGTTGATTACAGGACCGCCAGAACCTCCGTTGGACCGCAATGCAAGTGAACCCGGTGAATTATGACAGGTTGTGTGGAATTTTCCAAAGATCCCTCGAAAAAATCGACCAACTTTAAGAACTCACTTGTATGATTGGAATATTCAGTGTATCTCACCTATAATTTAATGTAATTTGTAGTATTGTCCTGTTAATTTAAAGGTAACCTGTTCTTTAAGTTCGTTTTTATAGTAGAATACAATAAATGGGGCTGTAAAATTCGAAGTTTTGAAGGATAAAGAGGGATAAAACATGGTGCATTGGCCGGGAAGGAGCTTTTTGGGATCTTTTTGTGCCTGTTCCCAGCCAATGAACCATGTTTTATCTGATTTTGATCAAATTTTAGATATAATTCGGAACAGAAAAGGGTGTTTTTTGTATTATGAAAAGCGAGGAAAGGAAAGATAAAATGGAATAAATTTTCATGGCCGTTTTCTTTTTAGTCCGCCTTGATTTCAAAATTAAAATAAAAAACATAATTGACATCGGCGTTCACTTATACACCTAATTGTAAGCAAATTCTGTGAAATTAAAAGTGCCTTGCGGCGCTCAGATATGGTTCAAATTTAGCACGAGTGATTTATAAAGACCGTATACCAATTGCTAAAAGTTTTAGCTCGCACGTTGCAGAGTTTTTAAATGTTAAAGCAAATTTTGACGACGAGAGAGTATGCAAACCGTGGAGAGTGGCTAGAGATTTTTCTTGGCAAATCTTGTGTGAATTGAGAATTTGCGGAAGTACTGAACAATATAATACATAAGGAAAAGATCATTTTTTGGTTTCAGCTGATGAGAGCGAGTGAATTTTTGGTCAACTTTCGTGCAAAAAATCCTTTTTTTAATGAAATTCACGCTTTGAAAATTTCGCGTATGCCTTGAAAAAAATTTGATCTGTATTTGGGCCAATTTTATTAAAATATGAAGGTCTTTTATCTACCATTTCGATGGAAAATTGGACAATTATAATATCCGGAAAATTAAAAAAAAAAACACATTCATCATCGATACTAAATGATTTCTCATCCTCTAACTGGATGGTACAAGACTGAGTACCCCCCAAAAAATTATTTCAGAGACAGTCATGAGGTGGCATCGAAGCCTTGGCCTCCAATCTTGGAGGGTTTCCCGTCGATAAAGCCTTACAATTGACAGTTTCATGGCTTCGCCCCCATTATTAACATATTCCTTTGGTTGCTCTCGAAACTCAAGGCTGAAACGTTCGTTTGAGCGGGATAACGAGGGATATTCGTGAAGTTATTTGGATTTTTATAATTTTTTGGGCTTTCGGTTGTATTCAAATTGAAATTAATGTTAAATTTGAGTGGGTTTTAAGGCCACGACATCTTGGGTGTAGATTTTTATGAGGTCAAAGTCATAATATTCAATAAAATGCCTAGGTTTTCTTCAATTTTTCATTTATGATCAACCCGGTCATCACTTTTTGGCTCAGCCGAGATATCTAACAATCTCCGAGGGAGCATGAAAAATGAGGAGAGACAGTCAGAGAAAAAAATCCGGTGATACAGCGAGCGTTGTAGCCAGAAGTTAATGTAAAAAGTTGTAGATTTTTTGCGATATTCGATTTGGAAATTTTAAAATCAGTGAGCAAAGCACAACAAATTTTTTTTACGAAAAAGTTCTATCAAATTTTGCGAATTTATGGCTGAAAGACGTTTTTTCTCTGACTGTCTCTCCTCGTTCACAATAGTCTTTAAAATCAGATCCTTTTTGCAAAAAATTCAGCTTAGTTTCTTGAGATGTTTCAACAAAAAATAACTTTTCTCCCCGCGAAATTGGCGGGTTTATGGTCAAAATTCTAATTTTTTTCTACCGTCTCCACATTTTCCATAACTCTTGTCCTCAAAAACCGCTGAATTTTTTGGGTTCGTCTGTCGATCACGACCTAATTTATGTCGTATTTGTCGAACCCATTCAAAACTTATTATCCTGTTCGAACATTTTTTTTGTTTCAAGTTTATCTCATGTAATATTAGACCATGAACAATGACGGAGCAATGGCTTTATTTATTTTTGTTTATTATTTATTCCCATTAATTCGGTGAACTTGAGAAAAGGAATTCGATTTTGTCTCAAATTTCCAATCCGCCTTGTTGATTATTGCTCGAGATTTATTTCATTTTTATTCGTCTATTTGCAAGTTATTTGGGGTCGCTAAAATGTGCATTTTAGAAATCAAATTGCGGGTGAGTGCAAGGATTACAAGTGTCGTATTTTACTCACTAAAATATTGGTATTTCAACTCAAAGGAAATCAGAAAAAAAGTGATCCATTCTTGAAATGGAAACTTAATTTTGAATGATTTTGTTGGAATTGTATGTACCGTTCGTTCCAGAGGATGATGTCGGCTACGCGGAATGCCCGAGACAAGGAGATCTTCAAGAAGCGGAAGGTGAGAATGAGTCATTTTTTTTTTTTATACCTCACTGCGGATTACAGCCTAAGCTAAAGTCGAAAATTGTTGTTGATTCCGAAAAATCGGAACAGTAAAACTCTTCTGAAATGTTGAAACCCACCGTCTAATCGCCGTATTAGTCAAACTTGCAGTTGAATTTCAGCTGTTCTACTATTTTCGACTACTATTTATTTTTGAGATTTTTTGAAAAAAAAATTAAATTTTTATGCGACGAAAAGTAAAACCTCCGGGAATTTATCAAGAAAGTTTCTACGAATATTTATTTGTAAGTTGCTGTAAATTTTACTGTAAAAAAGTATTAAGATGCAAATTTTTCAAAATTAAAAAAAAATTTTTTTCTTTTAAAAATAATTAAAACTACATAAAAAAAATTTTGAATATTTTTTACCCTCCCACTTTACTGTATGCAAATATAATATCTTTACGTTTTTTACGTAATCTTTGACGACTTTTCGCTTTCTTTGGTTTGTTTTTTTTGCTTTTTTGTTTGCTTCCGTTAAACCCATAAAGAAATGTTCTATGGGTGGACAGACAACAACAAAATCCAATAAAATCGTATTATTCTAGTTTTATTGGATGCTCAAGACAAATTTTTTGGAAGAACAGACCAAATCAGAAACCAAAAAATTCATTTTTTGTGACCAGTTGGAGTTTTTGGGTTTGAGATATTTAGGTCCACATTAAAGTAAAAAAAATTTTTTTTTGAAAAGCTTAATTGAATTTTTTTTTGCTCAGTGCAAACTTTTATTTCTGAATTTTTTCGCACAGTACGGCATTTTTTTAAAATTCCTGAAAAGAAAAAAATCAAATTCGAAAAAAAATTATGGAGTAATTTGCTGTATACCAATGGTCGATTTACAATGAAAGTACCCCAAGTGCGACGCAGATTTTCTTTAAATTTTGCACACACGTCGGGTATGGACTAAATATCAATTCCTGAAAGTTTTAGCTCGCGCTTTGCTAGCGCCGCTGAGTAATTGAACGATCTTTGCCGCCGAGAGAGCGCGCTAAACGTGGAGAGCGGTTAGAGAGAAACACCTTTTTGGCCATAACTTTGGCAGTTTCGCGCGGAAAAATTTGATTTTTTGTAGAAACATTACCCTTTACGGTTGCAATTGGCATGAAACTTTTCGTGCCGAAATTCGGCAAAAAGTCTTAAATTTTCGCCGACTTTCGATCTAAAAAACTCGGTTGTTTCTGCAAAGCGCGAGCTAGGATTCTCGCACATGTCTTGAAAAAAAACATTCTAAATTTGTGCCAAGTTTCATCAAAATCCGAGCGTCGCACATGGGGTACTTCCCCTGTTAATTCTTCTTTCCAATATGCTCTGCCTTAATTTTTCACAGTTAAAGGACCACAAAAGGTATTTTTTGAACCGAAATTTGCTCGGCTAAAAAATTGACTATCAGGAATTTTCGTGTCGAGAAAATTCCGGAGAACAAATGTTCTCGATTTATTTTCGGATAAAAAGATTTCCCGAGCTTCTGTTCCGACCTTCTTGTACATGGTCTGGCAGTTTCACTCGATGCAAGGAAGCATTATGACCGTTTTTGCAGTTCCAATTTGGACCACCACCTCGAGAACAACATGTAAGTCAATATTTTAGTGTTTTTAGCGAGTTTAGGTAATTTTTTGACATGGAGGTTCAAGAAAGAGAATTTAGTTCCAATATATGCCATCCAGAAGTGCTAGTGGCCCAGTTTTTGGGAGATTAAAGTCAAAAATTGACCAAAATCCCTAGTGCAATATATTATTTTCAGGAATCCCGGCCCACTCGGCTCCTATGCCCGCCAGCCTGACCCAAAGGGCTCAGTAAAACAATTATGACCGAATCAAAGGTCTCTGCAATAGGCGTTTTTACTTTATTGTAAATAAGATACATTATTGTTACTGTGTAAAAGTTAATAAATTGATTCATTCCTCCAGATTTTTTGATGATGAGACCTTCCTATTGTCCGTACTTTTACAGCTAGTTGACATGTCGAAGCTTCGCGGCTGTGGAGGTCTTCGCCTGAAAGAATTATATTACACTGGACCGATTGATCATGGTTTTGCTAATAGTGTGGCGTAAAATGGTGCAACCACATTCAAGATGGTATCATTAGAAAGCCGAAACGATTTTCTTGCTCAAGGAGCAAAGATTTCCGGACCTAAACCATGAAAACAAAGAGAAATCTCACCTTTCATATTTTGACATCAGCTCAATGAAAAGCCTAAATGTTGAACGTTCAATGACTTATACCGGTCTCACACCTCGTAAGATGCTTTTGCGAGTCCTTGTGGAAAGAATGAAGCCATCTGGCAGCATCCGGATTCGAGTTCCTGAAAATAGTATATTACACAAGGGATTTTGGTCAATTTTTGACTGTAACCTTCCAAAAACTCGGCCACTAGCACTCCTGGATGGCTTATTATGGAACTAAATTCTCTTTCTTGCACTTCCATGTCAAAAAATTACCTAAACTCGCTAAAAACACTAAAATATTGACTTACATGTCGTTCTCGAGGTGGTGGTCCAAATTGGAACTGCAGAAACGGTTATAATGCTTCCTTGCATCGAGTGGAACTGCCAGACCATGTACAAGAAGGTCGGAACAGAAGCTCGGGAAATCTTTTTATCCGAAAATAAATCGAGAACATTTGTTCTCCGGAATTTTCTCGACACGAAAATTCCTGATAGTCAATTTTTTAGCCGAGCAAATTTCGGTTCAAAAAATACCTTTTGTGGTCCTTTAAGAAAATTTTTTTGCACAGTTTTCTCGTAAATTTTTTTCAAATTCCTTGACCTTTTTGTTTTTCAAAAAGTCTAGTCTAATTCAACAACCTCAACTCCGAGTAATCACGTCTTCCATTTACTTTAATCCATCAAAATTTGAACCAAAATTACTGACAATAGTAACTCCCTTCTGTTCCGCTGATTCATTTTTACTCCCGAAAAAGCCATTTTTATCGACAAAAATTCAATTTTGATTATGCAAATCGCGCAAAAGCAAAGACCGCTGGATCCGACAAGCCGTCGAAGCGCTCTTCTCAGATTTTGGTTGTGATTTTACATGACATAGTAGCATTTTTACTTTGTTTTATACTCTTGAAATCACTTGTTATTGCTGAAAACTTTTCGTGATTTTTTGCTGATTTTTGCACGTCTTTTTGTTAATTTTAAAAGATCATTTTGACCCCTTCAAACTTTGTCTGCAAGCTCCAAAAGTAATCCGAGATCCCAACTTGGGCGTCTTTGTAGCAAAATTTACCTAAACTTCTTTGCAAAAAGTTTAAAAGCGCAACTTTTTTGTTCGAAAAAACAGCTGGATCCATGAAAAAAGTTGAGAAAATCAGTCTAAAAAAAGGTAAATACACCTTAAAAAGTAAACATTCCCATTAAAAACATGACTTTTGAAGGTGACTTTAGATTTGAGAGCCCTTCTAGAGATCGATGTTCTAAACAAGTCATAAATAGTAAGTAATCTCTGATCGGGCTTGGCTTCTCTCTTCTAGAGTTACTGTTTATCCAGACCTTCCTACGGGATGACGTGAGCTGGCGAATAAAAGGTGAGAGTTGCAGCCAGAGATGACAAATTCAGACCCTACTGTAGTCTTATCGAAATTAACTCCGATTTTCGAGGTTTGTAAATACCCCGGCTAATAGTAGTAGTGCTTAAATAGAAGGGCAAATAATGAGGAACGCGAGTTCACAAACCCAAGCCCACGTAAAAATAGCAAGGAGGTGTTAAGGGTAGTTTGTATTTTGAGGAAGATCTCTTTCTAGACTTTATTCAGCTTGTCATGTTCTTCAAGAGCGGCGGTTATTCGTTGTTTGGAGTAAGTTGAAAGTTTTGATGATAATTTAACTACCGTGGTACGATCCTAGTTTCATAAAAATAAGTGAAAAGAATTTATTCGACTGAAGACTTCCTACAGTAGGCTCGAAATGCGCGGCTCAGCATGCAATAAAACTTGGCACAAGTTTAGATTATTTTTTTCCGATAAGATAGATTCGTATATTACGGTAGAAAAATCGCAATTCTAATTGGCAAATGCCTGCTGCCCACAAAGTGGTTGCCCTCAAGTGTTGCGACGCCATAGTACAGAGAAGATACGATCAAAGAAAGGGCATTCTCCGACCGTACCTTCCTCAATTCAGCTGTAGAACCTTGTAAATAGTTGCACGTAAAGTCTATAAAGGTCGCAAAGCACAAGGACATTGCACATGATTATACGACGTAATGTAATTTTAGATCATTCGAAACTATAGCCACAACCTTTTACTCTACTCTTTAAATCCGATTATTCAGTAACTTTGTTAGGCTCACATTGTTGGGCATTGGTCGAAACCTGTTTTCCATACAGCCAGTTTTGATCCCAGGCTCAAAAACCGACTTTACAACTCGTATTTTACCATGCTACTTATTGCATAATGCGGTGAATTACTGTATTTTGGGACTTTTTCAATGTCATCTTCTCATTCAGCACACAATTTTTTGTCATCGCAAAAAATGAAGTGGACGTATTTACCCTGCCTTTTCTAACTATCATATAATAGGTAATACGTATCTTATTTTTGACTACGACTTTCGGGCTACCCTCCTCCAAACCTCAAAGTATTCGAAAAGCAATTTACGTATTTCCAATGATCTTGTCACCTTCCTCACCTTTCCTCTCCCCTCGTTTTCGCCTTTTGAGGTGGGAACATCACTTAATTGAGGGCCTTTCCCCCCATCTCTACTTTGTTTTCAAAGTTATTTTCGGCGAACTCCCTCCTTTGAGAGGAGACTTGTAAGTATTTTTTCGATGATTCGAATAATTAGAGGACTTTTGGCTAGTTCAAGAGGAGATCAGGGACAAAGATGAAGAAACAGTAGGAAGTAGGAAAAGAGGGGAATAGTCATCATTGTAAAGAAAATTTTTATACAGTTCGGAGTTCGTTGGGAAGGGAAAAACAGCTGTATTACTGCTGCATTTTATGGAGTATTCTTACTACAAGTTCCACCCGTATAGGGATTATTTGGAAAGCCCTTACAGGGAGGAAAAATCGATTAATATTCGGGTAAGACCGCAGAAAGCTTGCGTAAATTAATCCACTTGGTTCTTCAAGAGTGGGCCAGAAAATTTTCATGTTATTTTTTAATAGAAGGTCTACATATCATGTATTAGACATAAAGATAAACTTTAGTAAGAGTGATATACATTGTGACAAATAATATTTTCGCTTTTGAAGAATTATAATTTCCCCATAGATCCTAATTTGACTGAAAATTCTCAAAGTTCGATGGACAAATTTTGATGATACTTGGCACAAATTGTGACTAGGAATTCGTATGTCATATTAAAAGTTTTTAGCCTGCAGAAACCGTTGAGATTTTTTTGTGATGTGCCATGAGATTCGCAGTTTTGAAGTCATATTACAGGGTGTACCAAAGAAATGTAAACTTTTTTTTATGGGTCCTGACGCAAAAATGGTCAGGTGTAGCCAAAAAAGTTTATAACCACAAAATTCTCTGTGTTTTCTGTCCCAGTGGTTTGATTTTCAAGCCAATATCGATTAATCGACCTGTTTTTTGAACTTCAAACGAAGGGACCTCGATTTTGGACTTGTTTTTTGGAGCTGTTCGAACAGTTAATTTTCAGGGGAAGTACCCCAAGTGCGACGCTCAGATGTTGATGAAACTTGGCACAAATTTAGAATAATTTTTTCTAAGATATATGCGAGAATCCTAGCTCGCGCTTTGCAGAAACAACCGAGATTTTCAGATCGAAAGTCGGCGAAAATTTAGGACTTTTTGCCGAATTTCGGCACGAAAAGTTTCATGCCTATTTCTACCGTAAAGGATAATGTTTCTACAAAAAATCAAATTTTTCCGCGCGAAACTGCCAAAGTTATGGACAAAAAACGTTCTTCTCTCTGACCGCTCTCCGCGTTTCGCGTACTCTCTCGGCGACGAAAACAGTTCCATATCTCGGTGGCGCTTGCAAAGTGCGAGCTAAAACTTTAAGGAATCGATATTTAGTTTATGCCCGACGCGTGTGAAAAATTTAAAGAAAATCTGAGCGTCGCACTTGGGGTACTTCCCTTGTTAGCCTTAAAAAAATTCCTAAAAAATCGTAGGTATCTTTCTCTTTATATTGTAGAAATTATTCTTCACAAAAAATTGTATGTCGCCCTCCGGACCCTTCCAGAACTCTGATTGGCCTTTCTCTGCAGAATCCTCCTTTAAATCTTATATGCAAACTACATCCTTCACTATTGTTAAAAATATTTTCTGCACTTGAATACTAAATAAAACACCTGATGATTTCACAAAATACAATTTCAGAGGGATCCCCGTGGCACGTCGGATCGACGGCAGCCAACGCCCACTCAAGCACAAGCGGCGCCTCAGGTCAAAGTTCAAATCGCAACGCCTCACGACGACATGGAGCGGGTTCGCGAGCTGCTCGTGGACAAATTGGGATCGGAAAATGGGCTGTTACGGAGCGCGCTGGCGGAGTTCATCGGCACTTTCTTTTTACTTGTAAGGCTTTTTCCTATGCACAAATTTAAAAAAATTAAAAATTAAAATTTTTCTTGACCCCTCTGTAAACTGTAAAATACATTACAACAAAATATTTTTTTCAGTTTATCGGCATATCAGCAAACATCCAGTTCAAAGTCACAGACTCGCCGCCAACCTCGCTCCAGCTGGCTTGGGGATTCGGGTTCGCATTTGCCGTTTATCTTGCAGCAAATGTGTCAGGTATGGTTCATTCGAAAAACTGGTAAAGCTTAGGCCGAAAGCACTTCAAATTTACAAAAAATATGACTTTGATTATTTCAGGTGCCCACGTAAACCCCGCCATTTCAATAGCCGCCTTGGTGAATGGGGGCATTGGATTTCTCAGGTTTCTCATTTATTTGGTCGCACAAATCATCGGCGCTTTCGTTGGTTCGGCCGCTGCATATCTTGGACATATAGGTGAGGGATTTAAAATACGGTATTCTATAGAAAGTTTATAAACCAAAAAAAAATAAAAAAAATCATCAAGAAGTTAAAATTTGATTAGAATTCTTTCACTATAGCTACCGTAGCCCATTTGTGTCATTTGACAACAAACTCATGTCTTAATCTAATAATTAATCTACCTATTATTCTCCTTCAGATGACATGAACTACCTCCAACAACGAGAAAACACGCTAGTGTCAAACAACTCCACAGCCGCGTTATTTGCGACTTTCCCATCGGACCACATGACTGTCTATGGATCTCTTCTTGATCAGGCAAGTCAATAAACACTCTTACTCTACCTAGCCCTTACTTTGTACTAGATATCACGTCTAATTTTCAGATTATGGGAACAGCAATTTTAGCGTTATGCATAGAGTTGATTGTGGATAAAAGACATCGAATTCATGGCGGTCTGATCCCATTGCTGGCTGGATTTGTAATGGCCATGATCTCAATGACGTATGGAAGTAACGGCGGATTCGCAATCAATCCAGCAAGGTAGCGAAATTGTTGGATTTTAGCTATATACAGAGTGGGACCTGAAATGCTTCCGTCTCCAAGTGAAAAAATCCCGATTTCTGGGCGCGTCCTTCAAAACGATGTTTTTTCCACTTGGAGAGGGAAGCATTTTGCCACATTTTTGATGCTTCCCGGATGCAAAATGGTACGTTTTTTGCCATTGGATCAGGTCCCTCACTGTATTATACAGGGTGTACCAAATTCGGTGCCCGATTTGAATTGGCTATAACTTCTTTAATTTTGGGCCAAATTAAAAAAAATTTTTTTCCCCAGAATCCCCAGACAACCCCATTTTGTCTGATACCAAATATGTTATACATAGGTAAGTGTCATCTACAGTTATTGGATTTATTCTTGGGGTTCATTTTTTCGGTCGTTTTTCGGTTGTTTTTTCGGTCTTTCCCGGTGTGTCCGAAAATGGAGTCCGGTGCGGAAGAAAAATACGGTGGAATTTCCCCTCCTGAAAATCGACGATGAGAATAAGAACAAAAAGTGAAGATCAACCTCCAGAGTTCGTCGAATGGTCCTTGGTGAAGGCATTCCCTCGGTTCTGGCCAAACTTCGTGTACTCATATGCGGATTTTCTCGGAATTTTGACAAAACTTCTTCCATTTTCAGCTACGTTCGTACCCATCTTTCCTGCTTTTTTTGTTTCCTGTTAACGCTGCCAGTCTCAAGGAACCTATTCCACCAACGCCGAAATGTCTTGCGATCTGGGTTGGGCCTTACGTCCGTATTTCATCCTGTATTCCCTTTGAACATTTATCGGCGAACCGTATTTGCCATTAACAAACCACAGACTAAGCTTTTTCTTCCACACCGTACTCCATTTTCGGACACACCGGGAAAGGCCGAAAAAACAACCGAAAAACGACCAAAAAAATGAACTTCAAGAATAAATCCAATAACTGTAGATGACACTTACCTATGTATAACATATTTGGTATCAGACAAAATGGGGTTGTCTGGGGATTCTGGGGAAAAAAAATTTTTTAATTTGGCCCAAAATTAAAGAAGTTATAGCCAATTCAAATCGGGCACCGAATTTGGTACACCCTGTACATGGTCAAGTCAAAATTCTTACTTTGAAACAAGGCTGATAGAAATTTTAATTTTATCATCAATGTCATTATAAAGTCAAAGGATATTATTCATGATAAAATTGACATTACTCTTCTATTTTCAGAGATCTCGGGCCTCGCCTGTTCCTCCTCTGCATCGGCTATGGCTGGAGCCTATTTACAATCTACGACTACTACTTCTGGATCCCAATCGTAGGCCCCATCATTGGCGCTTTGATCGGATCCTGGGTTTACAAACTCTTCATTGGAATCCACGGACTGAACGAGGAGATCCCCATTTCCAAGCAGCAAAAAGTCAGTTCAACGCCCGTTACATCGATCCAAACGGTGCAGCCTTTCGCCAACTCTTATGGCCCTCACATGTCCGAATACGACAGACATGCCTATAATGGGCCGGCTTACTCGTCCAACTATCGCTGATCCCTGTTTTGCTCTAAATTTATATGTACATTTCCCGTTTCCTTCCAGGTTCATTCTCTGCCTTTGTTTGTGTTTCGCTCGGTGCATAAATACAACCACTTTTTTCAAAGTAATTTCGCCTATTGGCAATGATCTAAACTTTGCTTACTGTCAAGTGTAATATCAGCTAAAATTGATGACAGCTCTAAATTTTCCATCATATTTCCTTCAAATTTTGAGAGATCTAACCTTGGCATAGCAAGTATTTAACTCTAGAAATTTTAACATTTGCTTTACAGGTAATACTGAGATGTTGAGAGCTGAAAATGGACTAGTGACACAAATTAATGGACAATTATTGAGTTTTTGACGCTGATTTTTGCAGTAAATCGACTCGGCCGTTTGTTTTGAATAAAATTTTTCTTCGCTAAATCTTTGCTTTTCTCCTGCAAACTAAAAAGTCAACTTTTTTCAGCAAAAAAGTTCCCAAAAAAATATATGTTTCTTTTTTATGGCACAAAATTTATAAACCCCTCAAAAATTTCAGTCCGACTCGACCAAGTCCCTGATCGAGCCCCAAACTCTTTCCTGGCGTCAAACCACCATTCCGCCATTCCCGGCCGCCTACAGTAAGCCCACCGAAACCGAGCCGGCCCGGACTCCCAGCTTCTTCCGCGACATCCGGCGAGATTTCGATCACCGGAATGCCGAGGAGAAAGTGATCGATTTGACGACGGAGGATTCGTTCAAAAGAACGCGAGCTCCCTCCCCTCCGCCTTCGCATGAACCTCCGCCACCACCAGTCTCATCGCCGGCAACTGAGCCCGAGGGTCTGAGGAGATTGTTTGAGACGGATCGGCCGGTTCCATTTTATCGGAGTGTCTTTGAAAAGAAGGCCGATGGACCGTTGCCGACGATTATGGAGGTCCAAAGGAAGGCTCCAGAACCTGTGATTTCTACAACTACACCGGCAAGACCTTGGGAAAGGGATGCGTAAGTCATTTTTTTAATGTTTTGACGAGTTATGAGACTGAGGGAAAGACTTGACACTTTTGTGTCAAGTGTTCTTCTCTGCCTAAAAATCATGATATTTGAATGGAAGTAGATAGTATGGTTGAAACAAAACACCAACAACCTATTGCCGTATTTTACATTGATTTTCTAACAATTTTTAAGGGAAAATTTTTCGAAAAAATCGAGACTTCTTCGTTTTCCAAAAAATAATATAACTCTCCCTCCTTTCAGTGAGCGTTACTCCTCCGCCGCGCCGTCCGAAGCCTCCGTCCCAAGCCAACGCGCTCCGGCGCCCCCACAAGCCCCGCCTAGACTCCATCAACAGCCCGAGAGTTCCAGTTCGTATCAACGCACCGACCGGGATCACATCCAAGTCAGTCTAGCCTATTACCGAAACGACTAAAAACTAATTTTAAGACAACCCACGTCCAGTATCACAAATTCTACTTCTAAAAACCCTCTCTCTCTCTCTGAAATTTGTATTTTAATTTTTGGGAAAAGCCCAATCGTTTGCTCAAATATCGTATTTTAGAAAATTCAACTAATAAATCTTGTACTTCAATGCAAATTCTTAGCCAATAAAGTTTATCATCGTATTTGAGATATGTCTTCTGAATAAATATCAGATTTAAAAATTCAAAAAAAATGTAAAATACGGATTTAAAGCTCGGAATTTTGAAATCATGGACGTTGAAAAATATGTAAGACAATGTAAACATACTAGTTACACATAAATACACCGGTAATGGGAACTTTGTGGACTATACGGATCTGAGAATACCCTCTAACTAAAGCTGCCATGTGTAATATAAGAGGCTTATGTGTAGTCATCGCAGTGTGGATAACACTCGCCTATGTCTGGTTCCGAGAGATATGGGTGCACTCGGGCTTCTTTGGGGAAGTTTCCACCACTCATCTTCTCGAAGTTGGCCAATTCAGTCCGAATTATCTTCGGGGAAACTCGCTTATTTAGGCGGTAATGCCAGCCGGCAAAGCCTTTTCCGCATTCTGACTGGTTGAACATCTTCTGAAATAAAAATTTGAGATCATCTATTACGTTTTTCGTTGTATTATAAACGATTTACGCTCAATTTTGGACAGAGAAACACTTGACTCAAAATGAGTCAAGTCTATCTCTGGCCTACAAACCTCACAAACTTCTATAAAAAAATACTCAAGACCAATCCCAAAAGTCCTGAAACCTACCGAGAACGGAGATTCCCATCCATTGAAGCCAATTTCTTGGGCTTTCCAGCCATGCAACATAAAGTCGTATTCACTCCACTTATCCGTCGTCAAATACCCGTCTCGGATGAAGCTGTGGGCTCTTCTGGCAATCTTAATCTTCCCCGGCCATAATCTATTGGCTCCTGAAACAAGACGGATTAAATTTAATACCAGAAGTAAGGTTTCTAAGATCATTTCTTCATGGATAATATAATTTTTTCCAAAAATTTTGCAATTAGCCTTTCAGTGGCTTCAAAATCGCAAAAAAGGGACCGTATAACAATTTCGTATCGAAAAAAATTGTGTATACTTACCCAGCATCACTTTGACACAAGTTACATAGGCCATGTAGGTGTCGTAACCCGTTCCACGAAGCCAGATTTTCTCGCAAGCTTTTATTTCGGCTCTAGCGCCGGGCATTACAGTCTGAAGGATGTGGATTTGAAGTACTCCATTGTCGGCGCCATTCCAATTCTCCGGTTGGGTGTATTGCCAATCAGCCCATCGACGGAGAAAATCTCGAGCAAACGGGGTATTTTTAACCTGAAATTGATGTCTAAAGCAAAACCTAAGAAAAAATATGACATCTACAGTTGGTTTTCAATCAAAATCGGGAATAAAATTACCCAAAATTACGTTAAAAATTGAAAAAATTTAAAATTTTCAAGAAATTTTTGGTCCCACCGCGAAAACATTAGTCCAAAAATCCTCCAAAACCTCCCAGAAACTCCTAAATACTCACCAGATAATTTCCACTAGCAATTTCCCAATTGAAAAACCGTTCATAGAAGACCAAATCCACCCTATCATCAATGTACTCTTCAATGCAATGATTTGGATTCACAACTCCGGCATCTGCATCCAAAACCAACATCCAATCTGCTTCCTCTAAATAAACTGAGGCAGCACAATGTTTCTTGAAGAACAATTGATCATGCGGGCAGTTATCGTTGACTTTCGTGTCATTATAAAGATCGACAAGCAGTAAAGTGTAATTAGAAGCGGCGAGAAAGCATTTCAACGAGTCTTGGGCAACTTTGTAATGACTGAAATTAAATATTTTACTGTTTCTCTTCATTTTCAAGATTTACATATCCATTATGTACATTTTGAGATGACTTTAGAGACTTCCCCTGATTTTGAGGGACATCGTGGTGAGAATCAAAATTTTAACCAAAAAATGACTAAAATAATATCGCAGATGCCTAAATATGAAAAATAAAACTAAAAGAACTTACGTGTCATAGCTACTCTTCATGTATGCCACAAATACCACAACTTTTCCGAATAATTTTGGACATTCCCCCATATTTATTCTTCTTGGATACTTTGTTCGATTCTTTTGAGTTTGTTCGGCCAACGCTTTCATAAATGTTGCTGGACTGGTCCCAGGAGGCTTCATATCCTCACTTTTCCCATCAACAACCTGTTTTCCAGGCTTGGCCAACTTCCGTTCAGCCAATTTCTTTTCAAAATGATCCAACGATTCGTGTGGCTGATTCTTCAAATTGAATTCAATATCTTCGATCTTTAATGGTCCTTTTTCCCCAGGCAGCTCTTCTTTTTCCAGTACCCAGTCTTCATTCTCGGTTCGACGAGGCAATGGTGCAGCCGGAGTGGCTTGACCATCCCACGAATTATCGTATTGGGTAACAACAAGGAAAACAAGGGCGGTGGCGAACAGGAATACGTAGACAAACTGAAAAAAGAAGTGTCAATACTTGTATTGCGGCCTTCTACTTGGCTTAAACCCACATCAAATTTCAAAAATTCGAAAAACTTCGCAAAAATATATTATTTTATATATCAGGCAAGAAAAATGTCAAAAATTAGCAAAAACACCCATGATCAGATTAAAAAGAGGCTCAAACAGAAATAACTGAAAAGATTGAAGCTATTTTAACTACTTTCACACAATAAAGTTGCGCTTTCCACAAAAATATTACCTAAATTTCAAAAACTAACAAAAAACCTCGCTTACCAGTCGATTTGCAGGTATTCCTCCGCAATTTGTCATTCTCTTCGCGGCCAGTTCGGTGTTATGGCCCAGAAGGAAGCGGAATCTCCCTGAAAATACAAGAATTCGATCAAAACCAGTTTAGAAAATTATATTGTTCATGACGATCTGGTTTCACCCGTAACAAACTTTAAAAAATAAGTAAATCAGACGCTAACTACTATTTTTTTGGGTTTGATCAGCGGGCCGTCGCTAAAAATAAGATGTTTGTTGATAAATAAATCACGGACCAGTGAAGGGTACAGTTTCGGTGATGGAGAAGGAAATGACGGTGGAATTTAAAAAATTTTGGGGGAATGAAAAATTTGTGGTGTAAAAACGGGCAGGTCCTCTGGCTATGAGAAAAAATTCTTGAGAATTACGCTTCGAGATTTTCGAATTTTACAATTTCGGGAAAGTTTTCGCTGTGAGACAAAGTTTGGCATTCTGTTACTATGTAAAATACGCGACAAACAACTACAGTCCTCGTAGAAATACGAGGATGTGTAGAGAATGCATCAAAAAATATACAAAATAAATTTTGGCAACTTTTTTCTAGTTGTATTACACTTCATGAACAAAAATTTTAGGTCTCACCACGAAAACCTGAAACCCCGAAATTTTCGATTTTAATCGCCGTGTTTCCCTCTATTGTCACCTCAAATTTATGAAACAATGATTGCTGTCTAAACTCCGTATAAAAACGGTCATTTTTCCCTCAAAAAACACCAGCGATTAGCCCTCATTGATCCATGACCGCGCGAAACTTGTCAACCGGGAAAATCGGCTCATTCACTTTCCACTTGCTTGTCGCTGTTGCGCAACGTTGAGCATTTTGCAAATGTTTTTTGTTGTCTAATCCATCGATGGTCAGAGGAACGATTTTGGATCAAGGAAAGCGGAAAAAGGAGACAAAAAGCGGCTTTAAAGGTAATTACAGTGTGATAAATGTAGCAGTAGGAGACGTGAAAATCCACAGAAGTCTTTGTGTAAGCTTTTCAAATTATTGTATTTGAATTTTGGAATAAAAATTTAATAATTTTTGGGTCCCACCACGAAAACTTAAAACTTCAAAAGGCCTTAAATCTTTTCCAGACAAGAATTACAGTAATTTTACGACATTTAAACCACGTTTTTACCTCACAAAGCCCCTAAGAAGCCCTCAAATTCGAGGGAATAACCGGATTGCGACCAGTTTTACCTGACCTCTGATATAACGCAGCGGAAAACCGCTTGCCGACAATAAGTTTAAAACATTTTTGACCTCATTTTCCCCTCCGTGAAAAGCCCGACGCCCTGAAGACAATGAAAGAGCGCAACGGTTTTAAACCGAATTCGAGCGGAGGTAATGTCAACTCCGATTTCGATTCCCATCCTCGATTAAATTCTTCATTCGACTGCGAGCCAACGGCACGTTTTTATATTCAGAATGGAGGAAAAATTGAAGCAAAAGTCCGTAATAGTATAAAAATGTCATTGGGGTACGGCTAAATGTCAAAATTCAAATTTCCCGCAAATTTCAAAAATATTGGCATTGTGTTTCAAGCGGTGAAAATGGCTTCAAATGGTCCGAAAGTCGTTCGGGGAGAACACTGGGCCATACAAATCAATTTTGAACAAAAAATCGTTTTTTCCGCAAAAATCTACCAAAATATTATACCACTTCGAGTTTTTGAGCTGTCTATTTCTGAACGGTTTCTGCAAAGCGCGGTCTAAAATTTTCTGAACATTTTGTGAAAAATTGCAGTTTACATTTTTTCTGAGTTTTGCAAAAATCGAACGACTTTCATTTTCAGCCAAAAAATACAGTATACCACCAAAAAATTAATTTTAAAATACGTCACTACCCCATCATTCGTGTTTGAATAAAGATTTTTCCACGAAAATTGAAATCCCCATAAATCGTTTGAAAGTTATTGTAACACCTTCGCGTCCGCCGCCGTCGGTGAAAGTAATGGGCATCCGAAAACAATTGGCGAAAAAAGTAGTTAGTGACCCATTGAAATGGATCCGCCGTCACCCTCAATCCGGTCGGATAATTGTCGAATGGCGCGGAAAGTTCTTGTGTAAACAATGGTTTGATGTTCCTGGATGGGGTATTGTACTCGAGACGGAGGCGAGACTCTTTTTGGAACTACCCGCGGCATCTCTTACCACAATGTTTTTGTTGGATTAAAGGTTCAAGAAATTGATCGCCTAAGGGGGTGGAGGGAAAAGGTGGGTGGACATAAAAAGCGGAGGGGTTAAGGGTTACTGTAACAAACACAAATTTGATTAAGAATTTGGTTGGAATTAAAAAATTGAAGAAAGGCATGCAAAAATCGAAAATGAGATAAAAAAAACTATTTTTTTGCCTTTTAGCTGCGAATTCCATTGCATACAAAGCCACGCTCCGATTTTTTCACAAGTTGGCATAACGTTAGTTTAGAGTCTCTAAGACACACACGATTTTTTTAACCCATGCTTCGCAAACACCAGTCCGATTTTTAGGTAGAAAGATTACCGGAAATTTAATCTTTGATGATTTGAAAAAATTAAAGTATTTCTGAATTCCAACTGGCGTGAAATGCAAAATAAACATTTCTGAGGGTGTGTCGATTACGGTTCTTTAGTAGGTCCAAAAAACGAACTACAATTCAAGTCGTTCGAACTAATCACATATAGAAAATCAAAAAACGAGCTGACAACCAAAAAAGAAAGCGTCCTTTATCCCTTCTCTACCTTTGATATCTTCCATAACAATCCCTTTAGATCACATGAAACAATCGAAGCTAGAAGTCGAATTCCATTGCTCTATATTAAAAGTCCAGAGCACCCGTAACGCCAATTCTTTCGAGATCAACTATCCAATAAAGCGGTTCTTCCCAAGCCATTTTTTACAATACTCCGCATTAGAAGAAGCCCCGCGAACAAACCGAATGAAACCCGAACGTGTGGACCTTCAAAGATTAAAGCAAACGAACCGGAGATCTTCATAAGTTCTAAAAACATTTCATTCGAGTTCGAAAATAACGATAATGAAAGCGAAACTTCTCCGATGTCATCATCAAAACGGGGTGACCGGTTTTTGAAAAGTATGTCAGGGGTTTCAATTTGAACGGAAGGGAGAGAATGCTGCGGTAACTGATAAAATAATGACCTAAATAAAGAACCTTGTCTAATAGAATCAGCTGAGCACAACCAAAAGATATGTATTTCTGAAATAAAGTAAAAATATTTACCTAATAGGTGGAAGGCTCAAAGTGTGACGCATATCTGATAAAAATTGGCGAGAATTTAGAACAAGTCTTTGTATAATATATGTGGGATTGCTAGCCCGCGATTTGCAAGAACGATCTTCTTAAACCACTCTCTGAATTCAGCATACTCTCGGATGGGTAAGATTAGTTAAAAACTACGGCTAAACTTGCAAAGCACAAGCTAAAAATTTCAGGATTTGATTTGCTGATCATAGTGTACAAATTTATTTAAAAAAAATGAGCTTTGCACTTTTAACACTTCCTTTATAAACTTAAGAAATTCACAGTACGAGAACTCAAGGAGCCACATCCATGGCTTCTTTCCAAATCTTGAACTTAATCTTCGCCACAAATCAATATAAAAAAATTTTTAGATGGGCTTGCAGACAGAACCGATATATTTTAAAATTTTTACAGACGAAACGGTGGAAAATGACTGCAGGGAAAAGAATTTTTTAATGGGTACCTTGACTAATCTCTATTGGAAACCATGTTGTTTAGATCTGTTACTCTCTGACCAAAATTAAAACTTACTCATTTTGTCGGACGTTGGGCTCTGGACATGGATAAAATTGATTGGCCTATCTCTTTAGTTATTCCTGAAAAAAAGATAAAGATTATCTATCAAGAACCTGGACCTTCCGTATTTTAACTCCACAAAAATTTTGCGACGTACAATGTTTCAAAACTTCCACGTCCGAAAAATAAGGATACATAGCTATGCATAGCAATAAAAAAAGTGAAATAAAAATCTCCATAAATTATTTCCTGTAGCTTCGAAAACTAAAAGGAAATTTTGACATCTCTGCACCTGACGGAAGATCAGGGATTAATTTATTCAAATTTTTCATGAAATATTCAAATACCTCACTTTTTTATAAAAAAACGAATAAAGCAAGGAGTATTCGCATTTGAAAATACGACTAATCAAATACGAATACATGGTGCTAAAATCTGTATGAAAGCAGAAAATGCAATCCAAAGATGTCTTGAAAAATGAAGAGTATGTGTCAAGACTTTCTGCCCCAGCTGGTAAAAAATATCAAGCCCAAATTTTAGATAAATCTTGGATTTTAACCTACAGAAGGGGGATTTATTTTATAAATAAAACTGGGCGTTCAAAAACCATAAAAGGGTCAAAAATGAGGGATGATTACATCATCAGATCAAATAGTGGTCTTGTGTGGCCTTGAAAATTTTATTGCCAGAAGGACACTGGAAGTTTAGAGAATAGTTTCGAAAAAAGTGATGGCCCTTCAAGAAGCATAAAGTCGATTCAGAGCAAATCAATATAAATTTGAGTCACCAAGACTATGTAATGCGTGAATATAATACAACTCATAAACAAGGTATGATGCACAGACATGTTTTATTCATTCTTTTACCAGCTAACAATTCATGAAAATTTCAGTTTGCGCTTTGCAAAGACAGTTGCATATTCAACAAACATTAGAAAATGGGTGAAATGTAAGAGCGGTCAGAGAGGCGAACTTTTTTATCCGTATCTCTGACATATTCGCAAATATTCATAATATTTTTTTTTGCAAAAACAATGCCCTTCTTGGAAAACGTAAGGCTGAATTTCCTCGTGGATAAACGAAAAAGTTTTTTCCCACGCCGTCTTTTCTCATTTTCCACAGCTTGTAAAAACCGCTCAATATCTCGATTGTCGCTGCGAAACTGCTATAAGTTTCAGAATTTGAAGGTCCTTCTAATTAGATTCTTTTTACAAAATTTATAGAAAATCTGGCAGTTACAAAACTTTTCATATAAATCCGTCAGGAATGCTATCCAAATCAAGTTTTTTACCAACTCAGAAAACCCATATGCGGTCTGAACTTAGTGAGTAGTGAAGCTCCCATAAGACAACAAACTCCCATAATAAAACAAAAATTTTACCTTATGCGAATTTCCGGTTACAAAACGCAAGAAAATTCTCATAAAGCCTTAAAATGTAATCCAATTTTTGATGGAAAAGTATAAATTCTATGCCCGGGGCTTCTAATATTACATTGCCAACCCTCTGAAACAGGCTTCGAAGTAGTCCAATTGCCCGCAAAGTATTATTTATTTCAAAAAGCATATCAATTTGTAATTGCGTTATGGACATTTTTTACAAGTTTTCCCGGAATACGTGCTAATTTCTGAATAAACTTGTAAGTTCGAGGCAAAAAAGGTATATTGAAACAAGGGAAACAACATATTCCTATACTTCCATAATATTTTATTATGGTTTTAATTTATTTCCATGGGAAAGAAGGGCCACATCAAATCTCGGGAAAGGAAAGTAGAGCAAGACGTGAAAACGGCATATTGTCATCAAATTTTTCAAAACATTCTTTGCAAGTTGAATAGCAAATTTTACTAAAACAACATTAATTTCTCTTTTCTCCAACATAAAATTAGTTTTCTCTTATCAAAAAATGATTTATCGGAACATGAAATGGTTTTTATAAAAGAAAACTATTCGATTAAAATAATGTTTTCCTTTATTCACAATAATTTTAATGACAGACAGCGATGGGTTTGTGGATTTTCGGAACGGATCAGCTTTTTGTTTGCGACGGCGTTTAATACGTCCATTAATAGCGGAGCTGTTTGTTTGGGGTTACGCTTCTCTGATCTTGCAAGGGCATTGCAAGGGATGAGTCAAGATGGAAATGGAATGAGTCTGGTATTTTTTGATGAGGCTGGTATGAAATGTTACACTAAAACGTTGGCTATGAAACAGTGGAAACTATTTTAGACATGAAAAAAGAGGCAGAGGATAACGTCATTTTACCGAAGTGAAGGGTTCAATCCGCTCGTTGCGGATCAGTCATACAGATTTTAGCTTACAAGGGGACCGTGACGAGTTCAACGCTCAGATTTTCTTTAAACGATGCACAAACGTAGCAGGCCGTAGGCTCAAAGTTACATCTTAGTTTTAGCCCATGCGTTGCAGTGAAAATATTCGGCAACCCTGCCGCCAAGAGAGTACACGAAACGCGGATAACGATTAGATTAAAATGGTGTTATCACTCCCAATTTTGAGTGTAAACAATTTTTTCATAGAAACATTATCTTCCATGGATACTTTAATAAAATTTTCCCTGCATAAACTCACAAAGAAAGCGTTGAAACTTGCAGCAAAACGAAAGCTAAAAATCTGATACATGTATTTCAAAATCAGTTTGCATCAACTTTCGGCGCAGTCTTCGCATTACATTCCTGTCACCTAAGTAGCCTTCAATCATCATTTTGATTGCTTCTTATATACGCTACAGTATGCCATCTACTTGGTGGTATAATATTTATTTGAAATCCCTCAGCCTCCAAATTTGTAGCTGAGTCATTTGCTTACCCAGCACTTGTATCTTCAATATTGTATCCGGACAAAACAGAAAACGTTTCCTGTACCAGTAATCATGATATCAAAAAAACCGGAAAAAGCTTTTTCCAAAATTTGCAAGATAATTGTAGAAATGAAACCCCGCGTTTGCCGACTTACTGTATCCTTTCCTTAAAATTTGAAGTCAAACAAAATAGCGAGAAATGAGTTGAAATTGGCGGTAAAAATATATTCAAACTACAAGACGATATTTACATTTTATTTTAAAAGTTTTGCTAATTGTACAAGCAATCTTTCCGCAGTAAATTGGCTGCTTCATACACAAGAATGAGAGGAATTATTTGCAGAATTGAGATGACAATCTCCAGTGAACCCATTACAATTCCGACGACAGGACTTTGGAATTTGAGTAGAGTGTGGACTTGCTCTTCTTCTGGAATGCACTCAGCTGCTTCGACAATAAGATAAAGACCAGCTCCAAGCCACGCGACGATTAAGACTAGCTGAAAAACGATTTTTTAGGGTACTACTCCAAGTTCGAAAAACAGGTTATTGTGGCACCTGTTGAAAATTAAGGATGCAATTTTTAAGCCATATGCGCGCTTTGCAGAAATGTGTAAAAAAATTTAATTTGAAAAATTTCAAAAGGCGCCTATGTTTTCGATTGCAATTTACGTCGTTGTCGTTTATTTTTTGCTTTGAATACTAGCTAAGATAATCTTGTTTTCCAAACCAAATCCTTCCCCCGCATATCCCCGTCGTTAAGTCATCCCCCGTAAATAATCATATCCCTTATAACAATGTTGTCATCTAACTGTTTTTAAATCCATTCTTAGGAAACCAGTTCCGCAACAAATCCCAATAAAGAACGATTACAAAAATACCCCAACCCCCGAACATCCGGCTTACATTACAGATCAGGTACGGTAGAAATAGATACGGTATTTCACGGCGATTTCCGTAGAACAAGGCGGCACTGGCGGCAATCCCAAACAACGAGCCGATCACTCCGTAATAGTGGCCGGAGTAGATCTCAAGCCCCAGAAAAATCAGGTGCAGAATTGCATGGCCTCCGGCAATGATGTTGAGTGTCTTCTGCAAGTTATTTATTAGCTAAAAATTAGCTAACTGGAGAGTATTTGGAGGATAATTTATTGAGTTTGAAAAAATTTAAATCCCATTTGATTACGATTGAGGATTAAAATTAGGAAAATTGGAGAAGGAATGTAGAATTTGGACCAAAATTAAGCGGTCCTTAATATTCTGCCCCAGGCAGCCATAATCTTGTTATGTTTTCCTCACATTTCATAATTGTAATCTTTATTCGAATTGTTTTTAATCCCATTCTATGCAATTTCAAATTGCCGGAAAAGGTCATTACGTCGATAATTCATCTTGTTTGTATCTTAATTCATTGGGGTTTTTAGCAAAAGTCCACAAGAGCTGTGGACCAGAATTTTTGGGATACAATACAAGAAGGGGTACTTGCCTAAATTAATGGAATTTTGAGATAAAACAAAGCTTCTTTTGGCTCTCAAAGTGCACATAATTTTCCGATTGTCTTGAAATCCGGTTGCTCTTTAGCACAAGTAATCTGTGGAACGTTAGGGTTGTAAAAAACATTCGGTTAAACTTTTTGGGAACCGGGAACGCAGAGGGTAATTAATTTTCTGCGTAGGTACTACGCAATTTGCGTAGTATTCCTACTGTATTCATTGTTTAGTTTTTGTAATTGTGATCCGTGCATGACCTTTAACATTGGCTGAGGGGTCGATGGGATAAGACAATAAATCCGGGGGTCATTAGACAAAGAAGTTTAACCTATAAACTGCAGAAATTGAATTGTGATGCAAGAAGGAGGCGATATCCACAAGGGGATTGTAGGAGTAAACAAAAAATAGAGGTTTGCGACGCTCATATTTTGATAAAAAGTGGCTGAAATATAGATTAAGATCTTCTAATGTATGTGCGAGAGGTTCAGCTTGCGGTTTGCAGACATGACTGACAGGGAATGGTGTGAGCTGTCCGTAAGCTTTCAAAATGAGACCCCTAAATTCTGAAAGAGCTCAAAAAAGTTTAGAAGGAATCCGTTTGTAAAATTTTTAGATCAAAAATCGGCAAAAATCCAAGTTAATTCTTTGTCAAAACTTTGTTTGTTTAGGTTCTGAAAGCTAGAATTCTAACAGTGAAGCCTTTGTACAACAAACCCTGCTTAATAATAAACAAATTCTGAGGTCCAATTGTCAATCTCAGGACAGAAACGTTCAGATCAAAACCTTTCTATAACGAATAACTTTTGCATACCAAGTTTTGACAGTACGCGAGTTTGCCATTCCATACATTTTCATCACCAAACCGCTATATTTTAGTGCATCAAAACCGCTCCTCTGCACCCAATTACCCCGTAATTAATGGCATTTCTCATTACATATTTTCGAAAATAAGAGTTCATTTCTCCAGCAGACATGTCATCCCTAATATCTTCCCTGTCCGATTAACATTTCATGCCCCGCGGCGGCTAGGGTGACCTCAGAAACTTCCGGCTTTGTATTATTGCATGTCTCTGTAGGTGTTTTGTACAAATCCATTTTTCGTATCTTGTGAACCTTACCTTCCAATCCTGGATCCGCAAAAGCTTGGCCAAGGACTTGGCCATTACTCACACAATGCGTAACCAGTAATGTTTAGAGTTTAAGTTTCGATCACGCGCTGAACCCGGTAATTAATTGCGTCGCGAGTTCCTGAAAGTTGTTTTGGAAATTAATGCAGTCATACAAACATACGAAACACCACGGTCTGCAAAATGTCAAGGTATAATAATGCGGGCGCTGGTAATTGAATTTTTCCACCGGACGTTGCGTGTCGCTGAACAAGGGCGGAAAGTAACTACATAACTTCAAATTTGGCACGAAAAAAGTTCAATTTTGTAGATTTGTAAATTCAAATTTTGCTTGTACACTCGGGTTATTGTAATTGTAATGGTGACTTTGTTTTCTTACAATTTTTTGGCCCTGAAATTTTTCTGAAAATTCAAGAAATTTTTTTTGATGACTAAGTTGATTGTAATGAAGAACAAGTAAAATTATTAAAAAAGAATTTTAAAGAAAAATGTTTCAAAAATAAGTAAACGAGCTTTCGATAGAGCTTTGGGAAGACCGTTAAGAAAAATGTAGCCCAGAAATTAAGAATAAAAGTCAAGATTTTAAACGATTCCAAATTATGTAGAACTCGTTATGAAAGATAAACAAACAGGTGAAAAATGCAAAAATATGATTATTTTTAGGATAAACAAGTTACAGGTAGCCGGAAATAGGTTCTGTTAATGGTTGAGCTATTAAACTTTCGAAAGTTGGATCCAAAATCAAGTAAATATAAAAAAATGTCTGAAAAAGCGCCTAAAACTCCAAGAAACCTCTAGTGTCTCAAGGAACTAAAAAAATAAATGATAATCGCTAAACCTTAGAGTTCAATACACCGATTGTGTCAGAAAAAAATTAAAAACCGATCTTATCAGGTAGCGACTCCTGATTAGGCACTTCATTGGGCAGCTCACTTTACTAGTTTTTTGTGAATAAAACGACTAAATAAATTGCAGGTGGCCACTTTTGTGGCTAAGTGTGCGCCTGAAAATAATAATAAGTTGCAAACCCAAAAAAAAAGCTATAATTATAAAGTTAAAGTAGCAAAGTTAGTCTTCAATTTCGTTATCAAACCGTTTGTCAAGGAATCTCAATTGATCTTATCGCTTTGAAAATTGGAATGATTGGTTATTTAGAGTCTAAAAAATAGATGTTGTGCTCCGTTCTCTAGTATGGACATTGTGAGCACGTGTGCAAAAGCATTTTTAGACATGTATTGTCATCTATCTGGTTCCAATCTCCAGCAATCTTTGGCCGAGTTTATTCTTGATCTACGCCGAGTTTATGTAATCTTCCACCGGGATTTTAAAGCAGCCCGGCACAAATAAAGATTTATTTTTTAAGTACGCGACATTCTTAGTCTGCGTTTTGCAGATTCAAACGATATTTTAAGTCCGAAAGTTGGTCAAACTTCGCTTCTTTTTGCGATTTTGCCCATGAAAAATCTTATCTTTATTTCTACCGGGAAGGCAACATTTGTGAATAAATTAATTTCCTTCCGCGCAAAATTTACTGTTATTCCAAAAATAGTTTTTTTTGTAACTTGACCGCTCTCCGCATTTCGTGCACTCTCTTGTCGGAAACGCTCGGCGAATATCCCGACTGCCTCCGCAAAGCGCGGGTTAAACTTTTTGAAAATGAATATCTGTATTACTCCTAATGCGTAGGCAAAATTTGCACTTGTAACACTTCCCCCTTCAGTTTTTTTAGCATGACGCAGCATGATGACCTACAATTTCCTGTTGTTTATGTCTTCCGAGCACATAAGTTTGGAAATGCCTCTAATTCATCAAGTCATTCGACTCCGCCACTGTGTATGTTCGTACCTCATTAGGTTCCTTGTCATCCTCCAGGTTCGGAGACCATCCGACATTTTTTTTCTCAGATTCACGTCCTTGCACTTACATCATGACGGGCTGACTCCATTTTTTCCGAAATAGAAACTGCGAAGGATTTTAAAAACGCCTTGATCGCTATTTTCTTGCATGCCCTTAGGGAAAGAAAGGTCAAAATCTATTTCCAGTTCCAACTCCTACGAATTTACATCAACGAATTGCAAAAATATGTAAATGTCATTCCCATTTCGAAAAAAACATTGCGTTTTCTAGACATGTGACCCAAGGATACAGTAATTTTGAATTCCCAACATGACGCCAAGGCTGTTTTGACTACAGTTTTACTGCGTGTTTTACATCTTGACGGGTTTTCTCAAATGTTGACAAGCTTTTGGCGAGAAGGAGTTAATTTTTTATGCATTACTCGAAAGAATGAGTGGGTCAGAGAGGAACGAAAGAGTAATTAATGTCACATTGATGATATTTGTTACAAGTTTGTAGCCATCAACAATGACAGAACCGGGTCAAAGCACGCCGACTGACGAATTTGTTAGAGGATCATTAATAAGGGAGGGCTAAAAGATACTGTGGATCAATTATAATAGGAAGCTTGGTCCAAATCAAAATTTTCCAAACCATACACGAGGTTGTTATGACTATTTTGCAATTTGCAAAATTCACCAAAACATTCCGGTGAATGGATTGGCAATTTGCCGAAAAAAGACGCGAAAAAACGTTTTGTCGGGGAAGAAATGGGGAATTTTTGGGGCGAGAGAGTACGCTTTTGCGTGTCTTTTTTCTCTCTTTCTCTGCGAAATCGAGAAGAAGTGTAAAAAACCGATAACGAAGAGTCTATCCCGGTCACCGGACTCCTCAGTTTGACGTGCGTCGTAAATTAGGGAAAGTTCCCCAATTTACAACGAATTTTTACATGAAAAGTTTCACGCTTATTTCTACCGAAGAGGAAAATATTCCCGCAGTAAAATAAATTGTTCACCACGAAACTGGCAAGTGGACAAGAAGTGTCTTGCCTACTTAATCTCTCAACCGCAAAGCTCGTTAAATATCTCGGCTATCCTTGCAACGTTCGAGCTAATTTTCTTTTTGATATCAGGTGTTTGCCCGTGTGTATGTGTACAGATGAAATAAAAGCCTCACTCCAGGGTACCTCTCTTGTAAGTTGCAAAAATATCATGTGGCGTAAAATCTGATCTCTATAGACTGTAATAAAGATTTTTTCCGCCACCTTATAAAATTACAATATTTTTATTCGAGGAGTAAAAAAAGTGTTTTGCATGCAGTAGAAAAGATTTGATTACTGTTTTTGTCGGCTAATTTGTAACGAGTTCCTTTGCAAACTTGTTTTCGCCCCTGTCACGTTGTTAAAGCCTATTATTGCTGCATATTGAATACTTTCTTGGAACGGCTTTATCTTCTCTGTACTTTTGGCCAACTGTAAAGGTCAATGCAAAAATGTTTTGCTGAAGATTGGCGCCGAATTTAAATGGGGGATTTCTTACATTAGAAGTATACGTCGACTTTCAATTTTTTATTTGCAAAAGCCGCCGGGATTTTGAGGTAAAACGTTGACAATCACATCTGTTTAGAAAGCTGACATCCATGCAATGAATTTTAAGGCCAACTTTCTCTACAAAATATGTTAGAAGCTAGATGCTCAAATTTTTTGAATCTTGCGCCCTGGTTACGTATCAATTCCTGAAAGTCTTACAAGAAGTTGTTAGCTCACGCTTTGCAGGAGCACCCGAGATATTCGACAAACCTTTCCGGCACGCTAAGTGCGGAAGGGGTCAAGAAAAAGCTGTTTTTTTGACATTTCTGTTCCTATTTCCCCTTGAAAATTTCGATTTATGATACCTGGGCCAACTTTCATCAAACGTTCTCCACGCACTTAGAGAACTTCCCCTTTTTAGAGAGTAAACGCGTAGTGATTCCAGCTCTCCTCATGTCTACGACCTATCAGTTGCAAAGCCTCTCGAGCGCCCCTATAAAGCGCAGGCCAAACCTTTTCATGGTCTATATATAAACATTTTCGTGGTCCCGCAGGACCTACAGTGCTGTCACGTCAATACTATGACAAACAATGATAACATGTCTGTCATCCCTTTCCACAAACCGTCTCTTACCGAAAGCCTCTCTGTCCGCCAAGAAGCCAATTATTTTTGCGTTTTTAGCATTTTTCATCAACAAATTACCTTCCTTTGTCCCAAACAATGAACCCTTCACAACTCGCCCCCTTTCCCTCATTGTTCCCTGGGGTCAACAGATACGGTAGATGACAATCGACGCAGACAATTCATTAACCTTCGCGGGCCCTAATCCATCGCGCGTCATCCCGCACAAAAGTTACAAGTCAACGGCGAGAAAGAAATTAATTTTTATTTTAATCCCCAACTCACTTTCACTTCTTTTTGGGTTGTTGTAGATATTAGAATGAGGAGATTTGCGGGGATATCGCGGTTTGTAAGAGATATTAAAACAGATATCCACATCATACAAACAACATGAAGAGGAGGAAATATTTAGCAGTTACAGTGATGACATTTGAGCGATAATCCTGGACGCGTTTTCCAAGGGACGTCGGGGTTACAGAAGACAAACAGCTTTGGAGTGGGGATTCGAGGAAGGTCAGCTGACGTTAACGGATGACTCAACGAGCTGTTTTGAGGGTGGCAGGAACTAATAGTCTAGTAGGGGATTTCGGTCGGGATGAAACATGCGATTTCTGAATAGAAAGCGTGGTAAAATACGTCTTCCATGTAAAACTTTACAAGAACCTATAGATTTTTAAAATACTAATACACATGAATTTTCAGACATACTTATAACCGCCGTCATAAACAACAAGTTTATGTCTACCCTACAGGGATCATGTTACAGTAGGCTCTAATATTATTTCGTTTCCATATGTTTTTTATTTGTCTACAATGTCTAAAATTATGACTTTTAACAAACAATATTAAACTTGACGTTGGTTGCTCCGTTGATTGTTGTTTATGAGTTTGCTAATAAAATTTCCTTCTGACAAACACTAAACTTGAGATCAGAAAATTTTGATGATATTATTGTCCATTAGAGGCTTGGAATACAAAGCTACGTAATTGTAGAGTTTACGGAAAAAAAAATAATTTTTTAAGAGCAGCCATGATATTTTTAATCTTTTTTTACTTTTAAGACGTATCTTCTTTTCTGTATTGCCCATTAAAACCCTTGAGTAACGAAACTTGGCCACTTGGTTCCGCAGCATTTGGCACGTCTGGCTCTTCATTTTCCATACATAATTGGTTTATATTTTTCTTTTTTTAACCCCAAATTTCACAATAGTACTAACGCGTTTATGCTTTTTCGAAAATATTTGGCTGGTCTTGGTATTCATCAATTTAGCGTGGCCTATTTAAAAATTTCTTTCAAATTCTTGTTAATTACAAACTTTTACAAGGTTCACGCGACATTTCAGAAAAGACTTTCAATTCAGAACATGGTTCACGTTTCAAATGTCGGCATTGCTAAATCAAAAAATGCTAAAAGTTAGAAATTTAAAGGTAACATGGCAATTTAATGTCTCTTGCAAAAAAATATTTTTTGACCAACGATGAAACCCTGAAGTCGTACGAATTTCATTAAGCTATGCATGTAGTTTGTTCCAACCACAAAAAACGCCTTTACTTTTAGTTTGGCAGAAAAGGCTTGGAAGAGGCAGGAGCATAAAGGTTAGAAGCTCACTCTTCAGATTTGTGTTGAATTTTGGAAATGACCAGTGACATATGTACTATTTCTTGAAACTTTTAACTCTATATTCCAGCGGTAGCCAAGGCAAATAAACAACCTTCCTTAGGATAGAGTATGCTTCTTTAGAATGAAGAGAGTCGGCCATGCAAGAGAATGTGTTCGCATATACTATGTCTTCTGCTTCTGTACGGAAGCAAACACCTAATTTTGGGTATACAAATTTCTGATCGAAACCATATTTTTTACGACAAAAAATGCAACTTTGGCCAAGTTCAGGAGAAAAGATGCCAATAGAGACTTGCGCCCCGGTCTTTTCAAAACTTGCCAAGATTCCAAAGCCCGGTCATTTTTTGGGGCAGTTTCGGACCATCCCCGACCGATGTCTGTTGGTTTATTTCTAGAAGCAAATCTCTAGGTCTAAGTTAGGAATTAATGTTCTAAATTCGAATTGCTCTCATCGGACTCTGCTCGTCCTACGTCGCTAACTCCTTTCGTCAAAAAAAATTTGAATTCTCAAATTTAAATTTAAAAAAGATCAGACTTCTTTCACCATACATGTAGCAGTTGTAGTGGATTAGTGTAGTTATTTTTGTCCCTTTTATTTCCCAATTCAATTTAATTTAAATAACTTGACTTCTGATTGAGTGGGTTTGCAAACACTAAAACAAACAGTTCCCCTCTACGTAAGCCCTTTTGAAACAAACAATTTTTAATACAATTTTCGGGTCCGGCTCAAATTACAAGAATGCACAAATAATTTGTGGCCAAATTGTTTTGATTCAAACCATTAAGGACGTCAAGTCAAATTAATTTCCGATAAATATAATGTCTCTGCAAAATTGCGTAGAAATTCGTCATGTAAAGTTAAGTTTTGTTTGCAACGGAAATGACCTATATCATTATAAAAGATGATAGCAAGAATTTTGAAGAGACTTTAACAAAAATATACTTAGTTGGCGATAAAAACAATTTTTTAGCGAATTTTTCAGACAAAATGCAAATTTTTTTGCTGTTTCAGAAAAAACTGATAATTTCTGCGCCTTTTGAATACCCACGCTTGCGGGCAACCACTTTTCGGGCAGCTAGAAGAACCACGGAGATTCTGCCGGCTGTTTTGAAATTAGCCATGCAAAGTTTCCATCATACTACGTAGCTTACGGGGGAAAATCGTAATTCTAATCGAAGAATGCCGGCTGCCCGAAAAGGGGTTGCCCGCAAGTGTCGCGAAGAAATCTAAAATATGGCCGACTCTCCCCACTTCTCTCACTCTCTTGCAAAGATTAATATCTCGGCCGCTGAAAAATGGGAGATAAAACTTCCAGAAAATTTATCATTTGTCCATCACACATATACGATTTAAAACGTAACGACATGCCGAAGAAATGCACAGGTGTTGGGATTTAGAACCATCTATTGCTTCTGATATAATGCAGTCTACAGTATGCTATCTTCAGAGTTTAACACTCTTCAAAATTCAAATCCAATAGTTCCGAGAAACCTTAACTCGAAAATTGGGCCTACTACACAAAGCCATCCTTTTAAAAATCCAAATCCAACGAAAGTATTAATATTATCCATCTTTATTTTATTATTCAATAACAAATTTAAATACAAAGTACATTTGATTTTGATTTTAACAACGATTAAAGACTGAGGTTGTGAGGCGTTCAAAAGACATCTTCAAAAAATTCGAGATCAAGAGACATACATAAAGTATAAGATTCCATAGTTATATAAACATGGCGTACCTCGTGAAGGTAACGACTCGAAAGTCGTCGTAAAGCAAGAGTTTGTATCTTTATCAAATTTATGCGTTATTTTGAATACGATAAATAATTACAAAAACTATCAAAAATTTGCATAAATTTCAAAATAAAGTCCAATAAATAAAATTCTCCTAATCGTAAGGCAGTTGCTACATTACACTACTCTTCAGTTCAGCGTAAACGAGGGAATGTTGAAGATGTCCGTTGGGAACAGCACTTTCCTCATGGCCGAGCTGAAGCCCGCCGAATGGAAGGGCATGTTAATCACCTGCGGGCCTTGATTCCTCACCCTCCTCGTCTTCTTAATGAATTCCATGGTGCCGCGGCTGATTTCGTTGAAGTTCCGGGGCATCTGAGCTTGTTGCCTTGTGGGGTCGAGTTGGTCGTTTTTGGGGATTAGAATGGGCTGGGAGTGTCGTCGGAGTTTGTGGCCATCAATCGAATAGGCCATGAGGCTGAGGAGTTGTGAGAAACAGAGAAGAGCGATCAGGGATTTGGTCAAGTCGAAGGGAAGGACTGAGTTTGACATCTTTTGAATATTCTGAAAATTATGCAAATTAAAATTTGAAAATCGAACGTAATTTTTAAACATAATTTTTTGCGGAAAAATAGGCCCGTTAAAAACAAAAAAAATTAAATTCATTTGAATATGCAAATTTCAAAAACAAAAATTTGCATAATCGAAATCTAAAAATTTGAAAAAATAATTTTTAATTTCTCCAAATATCCGCATAAAATCTACAGTAACCCTCCAGCTCTTCTATGCACTCAACCGAACGACATAAACATAATTACTATGAACGCGGCCATTCAAAGTAGCAGAAACCGCCTTTCTGTCTAGCCGAGCCCGGAATCCGGCCATTGAAATTCAAAAACTGTACCCCCATCCGTCACCTTTTATACCCCTCCCTTCCTTTTCCCGCTGTAATAACTTTTTCGGTGGGGTTTAGACCCCAGGCTCCGCCCCTTTTCTCCTTTTTCGGCCAAATGCGAAAACAATTCCCGAAAAGTGAGAGGGAGATTACCTTCAGCATATGGAATCATCACCATTTCTTTCGCGGTAATTTCATTAATCCATTAGGTCAGCCGTGGGATTCGACGGATTCGGTGGATCCGCGAAACATGGCCTTCAGACGCTGGGTATTATAATGTTTACCGCGTGATGTTCGATGATTCTTTGGGATCTTTGGGCGTTTAAATTTAGAGAAAAGTAAAGGTCGCCTCGAGGAGAAATTTGAATACGGAAATGTAATGGGGAAAAAAGATTTGGGGGATTTAATAAAATGGAAGAGATAAAAATTGCCAACGAAGCCGTCGGAGATTCAACGGTATGTTCGTCGTACTAGAGTTTCTTCAAATTTTATGCAGATGCTCTGTGTATACGCTTCAGCAATTTTTAAAAGTTACAGATAGCATTTAGCAGGTAAAGCCGAGAATTCAATGAGTTTTGCAAGTGATAGACTATAGAGAATAATGAGAGATGGCAAGAGACTAAAAACTTTTTTGTAAAAAAAAAAAAAAACCTTTTGAACCTTGCTTAGAAAATAGAGAAGTGATCAAAGTGTGATGCTCGGATTTTAATGCAAATTACCCACATTTAGATGATTTTTTCTCACATACATATTTGAGATCCCAACATGCAGTTTTAGCTGGCCAACTTTTTAAGAGTTTTTTGCATGAAAAATTTCAGTCTGATTCTTGCCAATAGGGCAACGTTTCTACAAAAAATCAACGTTTTCCGAGCAAAATTCGCAGAGCTATGGCCAATAGGCGTTTTCCTCTCTGACCGTTCTCCACAATTCCCCTACTCACTTGGAAAATTTTCGAATATTACGGGTGTCCGGTAATAGCATGCCCTTTGTTTTTCACAATAAGAAATATGTATGAGATTGAGTAAAACAATGACTGGTAATCATTCCAAACAATTCATTGTAAACATATCTATGAAAATCTGACAATGAATGGACAACTCAATTTGTCATCTTGAATAGAAGAATGATTTACAAGTGCATACCAAGGAAACGTATAATATGTATACTATAAATTTGTCATCGGAAATTAATTCCATTGTCCTGAAAATGTTGCTGTACCGGAAAGGCAATGATTTTCGATTCAGGTCAAATTTAAAATGCTGAATTTTGAACTTGTCTACAGCACTCTTAAACATCGCTTTTCTTACAGACAAATTCACGGAATAATTGGAAGGTGTAAATACTAAAACATAAGGGCTACAGTCTTCCATAGATTAGAAAAAATCCCGGTAATTGCTTCAAGTTCTCCTTGAAGCATGGTAAATTTACCGACTTATGTTTGTCACAACAAAAAAAAGCCATGCTCAAACTGTTGGGCTTGAGACGCATGTATATCAAGTATATTGATATGTACTGTATTTAATTGTAAAGTAAGATAAACTGTGTTTGTCTTCCATGTTCTGTACCAAAAGTAATTTCATCACGTTATGCCAAAGAATAACGGATTTGCAGATTCAAGAATTAGCCTTTAAAAAGTCATAAAAAGGCATAAAACACCCCACCGCACCCACGTATCGTGCCTTCTTTACGCAAAGCTCTATAAACCCAAGTTTAATTTGATGACGCCAGGTCCTAAAATTACCGAACCCATCAAGGAGTCATTCCAAAATAAGCCATTACTTCCTCAGATTGCGAGAAAAGATTGTTTAATTACAGGCCCCAAAAAGGAATTGAGTCATGCATGAGTAATGGATTGCAGTCTACAGTAGTCGCTTGAGACATGTGAAGAATTTATCTTCCAAAAAGAAAGGAGACGGATTCTCTGCGTCAATAATCCGCATTCATTGATAATCGACCGTAAACATCTACAAATTGAAGGGCTCTAATCCACATTGCGGCCTAATCTACTCGGTTAATTTGTAATTACTATCTATCAGACGGGAGAAAGCATTGATCTGATGAATTAGTTCAATTTGAAGATGGACTTACAATTAACAGGATTTGTTGCTTTACCAGTTGATAAAAAAGAGCTGTGGGTGGGGGTTCAGCGGGATGCTTAATTAACCCTGGGAATGACAAATTTTTGGGATGAGAATATATCATTTGAAAAATGAACAATGATATATTCATATACATATATTTGCAAAGTAAGACTGTCTCTCTGATCGCTCTCTGAGTTTGGCGTACTCTTTGGGAGAAAACTAACGATAAGCTAAGCAAGAGCTAAAATTTTCAAAATCTACTTACTACATATTCTATGTATAATATTTATTTGTAAACTCTGCAGAAAGCCTCTCTTTTGTGATGATTTCAAAACCGGCTGTTCTCTTTGCGAGCTGCGCCCTTTCATCAGCAAATGTAACTGAATATCCAGACTGAGTCTGCACATTGCAAGCAACGAGCTCTCAGAATTACAACGTGGCCCAGAAAAGCTAGACAAAAAAAATTCAAGCAGAGCGTCGGGTTTCGAGAAATGTTTTTGAAATTGGATTATGATGATACGTCCGCTCAAGATACATTCAAATTTTCGTGTGCTTGTGACATTTCCGGCCGTTCCAGTGCCTATAACACTTGATGTCAAGGCGGTGTCTGGTATCATCTCTGTTTTTACATCTCACCGCCTGCTTTTGTGCTTTCAGTAACACGGGACACCCGAAAACACTCGGGTTACCCAGTAGAATACCTAAGTAACTCTGGAAAATTACAAACGGGGATCTTTGGGTGAGTTGGAATTTTAATATTTAAATTTATTCTCGACCCACCCAAAGGGCTTTCAGAACGGATACGAAATATTCAGAAAGAAGCCCGGATAAACGTTCGGATATACGATATGTTTGGTGAAAACACGGAGTAATTCTTTATTACATACGCATGTTTTGGGATGTCATTTGGAATTGCTAATGCAATTCCCGTGGTTCTATTATTAGCAGAAGGCGAAAGGTCCACGATTATGAACTCAGAGATATCATCATCTGATAGAGAAGATTATAAGGGCAGAAGAGACAAAAATAAAAGTTTTTATCATCGACCGAATATTCCAGTTGTAACGCAAAGGTTTTGACGAAGATTTTACAAATCAGAAGTTTATAAGAACATCTATTATAAATTAGGAGATGGCTATTTATTCGATCATCATTTTCATAAAATCTAATTTACGCATCTCCAAGCACCTCATTCTATCAGAGCTTTCGCGGAAGTGAAATTTTTTCACTGCAACGGCGCAATTGTCGCTGCGACATTATGCTCATTGTTCTTCGATTTTTTCGCCATCATGCCACATCATGTGGCACAAACTATCTTGTGTAAACTTTTCTTTGCAAACTTTTCCCAAGCAGGGTAAACTGAAGCCAGAAACAATATCTGACGCCCGCTAGGTCCGAAATACTTGCCTACGCTTTTTTAGGAATTTCTCGAAAAAGCAAACAAATTTAGAACGACGAAAGCGAATTACAGGAAATTTGATTAAAAGGACAAAAGCTTCCAGAAACGTTTAAACCGGAGGTGGTGGGAAGACGTGTCAACGGTTTGATTATCGATGCCTATTGCCTACATGTGAACCGGATACGAATTAACTCACGTCCGGAGAGTTGACGCCTGCAAAGGTCTTCTGGAATGGACACGTAACTTACAATTTGCTAAATATTCGATGATTTGCAAAATAAGTAACATAGAGAGGAATGAAAGAATACAGGGAGAGAAAGATAATTGGCAGTGCGAATTATCCAATTTGACACAATATTTAAGAAGGAGAGCTCTCAAAGTGAGGCATACAGTATTCGATGAAAGTTAAAGCCCCATGTTATTGATTATTTTCCCCAAAAAGGAGTTGTTTTCGTGTTGAAACGCACGTTCTTAGGATTTGCCGCAGAAATAAATACCCTCGAAAAAACATTTTTCCATTGAAAAAATTGTTTTTTTTTGTCCTAGAGCGAAACAAATCATTATTTTTCTTTTATTTTGCACTGCCATGATGATGAGACTTATCCGTTACCTCTTTTCATTTATCAAGATGTTTTTTCTCGCTTCAAAACTCCCTTTCGTGTTGAAAATTCAAGTCTTTCAGCGAAATGAATCGTTGTGACAAACCGAAAACACTAATAAACACAAACAGTGTTGTCCCAAACGTACAACATGATCTGTGGATGCATCTGCTTACAAATCCACAGTCTTCTCCTCTACATTTATGAAATTAAAATTGTAAAAAATGTGTGATCAGCGCATTCTTTGGCGTCTAATCTTTTCAGATTTAGGTGCCGCTCCTTCGATAACACTGTAATTTCAATATGATAATATTTTGATACTAAACCCACGTTGACGTCAATAAAAACATGATAAAAAAGTGCCGGAATGTCGTTTTCACAATTTACGGCTATCTTCTGGATCTTTGAATGTAAATTTTCAACATCATCGTAAAACAAATGCCCAAGTACTGTATTTTACAGGCTATAACGCAATGGCCATGAGAAGAATAAAGGTTCAGCGTCTGAGAAGAAGATTAGTGGAGGGCACGGCGGCATATCTTCGGTGCATTACAACATAGAGACGAATTATGATACGGGAACAAAGTGTGAACAAACGTCAAACAATAAAATTTATGAGAGTTCAGTTTGCCGAGTTTAGATATTTTACGGTTGCCGGAAGTTTTTACGGGGCTTAAACAAAGTCTGGACTTTTGAACGGTGCCCTCAATATTTGGCAAAAACATGGAGGTGTCTCGCGAATTTTGACATAAAAAGTTTTACACATATGCTATTAATTGAACGGGAAAAGAAGAAATTTGTTCACTTGATACTGGCAAAAGCTTAAAGTGTGTTATCCGCGTCTTGGATACTCTTTCGGCGGAAAAAACTTGAATGCATAGCTCGACTGTCTCTGCAAAGCGAGAGTTTGAATTTTCAGGCATTAATATGTGGCCTATGCCAAGTGCGTACACGTTCTTTGCAGAATAAATCGTAATTAATAAAAATGATACCACGTTTTTATTTTGATGTTTTAATTCAGAGAAGCGTTTCTCCGTGAACTTTGTACCAAACCTCGACTTGTATGCTGAAGATTGATATCTACAGTTACTACTTTTCAAAGAAAAAATACTACGTTTCTGTAATTCACACAATCTCCCAACCTAAAGACCTCGACAGTTTCAGAAAAACGTGAACTAAAAGCCTTCATAAAATCTTTAAAAAACACCCTTCTGATTTCAAGGCTAGTTTCAGCTAAATCCTTTAGAGGCTCCTTCCAAAGACTACAGTATCTTTCCACCAGCTTCTCTCGCTAATACCCATGTTTTCGCCGTTTCTCAAGCTCGTGCGCAATGGCCTTTGACATGATAATTCCTTATAGTTACTGATCCGCCAAATCCCCAACCTAATCCAAAGTTGGGAAAAGACTGGCGAAAATACAGCCATGTTTCGTATTTCTACTATCCTAATCCGACAAAGTCCCGATGCTTAATTCGCCATGACATTCGAACATCCTTGACTATTTGTTTACAGAATCCTTGGAAACGCGAGCGAAGATGTGGGAAATTAAACGAAATACTGCTGTTGTTCCGAAATTAATCAGATTTAGAAGAGGCTTTGAGAAATGGCGTCAAAAAAATTAAAGTTCGATTTGAAATGGCGAATCTGTTGTCTGGATGAGGTTTTGTTCGTGGAATGCACTTGGATTAGGACGGATCGCTGGTAATAAAAGAGATCACCACGTGGGGGATGGTAGATTGGTTGCGACGGAAGCCATGGAATCGAAGATAAGTTTCAACAGATGACAGAAATGGTGGCAAACAGATCAGGCCAAACTTATCGACATAGAGGGAAGTTGTGATTTCAGGTACTGTGATTTCATTAGAAGCTGGAAGATTTATAAAAAAGGACGAAGCGTGGCTTTAATACGTCCTCCAAAGTTTCAGAGATACGTATATTTAGCAAATGCGTTGTCTTCCTTACCTCATTTTAATTACATTCCAAAATTTTTAGTTTTCGGTTTGCAGAGGGAGCCAAAGATTGGGGATTTTTTTGAGAGAGTGCGAGAAACACTGAGCATTGTCAAAGAGAAAAACTTTTTTGTACTTGTCACAATTTCGCTCAAACAATTTCAAACTGTCCTATTCCTTCCCGAGACAGGTTTAAAATTGGGGTCCCTCTGTTTGATCCTCAAAACAAAGATGATAATCAATCGATATGGGCATGAAAATCAAAACACTAGGACAGAAAAACATGGAGAGTTTAATGCTAAAAAATTACTTCGCTACACATAAACATTTTCGCGGCAGGACCCATGAGAGAGTTGCATTTTTTTATTTGCCATCCTGTAAATACACATTTTCTATCGAGAAGCTGCCTACATATTATAGTAAAATCTCGATGGTTCAGTGAATGCGCCTTACGTTAGAAAAGAACCGCATTAAACGCATGCCCTTAATTCCTGCTACAAGGCATGTTTGGTATTTCCTCCCCAGTCAAATAAATGCCTATAAACATAATAATATAATCGGATTAGTGTTCAAAAGTTGTGGGGGATCCTCTGCCCTCCACGTCATCTGCAGCAATCACATTTATCATTTATTTTCCAGTTGTTCCATTCTTTTATTCATGCTAACTCGTGCCCGATTATCTTATTTGTGCTGGCATTGAAATGGAATGTAAAAATATCCGAGTTCGTCGGATGGATCGTACGTTCGAGATACGACAATGCGTGTCTAACAAAAGACAAAAATTTTGGAAAAGCAAAACAGTTGGAATCACAAATCAGATGGGCGTAGGAGTGAATACAATATGGCTGGAAAGGATGGAAATGTGTGCGTGACTTAGTACAGTAGATTATTGAAATATATGTTATGGATGTAAAAAGTATATTAGGGATGTAAAAAGAATTGTTAATATTGTTATGGATGTAAAAAGTCCATAATTGGAGTGTATTGTGGATGTAGAAAGCGGGACAAAGCCTATCTATACAAGATTATAGGCTTATTTCTCGTCGTAAATGATGTGGGTGAGGGGCAAATTAAAGATTTCAAAAAACATTGATTTAGGCGTTGTGAAGGCCGCTGGTGGTGTAGCTACATGCCTGTGTCATGCCATGTAAGAGCTATTGCTGATTCTGACAGCGATTTCGTATTTCACATGAAAAATTCCAAGTTGTTCAATTGACGTTTATTTAATGCCATTGCAGACAATCTGTATCAAACAACGGACACCGAGACAACCAACGTGAAATATTCAAGGTAATGGCAGACAACTACCAATTCACCCAATGGAACTTCTGAAAGATTCTTCAGAACCCCATTTGTTTCCACTCTAATGTTTGCAGAACATTTAACAGTTTTCAACTTTTCAAAAAATCAGGTATGCGGGGTTTTCGAAGAATATATACATACTTTAATGCAACCTTTCGTAAATTTTTCATCTGCAAATCTTTGGCTCACCTTGTCCAGCAGAATTTGTTTTGATTCGAGAAACATCAAGGTTTCAGGTGAAAAAAACTTGTTAGAAAATTACATCTAATATGATGTTTATATAGTGTAAAGTTCTCAGACCGAAAAATCTTGAAGGATGTTTGCTTTTGGCCAAGCTTTAAGGTCAAGGCTTAGCCCAAAGTACCTTGTTTGTCGGATGTTTTTATCTCGTCTTCTGGATGCCCTTTGGCCAAGATTATGTTGCGATCCCTATAAGGATACGGCCAGACAGCCAGTGTAGCTCCAAGACGATTAAAGCTTGAACTACACCTACTACATCCGATTTTAAGGAAACTAAGCGCTTCACGCCGGACCCTTACCAGACAGTAAATATGGCAGCTAATCAAACATCGAAAAAAGAAATCTTCCCGTTCCCCGATGCTTGTTAGGTTAGAATAATGCCGTAAATTTGTTGCTTTCCACGCTACATAAACCTCCTTCTTTTAAACCATGATTTGAGGGGCACATGCCCTCGCAAGGCCTGCAATACAAGTCGGGCTTTGAAGATCTGTTTGGAAGCAACGTTTACTCAAACTGTCTTTTAAGCATAGGTCTACAAACGACTCTTCCATTAGTAAAATATACAGTGATGACTTCAATAAGAACAAACCCAAAGATTTCTAATTACTAACTTCCGCATGTTTTCGTATCGAAACTGTACTCTAATTTGTTATGACAACGGACATGTCTACATATAATTATGTACGTCTCTTTACAAGATATTCTGAATTCAAGCCACAAGTCTGCTTGAAGGAGCGTTGCGACTGCTTTAACGTTATATTTTTTCGAAACCCGGAATTCGCACGGTCTAAGTGACACCTGAAAACCTTTTACGCCTCTGTTTTATACAGAATTCGTTATAATTTCACCATAATTTGTACTGCTTTTCCATAGCCTAGGATGGGTGTCTTGATGAATATAACGGAGCTCCCATCCGATGATTTGATTGCGGTATATCGGACCTATGAGTACGTTATGTTCATCGCTACAACGCTGATTGTGGGCTATACGCTGGCTATTATGCTGCTCAGTAAGCGAAGTACTGAATTTTTATAAAAAAGATTATAGCTTCACTGAAAAGCCTTAGTAACTACAAATGGTACCTTATACATGGCATCGTATGGTAAGCAGTTTTATGTTAGAATTTATGGCGTAATCTTTAGGGGTTACTCTTTTGACAGCCTTGGAGCCCTGATTGGTGCCATTACACTGTTTCCATTGCCGTGCTACTATGGTGTAAACGCTGCTGGAAGCCTGAGGGGCTCGAGTCAAGTCCTGTATTTCTTCATTGGCTTTAACTGCGCCATGGGCAAAATTCTGGCCGTTTTTCTGCAATTTGAGCATCGATTTCAACAAGCACTGCCTCTGGATTCTTGGTACAGAAAAAAGCTGGATTTTTTGCATGGAAAATACGAAGTGCACTACCGAATCGCCCTTTATATCATTCTTGGCGCTTCAATTAATGTATGTTTTTCAAGCAAATTTTACTATATTACGCATTGTGTAAAACATTCTTTTTAGGCCCCAGTTTTCATATCATTGCCGAATCAAGTCGAACAGCGACAACTCCTCTCCGACATGGACCCTGTTCTGGCCTACATCTATCAACAACACCCCACTACCTCCTGTTTTTCCAGTGGCACCGAAAGTTGGGTGGTTAGAATCACAGTTCTATGGCTTCTAGTGGTAGTTATGACCGAAGTTTTCCTCCTATCCTTTATTTATTCGAGCATTCATCGGCTGAAACTCTCCGTGAACACTTACCGCTTACAAGTGATGCTGTTCTGGTCACTTGTTGCCCAAATGGCGGGATTATTTGTTTTTATAATGGCGCCCGGTTTGGTCTATCTTGGCGGAGCCACACTTGGAGTCCGCAACATGCCCACAATCAGTGTTTTTTGCTTCGCTTTCTTTATCTCTCACACCGGAATTGATTGCCTTATGGTGCTGTTCTTCATCAAGCCCTATCGAAATGTGGTGTTGAGGAATTTTGGGATTTTGCATAGGTCCTCACGAGCCTGGGAGCCCACTTCTATTGCCCCCAACCATGGAATCAAAGTTGTGCATTAATAGTTCAATAAGCAGACAATATTAAATAATATTGCCTATAAAATTTGTCGTGCATAGAGGTCAGGTTGTCCTAGTAAATATGACGATGGAAAATTAGGAAATTTGGCATCCCAGCTTGTCGGAGGTCCATAACTTCCTCAACATTTTCAGAAAAATGGACTTCGTAAATATCGGCAGCGCCGTTGCCAAGTTCTAAGGTTATAAGGGTGATAGTGAAAGTAAGATCGATGACTATATGCAACAAAAGGCAACGCATTGCAACTACTCCAAGGTTTAGTCTTTGCGGGATACCGCTGGTCGGACCCTGGTCAGCGTATTTTCCTTTACAATTTCACGCTCACTAACAGACATGGACGTCCTGTCAACAAATTGGGATGACGCGAAAATGCGCTTCACGTTGTAAAAAACAGCCCTACGATAAGGCTTGATAAAGAACAGCACCATCAGACTGTCAACGGTAGTGTGGGATACAAAGAAAAAGAAGCAAATCACGCTGATTTTGGGTAAATTCCGAAACTTCAGCGTGGCTCCTCCAAGATACACTGTTCCGGGGATCAACATAAACACAACAAAGGCTGCCATCTGAGCGATTAACGACCAGAACAGCATCATTTGTAAGCGGTACGTATTAGCCGTGAACTTGGATCGATTAATTGTTATGTAAATAAATCCCAAGAAAAAAGCTCCGAATGCAACTGCGACAAATATGTAGCAGGTGGCGATGGTTACAATCAAACTGTCGACTCCGCCGGAAAAACAGGCGGTGTTCGGATGCTCGCGATAGATTTGTGCAAGCACTGGGTCCATATTGGAGAGAAATTCACGTTGATCATCCTGGTTTGGACGATAGTAAAAGCCCGGTATCTAAAATGTAGAAGGCCTTAGAAAAGTAAACAATAAAACCAAATTTTTCTATGTGCAAATACTGACATTTAGAGACGCAGCGATGAATAAATAGATCAAAACCCGAGCCAACAACTCGTATTCTCCATGAACAAACCAAAACACCTCCCGGTACCAGGAATGTAGCGGCAGCGCCTGTTGAAATCGATGCTCAAATTGTAGAAATATAGAATAAACTTTCCCAACCATGCAGTTTGCCCCGATGATGAAATATACAGTCTGGCCATTAATTCCAAGAGATCCTCCAATATTTATTCCATAGTAGCAAGGTAGGGGAAACAGTGTAACTGCCCCAATCAAACAAGCCATTGTGTCAAACCCAAAGCCCCTAAAATACGAATTTACAAGACGGATCCGCACTTACCATAGGATACCATGAATTAGGTACCATCTGTACTTTCTTAGGCCTTTGGAAGGAGCTAAAATTGATTGTTCTTCTTTTCAAAGAAACTTACGGGGCTAAGGTAGTACGACCCCCAGTCCAGTTCAGCCCCCCATGACCCAGTACTAACCCCCTCGTCCATTCTGAACCCCCAAAATTGATTTCAAAAAGTTAATCCAAGTTGTATGATCCAGCAACAGCGCTCCAGAAAGCTTCAATGAAAGCTTGATGAGAAGAAACGTTTTAGATCAAGCCCCCTACGTTTTAGATCATGCCCCTATTTTAGATCAAGCCCCCAACGTTGTGCCAGTGCGCAACGAGCGAGAAGAGCAGTCAACTCCGTCCTTGCGGCACCGAAACTATAACTTGAAGAACTACACATGAACACTATACCTCAACTTTGTCCATACAACGGGCCCGAGCACGCAAGACCATAATATCCCCACATTTCTCGCAACGAGGGGCTGTGGGCAGACGACCAATGCCCTGAAGAACACCAATGACACCGACATGACAACCAGCTTCGAAGGAGAAGAAGAAGCAGAATGAATGAATCGTTACATTTTACTCTAATTTGCGTTTTTTGCATTATTCTAATTTTTTCATTATGGGGGTGTGAAACGGGTAAAACAGTGGGTGTTTGAACTACCTTCCGTGGGGGGCTGAACTATACCAAAGCCCCCAACTTACTAATATACATTATTGTCAGGGTGTAAACAACCAGGAGAAGAGTCAGAATAAACATTGAATATTCGTAAATATGATAAACAGCCACTAGATCCTCCGATGGGAGCTCGGTCAGATTCAACAAAATGCCCATATAAAAATGGCAAAGCGGTAATGACAAGTCTAACAACTCTGACAGTTTCTAGCTTGTAATCAAATCGATGTCACCCTTGCTTAGAAAAATTTCGTATTCAACACAGCTGGAATTAAGGCATTTAAAATGTGTATAACCCACACTGAAAGTGCAAAAAATGTGGACGGTACATGATTTCCGACTTTGAAGTTCGATGAAGAAAAATAAATCCGAATCATCGGGCAACACAGTGTACCAGACAAACAAAAAATAACAATGAACGCTCCGGGTAGTACATACAGTGCGGATTATAAAATATGGTAGGTAGTCATTTATTATATTTCTCTGAAAGGACCTTAGTTCCGTCGAGACAAGTGCTCACGCAAACAAGTGATAGCAACTACACTACTGATCAGTCAAAAAGCTGTTAGTTTTTTTATTTCCAATGAAATCACTTTCAAATTATTATAAATAAAAACAAACGGATGGCGTTAAGGTTCATGTTATTACTTCACCATTTTGATTTCGACAGTTGTGCCGGAAACCGTCGACCGTTGGTCTAAAATGTTTGTCGTATTAAGGATCCGTCTAACACTAAGAAGAACAACTCTTCGATACGGCTTGATAAAAAATAACAGCATCAAACTGTCGACAGTTGTATGAGAGACAAAGAAGAAGAAGCAATAAACGCTGATCCTCGGCATATTCCGCAATCCCAGTGTAGCTCCGGCTAGATAAAGGATTCCTGGGCCCATCATGAATACAAACAAGACGACCATTTGCGCAACCAACGACCAGAACAACATCATTTGCAAGCGGTACGTGTTTGGAGTAAATTTGGATTGGTGGATGCTGACATAGATAAAGAACAAGAGAAATACTTGCGCCAGAACAAGCAAAGCTCCCCATGCTGCGGCTATGTTCGCTATTAGGCTGCTCACTCCGCCCGAGAAGCATGTCGTACTGGGATTTTCGTGGTATATCCAGGCAAGAACAGGGTCCATATTGGAGAGGAAGGAGCGTTGGTCTTCTTGGTTTGGCAGCAACATTACCCATGGAATCTAAAGAACACCGTTTTTTAAAATGACCCCAATTAGACCCACATTGACAGTCGCGAATACAAACAGATAAAGGAGAACTCGGATGTGAATCTCGTACCGCCCATGGAGAAATCCGAGGAACGTCCGGTACCACGAATCTAAGGGCAGGGCTTGTTGAAAACGATGCTCAAATTGAATAAATGTGGCGTAGATCTTGCCGATCATGCAGTTGGCACCAACCCAAAAGTAAAATATTTGCATATTACCCGTAATTTTTGAAGCAAGATTTACACCGTAGTAGCAAGGCAAAGGAAATAACGTAACGGCTCCAATTAATGAGGACATAGCGTCAAAAAAGAAGCCCCTAAAAATTTTAGTAATGCGAACTCCAGTTACCATATGATGCCATGGATCAGATACCACTTGTATTTTCCGAGGCCTTTAGATGGCGCTAAAATAAAGCCTTAGCCTTATCGGGTTATTGTCTCACTTACAAATCGACATAACAGTGAGAGTATAGCCCACGATCAGGATTGTGAAAGCAAACATCGCATATTCGAATGCATGGTAGACGGCCAATAAATCTTTGGATGGAAGTTCAGTCGCATTGAGTAAAATTCCCATAAAAATTGAACATCAAGGCGGTATGACAGCAGCCTTGCTTGTGTCTGCCAAATTCCCACACCACAGTTGAAAACCGGGACAACCGGTGAAAATAAAGGCAAAAAGCGCGTGGAACGTTAATGTCTAATTAATTCAAAGATCCATTTATGCTTCTTTATGAACATACACTTTAGCGTGCTTTTGTATTAACACCGATCTTATCGAAGGTCTGGATTAGGAAACTGTTGCAGTATATACAGGGTGGGCCGCCCGAAACGGGTAAGTTTTTTCTTTGGATTTCTCCGCGGAGGCTCCGCCGATTTTTCTAAAATTTAGATTTTTCTGGAGCTGAGACCCGCCATTTTTAACCGATTGAGTTTCAAAAAAACATATTTTGAATTGACCTTTCTATCAGTCTGTCGGGAAAAAAACGGCGGGTCGTCGCCGCAAAATGTCTCGCCTCGCCGCTATCGCGCACCAAATCCCAAGTCGCGGCTTGCAGTCGCAAAGCGATGATGGGCGATTCCGAGGCGCGACGACCCGCCGTTATTTTTCCGACAGACTGATATGCCTCCCCAAAGTTTCGAAGAATTATTTTCGGGCCGAAACCGGTAAAAATTTGAAAATTTTTGGAATGATTTCGAAAACTTGGTGATTTTTTCGGGTTTTTGGGTGAAATTTTCTGAGTTTTATCTCATATAACCATAAAATAATGTTGTAAAAACAATTTATTTTAAAGACCTGATTATTAATATTTCTATCTGAGTTCGAAATGCCCACTTCCTCTCGCAGCACAAACTTGTAGGAGCTTTGAGAGTCTTGAGAGTCGTGAACAGCTCGAATTGCAGATCGTGAATATAAGGCGCGTGCGTTCTACTTTTCTTCGGACTTCCTCGCAGAAAACCCGCATTTCTTGTCTGTGGGCCCGCTAGACAAGAAATGCGCAATTCTTGGCTGAGCAGAGAAAAAAGAAAAAAATCTTCACGAGGAGAGAGCAGAAAATTGCGCAATATTGCGCAATGTTACGCAATTTTAGACAAGAATTGCGTGTTTCTTGTCTAGCGGGCCCACAGACAAGAAATGCGGGTTTTCTGCGAGGAAGTCCGAAGAGAAGTAGAACGCACGCGCCTTATATCGTCTATCTTCAATCGGGCTGGACAATAATTCTTCTAAACTTTGGGAAGGCATATAAAGGTCAATTCAAAATATATTTTTTTCAAACTCAACCGGTTAAAAATGGCGGGTCTCAGCTACAGAAAAATCTAAATTTCGGGAAAATCGGCGGAGTCTCCGCGGAGAAATTCAAAGAAAAAACTTATCCGCTTCGAGTGGCCCACCCTGTACCTTATCTTTCCAATGAACTCTATCCGGTTCAACCGGTCATTTTCCTCCTTCTGCTCGTCGTTTTCTCCGTAGGTGAGGCGTTTGGGAGGGTGTAATGAACGCTTATCTCGTACCGCTGGCGTGTGGTCGGGTAGATTTCCGACTCCTTGTCCTCTGGCTACAGACGTTGAACGACTTCTTTTTCGCTGACTGTTTTCTCGAGCTGTTCGTAGTTGAGGTTCCCTTCCTTTATTTTTCCAGCTCCGACTCGTCTTGGCGGTGTCGATCTGCGTCTTCTCCACCTCCTTCCGCAACTAAGGTTGCTGAAGTACCTTATCTAGTAAGTCACCAGCACGAAACCGAGATCGACTCACAAGTGATTTATTCTACAAAAACCCACTCCTTATATAAGAGCGGGACACAAAGTAAGAGTCATTTACATAAAGGATAAAGATCATTGCGATGAGGTGGGGTCGGGGTTGGTCGTTCTTTTTTTCCTTGGACGGTAACAGTTGTCGCTTCGGCTGTGGAACTGTACAGCCTTGGGTAGACGATCTTAATCCCCTTCAAATCAATGTAACGCCCAAAAACATGAAAGACAGCCTGTCGATAGGGCTTGATGAAATATAAAATTAAAAAAGAATCAACGGTTGTATGAGTGACGAAGAAAAAGAAGCAATAAACCGTGATCCTCGGCATGTTCCGTATGCCGCAGCTCCCTCCCGCTAGGAACAGGATCCCCGGTGCTACAAAAAATGTTATAAAAGCGGCCATTTGAGCTGTCAGTGACCAGAACAGCATGATTTGCAAGCGATATGTTTGGGCTTTCAGCTTCTGCCGATGAATACTCAAGTGGATGAACACCAACAAGGTCATCTCCGAAAATGCGTAGAAAAACATCCAGAAAGCAAAGATATTAACGGCTAGGTTAGAGAGCCCACTTGCGAAACATATTGTGTTGGGATGCCGCGTATACACCATGGCCACCACTGGATCCATATTCGAGAGAAAGGACCGCTGATCCTCTTGATTTGGGAAGTATGCAATCCATGGAGTCTAAAACGTTATCCTTTAAACTTTGAAATTTTTGGGCTTACGTAGAGTGTGAGCAATATAAAGCAATAGAATACAACGCAAATTGTCAATTCGTATTTCCCATGGAGAAATCCAAGCCGTGTTCGATACCACGAATCCAATGGCAGCGCTTGCTGGAATCGATATTCGAATTGGATAAGTGTGGCGTACGCCTTTCCCATGGCGCAGTTAACTCCGACAAAAAAGTAGACCATCTGCAGTTTTCCGCCAATGGATGCGCTGACATTTATTCCGTAATAACAAGGGATAGGGAACAGGGTTACAGCTCCAATTAAGCCTGCCATCGCATCAAAACAGATCCCCCTAAAAGCAGGAATACAGATGCAAGAAAGTAGAAGACTTACCATACAAGGCCGTGCACTAGATACCATTTGTACTTGCTTAGACCTTTTGCCGAGGCTAAAAAGTCTAATTTATATTTATAACACAATATATAACTTACTCATGAAAATGACTGTAAGGGTGTAGCCGACAACCACAAAGGTAAAAACAAATATAGCATACTCATAGACATGATATACCGCCAGCAATTGATCTGACGGGAATTCTGTCGTATTCAGTAGTATTCCCATATATGGAAAACTTTATAATGCCACTCAACTTCTGAGTCATGAGGACTTTGAATATATAATAGTTACAAAAGAAGTGAAATCATGCAGTAGAAGCGCCTCCGCTTTGGCTCTTAGTGTAGTCTGGAGTCATGGTGATGTTTGGCAACAGTAATCACTAATGGCAAACAGGTGGCTTCAATTTCAGGGATTTCACGGCTACTTTAAGCCCGTGTGAATCTACTATTTACAATCTTTGTTCTCACTGATTTATGCCAATTCATCGGGTTTTCAGCTTCCTTTAATCAGCAATTTTTATAAATTGGGCGTTGATAATATATTATAATACATTTTTATTTATTTAATTAATCAAATTAGGAATCCTCATACAATATCTGAGATGCTGGATATACATGTTCTGACAATACTAAAAACAGTATCAAAACTTGTTCGAAATCTAAAAGTCATATCGGCAGAGAATTGGATTTTACAGAGCAGTGAGGGGTAATACTGAAAGACATTTGAATTGGCAGACAAAAATCATACAGGAAACACGAGTTTTGCTTCGATTTGAAGTGAATTTCGTAAAAGATTTTATGTAGAATACGGTTAGTTGAGCGTTCGAACATTCACCCTTGTCCGATCAACGAATGTGTAGTTGAGTTGGGCCTCCAGAAGGGTCAACTCGCTGAGGATGACATTTTTGATTGACTCGGCGGTAAGCTGACTGTTGGAGTAAACGATTAACGTCAGACGGAAGGGAACTCGGAGATCGTTCCCGCTGAAATAAGGGTTCACTTTGTGTGGATATTACATAGCGATAGGCCCAATTTTTTCAAATTTTGCGACCGTAAAATCACGGTGCTTTCTGCGAAGCCTGGCGTACGAATCTCGCAAATGCCTCGCCTCACGTCAATCCAGCGCATTTCCTGAACCCTTCGCATCGTTTTCATTGATTTTAAAAGAGAGGCGAAATGTAGCGAAATTATCGGCACTGTTTCTTGCCCGGAATAATTGCTCTTTCTCGAAAAGGAAGAAGAAAGATAAGAAAATGCGTTTTATCGGGTAGTGACACTTCGTTTTGAACGAATCACCAAAAAGGGGCGAGAAATTTTTTTCTTCTATTTTGGATAGACGTGCGCCTGTACTTTTACTCTACCACTTATAACTAAACTCACACATTGGTCAACCTTTCCATCTGCAAACTCGGTGTCAAATCTCGTATCGTTGATTGTGCGATCAGTGTATTTAGCTGAAAACATTGCGTGTTACCTACAAATCATCTCCAATCCTACCGCATTTCGAATGATCGTCGATGCTTGTTCGTACTCGACACTTGTTGGATCATTATAGGCGGCATTTGCTTGATCAAGAATGAAAAATTCGCATTCAAACGTTCGATTTACTAGCTGCACTTTGGGAGGGAGAGGATCAATAGGATTGTTGTCGGTAGGAGGCGATGGAGGCTTGGAGGAGCCCAGTTGGAGAACTAAACGGTAAAATACGGAGCACTTTTTTTGGAAATTGATACAATCAAGGTTTTTAAAAATTTACCTAGACTTTTCTCCGACATTTGAAAAGTTGGCCCAAAAAAAATTTTTTCTCGAATTTGTGACAAAACCCAAAAGAATTCCCTTTTTTTCTCTTCTTCGCGTTGACTTGCAATTTGCACTGTGCATTCAAATTCGCTTGCATTCAAAATATCGCTTCCGCACATGCCCTTTTCAATCGTGTCGCTGCGATTTTTGAGCGCGCGACAAAGCACAGTGCAAAATCGTTCAAAAACATCCGCACAGTGCGAAACAAAGTCCAAATGGACTGTGCATCAACGATAAAAACTCTCTGCACTTTTGGAAAAGCGTAGCAATCAAAATGAAAATTAATTTTTTTTTTGAACTTACCACCAGTTGCAAAGAGGATCAAGAGTGAAATGATGATGATAAGAAGCAGGATTATTAGCACGATTATTGGCACGATGTAGGTCATGTTGCTAAAAATAAAATTTTGGTACACCACATTTCCGGAAACAGTATGAAACTGCGGTGAATATATTGCAATGAAACTGGGCATAAATATCGAGCAGATGGATAAGGGGGTTAAAATTTTTTAGCAGCAAGAACCGAGAATTTTATGTCTACGATTGGCTAGAACTGTGTAAAATTTTACGCGTAGGCAGTGGCAAAAAAACCTTATAAGAACCAATTTTTTGAGGGATAGTTCACAAAACTATGGCAAAAAGACTTTTTGTCTAGCCGCTCTCCACATTTTTCGTACTCTTTCATCGACTGAATCGTATATCTCAGCTACTACTGCAAAGCGCAAGCCAAAATTTTAGTAAGCTGATTTGCGGCCTAACCCCAGCTATCGGCACAACCCTCATCCCAACTCACCTCTCCTCCTTTTCCTCAGTGTACCCACTCGCATTGTGCGGGATATACCGTAGCACATTTCTGCCGCTCCCACTTTTGGTCGGATTCAGTGGATTCCCATACGCATCCCGTTCATGCCAGCCTCTCCGCTCCATGAAATCAGCTCCGGTCATGCCGTAAGTGGCGGACCGATTCATTTTCGACAGCGACGAATGGGCCGAGGAGGATTGGCGAGGTTTGGGCTGGGGTTCGATCGGTTTGTAGGTGGGCTCCACCGGCGCGTAGGTGATCGGCAGGCTGGTCTGGCGTTGGACGGGCTCCGGCGGATCTGTGAGGGGCTGCGCGGCATTCGTGGACCCAGTTGGATTGGCTGAAAAGGGGTAAAATACGCTCAACTATTTTTAATTTGTTCTCTTTCAATCAAGTTTTTACCCCCATTTACTAAGCTCAGACTGTCTTCAAATATTCCAAAACATGTCTATTTGGCTTCAATATGCTCTAAACATATTTTAAGCAAAGTTTCCTTTGGTTCGGTATCTTATACTTGAAGCCCTACATCAAATTGTCATATTTTTCCTCAAAAATTCCCCTTAAAATTTCGAAAACTGACCAAAACCGTCAAGTCACACTCCAAATCGGGGCCACAAACAAACTTAACTCTATGATCCAACCGACTGAGTCAGCATCGTCCCAAAAAATAACCCAATTTGCCCTCAGGTGGCCTCGAAATGAGCAGTAAATTAAATCTCAAACTGAACAGCCCGCTGAAGTCGGGATCGGATATCGAGGCGGGTAATCAAGAACGAGGAAATAAAAACACTATAATATACTCTGCGTTATGATGCTTTCGCCCGCTTTCGATCCCCCACCAGCTCTTTCCACCTTTGTTTGTTCAATCTCCCAAAAAGTCGGCGAATAAAGAAGGGACGAGATCTATTGGCCAGCAATCCCGATGGCGGGGGTTCCGAACGGGTAACGTGTGGCCAGACTACTCATCGCTTAGGACGTTTACTTTCATCTGGAGTGGGTTTTACTTATATTTTATAGGATTTCTATTTACTCAGACTTTTTTTCATTTTTTGATGACTTTTTTACGCACTGTGCGGATTTGGATGGAAAAAATTGGCAAGTTTGAATTGTCGATTGACGTGAGCTCAGATTAAGTTTTTTGAACTTGTTTTTCGTTATTTTTAGACAGACTTTTTCACAAAAATTTTCAGTTTTAAAAATTTTTTATCACCCAAAAAATTTGAAAATCGGTTAGACTTTATTTTAAAAAATGACCCCAAATTTTTTCCCTGAAAAACTAAGGCTGTCTAGATGCTCTCTGCCAAATTTGAAGTCAATCCGAGTAACATAAACACCTTTACAAACCCAAAATTATATTACACTACCCATTATATTGCACTCAACAAAACTCACGACAAACTCGAATGTCCGTGATAAACCGACATTCACATTGTTCTGACACCTCTTCCACCGCATCATCACTACTTCTGGACTTTTTGAAGATCTTTTCAAACTTGGATCCAATCGATTCCCGGCTCCCTTCCCGTGGGATACTGTACTTTCCCGAGACCATCCAGCATTAGATCATTTGTGAGATTCCTGATGAGACTGAAAGATTCAACAACCATTCTGCACTTTGCTTTACCATAAACGTAATGGTCAAGTTGAGAAAAAATTGAAGAAATGGTGATCAATTAAAAGATAGGGCTAATTGGAGGGGAAATAATGGCTAAAACAAGGTGACGGGCCATTTATTTTGAGGAATAGGAAAAAATCTGGAGTTGAAATTTCTTTTGAGAGGTTTGAAATGATAAAAGTGGGTTACAAAATTGCGGAAATAAAAAAAATCATTTTGAAAAATTGAAAAAAAAACGAAAAATCTCAAAATCAATGAGAAAACTGACCTTCAAGCTGTCCAAAACAACATCTCACCCCTTCCTACGAATAACACATTACTTTATACCGCCCAAAGTTGTCGTAACAAGCCCTTTTCGTATTCGATTACACCTGCGCATGAGATATCCGCTAGTATAATTTAAAAATGTCCACTTTACTTTTTTCGCTTCGCCGCGTTTCATCGGCCGTTTTGTTTTTTTCGGCTGCGGGCATTCCGAAACTGGCCATTCCCAGTTTATTTTCGGCTTTTGGGGCTAAATTCGGAAACGTTTGGAGAGGATTATATATAATCCATGGGAAGGGCAAGGAGATATGCGCGGATAAACAGAAAAATAATGGCAATCTTAGAAATTGTAAACATTTTTCGACCAAAATTACTTTGCAAAACCAACTAAAGTTTTCGCAATTGCACCGTGCATTACAATTTCATAAAAAAAACCCCAAAAATAACAATTCAGTTCATTGTAATTCCGCACAAACAACAAGTATATATTTACATCCGTAATGCCCGTCAAAAGTAATAAAATTGACATTCCAAGTGTAAAAATAAAAACATCTGTTCATCAAAAAACACACAAAATGACCCTTACTTTACAACCTTATAAATATTTTCCGAAAAGGGCTTGTTTCAGAGTTCGCAGGGTCAGCGCTGTAATGACTGCGCCAAATCGAGGGTGGATTATTTGTTTAGCTTTCCGATTTCAAAACGGTTTCGGGCCTTTCTGGGTCATGAATAATACCGTCGGGGATGTCTCACGAATATTTATTATTTAACAATGAGTAAAAACAAGAAAAATTATTGAGATACAAATCGAAGAAAAAAATGTATGGACAAGAAACCACGGAATAATTAAGAGATGCAGTTAGAGATTTGTTCTTTAATATCCTCGGTCTTGACCGCCGCGAGCTGGTGGGCCGCCTGCGCTCCATCCACCGGCGTAGCCACCGCCTCCGTATGCGCCGTGGGCGCCGGACCATGCTCCGCCAGCAGCGGCTCCTTGGCCGGCTCCCCATGATTCTTGGCCCCAGCCTCCTTGGGCGCCCGCGCCATAGCCACCGCCTCCGTAGCCACCTCCATAACCTCCTAAAATCGTGAAATTACATTCTGGACATACAGACAACTTATCAAACGAATAATAATCCTATTTTATCAAAAAGTTATATTGCACTAATACCTAAAATAAGGTAGACTAGGTAATGCAACAATATTGCACTCAAACTAGTATAAAAATCTCTCCTTACCTCCATAAGAACCTCCACCTTGTCCCCAGCCGCCTCCGGCGCCTCCTTGACCACCCCAAGCGGGCGCTCCATAACCACCGCCATGAGGTTCCCTAAAGTTTCCGGCAGGCCCTGGCGCTCCTCGCGGTCCGCCCCAAGCTCCTGGTGGTCCACGTCCTCTTCCAGTTCTGGCACCTCTTTCAACACGATCCCTCTCGGACTGCTGAGCTCTGGCCATCTCATCTCTGCTCAACGCCTTCTTCACATCACATCTGAATCCATTTATCATATGGGACTTCTTCAGAACACATTTGTCGACTGAATCATAATCATCGAAGGTAACGAATCCAAATCCTCGGGGTTTGTTGGTCTGTTTGTCAGTGATGATCTCAACTTTGGTGACCGCTCCAAATTCAGAGAAGTACTCTTGGAAGACGTCTTGAGTGTGTTCTTCACGGACGCCACTGACGTATAACCTGTTAGTGGAGACATTGGCTTCTCCTCTGGACGAAAGTTCTCGAGGGACAGCTCTCTTGGGATCCACTTGCTTGCCATCGATTGTGTGAGGACGGGCGGCCATACACTTGTCAACCTGAAGTCGAAAAATAACTTTTAATACCCTTAAGCATGAATAAAATAGTCGAAACAAGGATTGCTTGTGGTTTAGTCTCACAGAGAATCAATTCTTCACGTTCTAAAATAAGAAACAACAATAAAAATACTCACCTCAGCCTTGCAACTATAAGAAACGAAACCGAATCCTCTGCTCTTCTTTGTTGCAGAATCCCTCATCACAACACAATCCACGATTGTTCCAAACTTTGAGTAGAAGTCTCGAAGGCTGTCATCGGTCGTACTCAGCGACAATCCACCTATGAAAAGCTTGCGGAACTGCTCCGGCTCGTCTGAAGTCGCGTTCTCCTGAGAGCCATCGTTAGGTGAATTCTGTTGATCGTTATCGGCCATCTTTGGTTGCTGTACCTGTAAAAATGATTCGAATAAATATTAACAATGTTCGGAACGAATTTCACATTAAATTTCAATAAATTCGACATAATTTTCCACATGCCATGTTGGCTAAAATAAGTTCTTGAAAAGGCTGAAATTGAATTCGAGGGGCACAAATATAGCCATTCTATGGAACGAAACTTAAATTTCAGTAGTCAAGAGACAATAAACAAGCCAATGTACCACTTTCCGCGCATCAAAACCCTCAAAACATTATCCCTCCCAAACAGACTTTAGACAAGAACAAGGTCAAGGTTTTGAGAAAAATAACCGACAAAATCATGCTCAAAAGTTAGAGTAGCACCTCGGTAATTAATCGATATAAAAGACCTCTCCGAATAGCCACTATTTCAGACCGCAACAGGCCGAGAAAAGACAGACTTACCACGTACGGATCGGACTTATGCTCCTGCTCCGTATCAGACATGATAAAGACGGAAAAGACGCTTCAGATGCAGACAAAAAGTTACGTACACGGATGTCGATGCTGGAAAAGGAAAAAAGCCCGTGTTTTACGGCCAACGCGCATTTTACCTGATTCTTCAGGCAAAGCGCGTTAGGATGCGCAAAATTCCAAAAAATTACAAAATTAATTAAAAAGTAATTACATCGAAAGCCGAACTAGGTAGTAGAATATAAAACTATTGAGTCGATCGACAAAAATTTTAGCGTCAAAATGATATATTATACTAGATCTTTTGATATCTAGTGTAATATAATTGTTGATAAATTTTGGTAAAACTAACGAAATTTTATGCCAGTTGGAAAGAAGGAAAAAGTATATTGCATAAAAAATGTACCAACACAAAAATGAGACCAATATCAGCCAATCGAGACATCCGGAAATCAACAGTTGAGATCAAGAAGGATAAGTAAATTTGGGTCGACGCCGGAAGCTAGCATTTGAATTAATCTCCGATTCCAAGAAAAACGACCTTTGACTACTCTTGGGATGATTTTTAGGTACTATTTCACATATCTCAATACTTTTTTCTGAACAATTCCATAGGTGCCTACATCCTAACACAAGTTTCGCGAAAAATTATGATAGTTGTCAAATCCAAGCCAAAAACTGATGCGGAGAAGAAGAAGACCGCCTTACCTTTCAATGAAATGATCAGATCCATCCGCTGTGTCCACTCGATTCCTCTTCCAGCTCGAAAATTCTTATCCCCAAAAACTCAGTAACTAAATATACCAATCACAATAACCTCCTCAAATTCAACCTCCGAATTCGTGAAAAAACCGAACAAAATTGATTTTTAATGTAATGTACAAAGTAATAGTCTTATTTATTGTGTTATCTACGACTCTGATCTCTTTGTTTATGTAAAATAACATCTACAACAAATCTATGCGTTCTTGTTCTCTATCATGTTGTCTTTGTGCCGAATAAGTAGTAAAGCAGTAGAATTAAATCGTAAGTTGTACTCCAGACTTCTTAGAACTTACTATTCTAAGTCTAGCTCGAACTGAGTCTACCTCTATTGGCTTAGTTATCTAAAATAATTAATGTAATCTTCATTCAGCTATCTTGTATACCTCTAGTTGCAGCTAGCTAACGTTAAACATCCATCAACCCAGTGTATTTGGGGGAGTTTGGATCCATTTCCATAGTCGGATATTGAGGCGGCCAAAGTTCAAGCTGAATTACGTCATTTACCAGCAGAAGATGGCCCGACTCTTGTGGCACTATCATCTGTGAGCCTGCTGGAGTTCTTACAGCATCAAACCATCATCTTCTACATGTAGCGTCTTCATCAAAACAGTACCAATAGTACCACGACTTCTTCCCTCGGCCCTAACCGCCGTTAATTAGCTTCTGCTTTCTTCATCACAGCACTAGAAATATCCAGAATCAATAAGAAACGGTATAAACCAACCTTATCTACGTGACGCATTTATGGTCTTCGTAAATTCCAAATTTATGTTATCCACTCAAAATCGATTCCTCGCTTGGCAAAGGAAAGAACCATATGTTCGACGCTCTCCTCAACATTGTCTCATGTGACGCACCAACATAAAGACGTCGAGACGAAGCTCCACTAAAAGATTTCGTTGTGCATGTTTTTGATTTTTCGAGCTGCGCCCAGATGTATCTGGCCGAATGAGTGTTGTACGATCGAGTAGAAATTGCTGTGAAAAGCAAGATAGTCGCGCAGATATGACTAATCTAAAACATTAGCAAGGTGTTATTAACTGAAGGTGTCCAATATTTTGGGAATTAAAACTGGACCAACAGTTAGATTTGTTTGAAACAGTAATTTTTCTGGTGGCATGGATAAGATAATAAATAGGTCAATTTAAGGGATTTTTAACCACAATTTTTTTGTTGTGTACATCACGCAACTATTGCCTCTAATATTTGCCAAACGAATCGAAAAATTACACAGTTATTTGCAATATCTCATGTCTTCACTAAACCAGGGCGCAGCTTGTTTAGTTCCCAAGAAAACGCGACGGAGTCAAGGTGAGAGAAAATCTTGGCATTTCGTTTCAAATCAATCGCTCGCTTTAGGAGAAAGTCGTAAAAATTAATACATCCATCAACAAATACAAGGTAACTTGTTAGCTTTTCTACCGTTTTTTATTGTTTTTGTAAACATTTTGGCCATTCAAACGTTTCAAATTTTGATTGAAAATTTTTCATTGGTTTTTGTCTATAGATAATGTAATTTATTTCGTTCCCCGAATGTTTGAGGCTCCAGACATTGTTTTAACAATAAAGCTGTCACTGTCAAAGAACTAATTAAGAGACAATAAACTACTATGTTAGCTCTATGATGAATGTATGCTATTATTCATGCTGGTGTTCTCTTTCTCCTGTCATTTTGGTTGTCGAAAATTATTCTTATCTCTTTTGCCCGTTTATTGCACTTTTACACCCGCTCTGCGTGAATATTGAAAAAACGATCTCTAAACGCATATATTTTATTTTTATAGATGACCTTCAACCATCTTATGCATCCTCGAAATCCCTACAAATCCAAACCTCCCGACTTCAGCAAGCTCGCGTTTGAGTATCCACGATTTCGAAAGCATTGTCGTGTGTCAACAACAGGAAAGGTGAGGTCTTTCCCTATTCATATTATTCATGGTTTAGGTAGAAGGCGACTTTTCCAATGAAGAATTTGTCAAAGTTTTATCCGAAACTCTGTTGAAGAAAGATTTTGGGCTGGATGTGGAATTCATGGAAGGATCGCTGATTCCGAGGGTTCCTCAACGGCTGAATTACCTTCTCCTTATCCAAGACATCTTGATCGCTAATGGAATATGTGAAAATGTAATGGGTTTAGATATTGGTCGGTTTTTATAAGAGGTATATGGGAAAAGTGATGTTGGAGGCTTATTATTTGCTAGCCCAAAAATGAAAAATATGGTTATGGAAGCCATTTTTTATTATACTTGACATCAGCTGGTGCTTACCTTCGTAGAAAAAAACAGTTAAATGTTGTCATTTTAGGTACGGGTGCCTCTTGCATCTATCCATTGCTTGGTGCAAGGTTATGCAAGTTTTCCTTCGTAGCCACTGAAATAGATGAAGATTCAGTAAAATGGGCTCAAAAGCAAGTCGAAAAGAACTTCAAAAACAACGAGATCATTTTGATACAAGGGCAGAAAGAAGGTTTCTTCAAAACCCCTCTGAAATCAGTGGATAGATTTGACTTTTGCATGTGCAATCCTCCGTTTTTTCATGAAAAGGAGGCGAATGAGGTGAGTCGAAGGTTTATAGTTATTTTGTTTCGAATTTTAGAAATTCACAAGCGATGTCAATGGAAATCGACGGAATAGCTCGAATAAGCACACAAACGCTCCGAATAGCGTTACCGTAGCCAAAACAAATGAGCTGATGGTCGAAGGAGGAGAGGTTGAATTTGTGAAAAGAATAATGGATGAAAGTGTTCAAGTGAAGGACAAATTTCGTCTGTTTACAACTATGTTAGGGAAGAAATCGAGTGTGGCAACTTTGAAGAAACATTTAGTTGATCGGGGTTGCCAGCAATTTGCTGTTTCGATATTATCCCAGGGACGAACTCAAAGATGGGTAATATCCTGGACTTTTGATGAAACAGTGGATTTAACGGTGAGTTTAGTTAATAGACTAGATAGGTGCATCCTTGTAGTGGTTGCTGGTGCAATTTAGAGTTTGTTTTTTTTCTGGATTGATATGATTTACCTTTTTTTAGGCATTCCGGACCACCAGACCACAGAAGAAAAGAAAGGCCAAAATTCCACTGGAAATACCTTCGAAAGCTCCAAAAACAGACTAGTCATAACGTGTAGAACATACGCAACAGATTTGAATTCTACTTATGCTTTGTTTTACGCGCCTTTCAACTTATTTTGATCTCATTGGTGAATAGATATATCAAGAGTAATATAAAGATATTTATAAATTTTACTTACTTTGTTTAAAATCGTATTTTTTACGATGGAAATATCTTTTGATTTGTTTTTGTACCATGTTTTACTTATTTTTTTTAGTTTTCAGATCGTAGACCCAGTTTTTTTGTTGATATTTCTTGTTGAATTTCACTTGTTGTTTCCTGTTTTTCGTCGTTGTTGTTGTTTCGCAGTCAAAAATGGTCGAGAAAGAGCGTCGTACATCATTCTCCGAACGGGTACTGCAGTTCCAGCCTGTAGAAGTTTCGATCCAAAACGATTACAGAGCTGTTTTCGAAGCCGTGGACTATAAACCGGTTAAAAGTAAGTTTCACTTTTGATTTTTTTTTGGTTTTTAGGTGTCAAGGCTCATAGAAATGTTTGGAGAAGAAGTTATTTTGAATTTTTGAAGTGGAGATGTATATTATCCATGTTATTTTCAGAGATTTGGGAGCTAAACGTGAAGCTCATCGAGAATTCTACGAGTCGAGAACTGGGCTCGAAAACGGTCAAATGGCCACATTCAGATCCGCCGGCAGATGTAAGTGTTTTTAGAATAAAAACTAAAAATTTGGCCACTTCTCGACTAAAGTAATATAATTTTAGTTCCGGTATGACTCTGACAATAAGAACTTGGTCTGGGAGAATGCTCAAGACATCGCGGTCCTTCCCGTGAGGCTTCCAAACATCAGGAAAGCCACTTATGTCCCTACATTCAGCGCTCAGTTCCAACCGGCCAAACCTTCAAGTCAAATTAGATACGGCCTGAAATTTGATGATGCTTCGAAGCCGAAGAAACCCAAGTTTGGAGTCTGCAAAGACCTTATTGTCAAGGTAGGCGGTGCTTTGATAAAATTCCAGAAAATTTTTTATATTCTCCATGATAAAAAATGTTGTTTTAGGTGTCAACTGCGAATGGCTTCAACGCAAATGCTTCCTCATCAGTTGTTGAAACCCCCGAGACCCCGAAAGCGAATGGAAAAGCGAGAAAAAAGTCAGTTAGCCAGTCGAAAGAAAATGGAAATGGCGTTTCGACGATGGTCTCTGATTTTATTCAAACTCTCAGAGAAAATCTGGACTTCAACCCGCTGTTTGAAGAGCGACTGCCCCGAGATCAGCAAGTCCGTGCCCTAAAAGCTTTGAGTTACTACTGGGAGATTGATGGAACTGAAGATGTCCTCAGGGGATTAATTGCATTGAGATTTTTTGATCTTTGGTAAGTATTTTAATTTTGTTTTGTTGGCTTTTAGGTAACGTTAAGCTGAAAGAGGTGATCAGGCGTCAGAATCGGGATTGATATGAAAATTCCGGATGTAATTTACGCATTTCCAGGTCGGTGAATGAATTCCTGACGGAAAAATTGACAATCGGAGCCGCCTCACTCAACGAACCATTGGTCAAAGTCCTCCTCGAACAGCCCTCGGTACTCTTGATAGAAGACACTTTTGTTCAACTGACCAAAGCGGCCGTCCAGGATGAATTTGCCAGAAAAGTTTTGTTGCAGAAATGCATTCCCAAAGTTAATTCGGCAAAATTGAATGCAGTTTTGGACACGGATGATGCTCTTGAATTGTTGGAGAAGCTCTTAGTGGATTTTGTATACACTGCAAACGTCAATTCGAAGGATTTGGGGAGGGTAAGATCGGAAAGCAAGGAGATAATCAAATTATTTAGAATTTGGATGCGATTTTGTTGTTAGTCACTGCTCTCTCGGACAAATTTTTGTGGATTAACGACGAAGAACAGCTGGAACAGCTCCGGGATATTCAAATTTCGATGAATCAGATGGTAGGAATAAAATTTGAACGTTTTTTCACAGATGTTTAGTACAATATAAAATGTTTGATGTTTTCAGTTCAAACTTTGCAAATCCTCGATCAGTGTGGTGGAGATGAACCGGGTAGTCAGCAAGCTCCCGGAAAACGTTGCTTGCCCAAGTACGGACTTTAAAATCGTCAAAGCCAAAATCAAAAAGACAACAGTTGTGAAATTCGAAGAAGAAGAGGAAGAAATGGAATAAATTTAGAGCCGAGGGATTGCTCAGGAAATGCGGTGAGATGTTCTGCCAAATTTAGTTTGAGTTTGTGCCTTTTACGGGGAAATCTTGGAGAACGACAGAATTTTAGGTAAATTTTGGGATTTTTTTTGAACATTTTTTTAGGTAGAATAATATTATTATGGTGGATTATGATACTTTTTGTTCAGATTTTTAAATTTTTATGTCGTTTTATCAAAGATTCCCTCGTAAGCCCGGTCTTGAGCCCACTCCCTGCCCTCAGATTTACAAAACCTTGTTATTGTTTCACCCTTATAACTAAAACCCTCAGGCAAAGTGCTTGAAATAAAAAATTGTTGCCTTTTCCCGTGCCTCCGAATTTTCTGTTCGCTAATTGTTTTTTTTCTTGAACGATTTCTTCCTTATTATACTTGTTTTGGTTCAAATAAACTTTATGATTACGAAATTCGAAAAAAACACCAATACCGAGTAAGCGCTGAGAGAAGTTTTAATATCTTGTACTTGGCTCCTTTGTGGAAGTCTGCGAAAGTTCGATGTGCGATATGCGTGGGTGCACCGTCTGTCCCCGTTGATTGATCCCCCTCTTGGAACGATCACTCTCTCCCCGCAGCCATCGTCGCGCCGCTCGACGCCAAGACGGCATTACCAACAAAATTCCGACGGCCTTTGCGGCAGGCATCCAACAGTAAGGAATCGAAATTACGTATCCAATATTGGGTCGGTCCAGATCCAGAGCGGCGTAGAAGAACAAACAGAGGACGGGGATTAAATAGAAAATGATTGGAACACAAATCTGAAAGGATTTTGAGTCAAAATTTGGGATTTTTTATATTATACATGACAAAAATTTTATTTATTTTTTTTTTTTTTTGGTGACCAAATGCATTTTGATCAACCAAAATTATCCGTAAACTCACGTTGATTCTGAGCAGTCGATCGGCAGCGTGATTAACCTTGATTGTCGCGGTATTTTGCATCCCAGCCGAGCGCTTCTTATGGATATCTTTTCGAATTCTTAAGGCGAATAAAGTGCTGATCAGATAGCACATGAGGCATACCGCGATGATGACGATGAAAAATACTCGGACTCGAGATTCGGTCTGAAAAAAGTGTGTGATTTTTTGAAGTTATTTTTTTCTTTTGATTAGTTCTAGTGGATTTTACGAAAAAGATTAAGGTATTAGCCACCTTTTGGAGGAGACTTTCCTACATTTTACGGGCTATTTCCGAGTAGTAAAGTAAGGAAAATATTTGGTCATTAAATTTTTTTTTTTTTTTTTGACCCTTTAGAGCATCAAAAACCCTCCTTACCGTATTAACCATCGCATAATCGAATGCTTTTCGTCTCCAGAAGGGATACTGTTGCATAAGTTCGCTGGCTTTGGACCCCTCCACATCTGATGTCCCATAATCAGCCAACGCGAAGAAGTAGACCAATCCCAGCATCATGGCGAGCAACGTAGCCAAGAAGGTCAATATCCCCACCAGAAAGACCGTGGGTTTGAATCCTCTGGAAAATACGGATAAAAATGTGCGATCTAAGAGACGCTTCCAACAAGTCCGGTATTTGAGACTAAAAGATGTATTTTTAACGAAAAATTAGTCGATAACTAACTAAAATTTAATTTAAACACACTACATAGCATCTGCAAGACGTTTCCCAATTCATCAGACAGTTTTCTGGCCTATATTATAGCGCTTATAATTATCGATTTTGGGTCCCGCCACGAAAACCTTAAACTTACTGAGAAACCAATAAAAATCGGTAGAACAGGCTGATGGTGCAGATCATGGCTTCCAAGAGTATCGTCCAGAAGTATGAACTCAGTAGGACCGAAAACCAAGGCTCCGAAGCACCAGACAGAGCTCCGGTAAGGATAAGATAAAGATGACCATTCGAGATTACTGCTCGCTGAAAACACGAGAATAAATTATCCAAAAAAAGCAATTTTTTTATAACTTTAGGCCAAAAATGTCAAAACATATCTCCCAACCCCTTACCAGTACTCCAATGGCGTTGAGAAAGACATGAGTCAAGTCTATGGAGGAGTGGACGATGATCAATGGGACAAAAACTTTTAGTTCTCCCAACGGAACCAACTTTAGGCAGACAAACAATGACAAGTTCATGATTACTCCTGCAATTGTTGCGATTGTCTGCGAAAACGCCGCAACGCCACTCCAGTAATCGAAAACTGGATCCATATTGGATTACTGTATTGAGATTTGAGCAGAAGAACGGGTATAAACAGGGGTGCTTTGTTGACTTCCAAGGTGATGATTTTTGGCCAGAAGAGATCTAAAATGAAAAAGTCATAAGAAACTAACGGACTTTAAAGTAAAATAGAGATTATAGAGCGTATTTTACCAACAATCCCAATATTTTTTGTGTAAAAAATATCTGTCAAATTCAACTGGACATTATTTTAACTCCAGCTGGATCAGATGAGATTATAAAAAATGGGTCCGTTTTATATCAAAAAAACGTATAGGAACAATCAAAATACTCGAGACGGCCCCTCGGCTTATTTACAGCTAATCAGACTAGGTGTAATACTGACTAATCCAATCATGACTTTACTGGGTACTCCATTATAATATTTTTTTTCAAAATCAGTCGAACAGTAAGATACTTTTGGCTGTATTATAACTAAACATACGGCCGATTCTCATAGCTCAGTATGGACAATAAAATTCCAGAAGATTCGGCTCGCACTAATACCAATTCTCCGTACGAATCGAATGGAGATACCAAGATGCCGAAGGCCAAATAATTACCGGATTAGCTTTGGATTACCTCGTTTTGGTTTCAGCACCATCCATAATCGCCGCAATTATCATCCCACAATTCCATATGTAACGATTATGGGACTGGCAGATAATTGAATTACCCAAAGGCTTTCGGAGGCTATTGCTTTACACAGATTAATCAAACCAGAATGATGAATACACATTGTATTGGCATGTTATGGATAGATTATCAAGAAATAAAGATATATCATCAAAAGATATTATTTTAGAGTAAAGATTCAAGGTCCGGTCATGGATAAGATAATTGATACCCTCAAATCTGTGAAAAAATAGTTTATAACCTATAAATACGGTAGGAACGTTATAACAATAACAAAATAAGCTAACAAGGAACAACATAACAACTAAATAACATTGTAGAAGATGCGAGATCACTATAAAAACTCATTTCTTCGCCGGCGCTACGTTCTCCTCTGATCCCTGAGAAGACTCATGCGTCATGTCAACGTAATGCACCCACTTATCCTAAAATGAGTGAAATTAAAATTCTTCGACTTTTCATTATGTAATATTTCGCTCCCACCGACCTAAAGACAAAACCAAAACGAATTCACAGCCTACCTTCACCTTGAAGATGTTCATTTTCTGCAATTCCCGCTCAAGAGCCACCAAACAAATGCACAGCTGCTCAGACAACTCTGCAACGGAAATCTGCGGTCTTTCCTTGATGAGATCCAACAACCTTTTCCTGGCCAGCACCGAGAACTTGGACGTCTTCGTCTTCGGTTTCACGGACAAATCCCAATCTCCTTTTTGAAACTTCTGATACCAACGAAAAACTGTTGAGAAACCAACAGTCTTCTCGCCAAAGACTCCATTTATGTTCCTCAAGCACTGGGTCGGAGTTGAACCTCGTTTGTATTCATAGAAGACCAGATGACGGCAGTCAATGAGGTCGTTGTTATTCATTTGGCTGCAAAGATTAACAAGGATAATATAATAAAAAATAAAACGAATCCATTATTTTACATTGTTGTGCAAATAATGGGCAAAAAGTTACACAAGGTTTCGCAACTAATTAGCAGCAGCAAGTTGTAAAATGGCACCTAAAATCTTCAAAATGTCAAACATCGGCAGTCTTGTTGCGTCCCACCACGAAAAATTGGAGTGCCGCCCAGCGCTGGCGTTGTGTTTATTTCCAAAAATCTCCGGAGTTTTTTTTGTAAAGAAAGGTCGAACAGCTCCGAAGCGACTCTTTTCATGTCACAGGATGGGAACCAAGATAATTCGAAGATCAACGACGTTGATGTAGCCGATTCCGAGGAGACGACCATCAAGAAGCCGAGAACTGATGTCTCCGAGCCCATTTCGATCAACAGCACCACGAATGCAGAACCGAGTGGACGTCCATTGCCCATGTTCGTTGCGGGTAAGTTGAATTTTCGCCGCTTTCCCGTTGAAATTAAGATCAGAGAACCAAATTTTTAGTGATCTTTGTTTTTTCTCGTCGTTTGTTTGCATGTAATACCTTTTTTGATGAAATTGCCTCCTTGGTTACGCGCTGGGGTTTCGCCTCAATTTAGTGAGATCTCTGGCGCAACGGATATCCCAAATTTGTACTTATGTCATAATATTGTGCAAGATTATTGGACTCTTTTGTCATGGATAATATAAAATAAAAAAATCGCTTAAAAATTCGAAATAATGCATTCAAAACATTGCAGGTGCATCCCCAAACAAGTACTTGACCCTCGATCAGTTCAAGGAGTTCCAGCAGATGAACGATGAGCTCAAAAACATGGCCATAGCACATGAGATTTCGTTGGATCCGAATTTCTCAATTGAAGGTCTGAAGGAAAAAAGTTCGACTCAGCTCTCAAAGCAGGTTGAGGAGATGGGAAAGAAGGCATTTTATGACATTTTGAGAGAGCGATTAGCCGAGGATCCGCCTAATTATACACCTTTCTTCTCCTTGTATGCAGAACTAAAAGATCTCGCGTTGGAGGCTTCAACGGCCGCTTCAGCGAAGATTTTTGATAACTTTGACCCTGAAGAGCCAAAGAGGTCAGTTTGAAAAAGTTTTTACGATTGTCTACTCTTTGAGATTGTTTGTTTTTATGACGTTTTTTCTAATTTGGCTATGAGGTGAAATTTTTTTAATTTTTTGCACTGTGCAGAATAATTTGACCAAAATTTTCGAAATTTAAAATTAACTTATGATCGTTTAGACAACAAGAAAATAACTGTTTGGACATGGTCGGACTGGTCCACGCCTTTGTTGACAAACTTGGCAAAATTTGCGCTCCAATCCGAGATAGTCAAGTGGCCAAGTTGAAGAAGGAAAATGACCTCGTAAACTTGTTCAGGTAAGCATGAAATGCTTATACAAGACGTTTTTACAGTGGAGTACACACTTTGCTCGACGATATGAAACACGACATGTTGAACTTTACGGTAAAGGCCAACAGACATCAAATTCTTCAGCATTCGGTTCAAATGGAGTCTCAGCAGTTTTTGAAACTCCTCAAATTTTCTCCACGTAAGAGATTTTCACATTTTCTAAGGAATTTTTGAATTCCTTTTTGGGTTACTGACAGTAAAACTTACTGTAATTTACTTTTTCATACTGTATCTTTAGACCTTGCAAATGAAACACGAGCTTGGCTGGCCGAAGCCACCGCCGAATATCAATCGAAACTCCCGCCAGACCAGCCAATGCCCAGTAAAATCACAGAGAAACAGCTCACCCAGATCTTGGCCATAGGCTATGCAAGGCTTTTGGATGGAAAAAGAACCGGAGATTTGTTCCCAGAAACTCTAAAATATGATATATTGAGGGTGGAGAAGTTGTGGAAGGAGAAATTCCGGCTGGTAATTTGTCTGACATCAGTTTTCATTGCATCGAATTTGGCTGGAAAGCAAGTTTGCGAAGAAACGGACTTCAAAAAACGACTGAAAAATAATTTGCTGGCGCTTTTGCAGGATGTGGATGAAAGGTAGGGGTGGAAGAGACTATGTTCTGTCTGAAAATGTCTTGATTTGGAATTTGTTTTGACAATGATCATCGTTTTTGGCCATGTTTCTTAAGTTTTGTCAAGTATAACATAACTTTTTGTTTAGTAAACTAAAAGAAGCTTTGGAAACAGTTTTTTTGGAGTGTGATCGACAGCTGAAGACATCACTTGGCGATAAATGGAACGAAACCTTCTCGGCCCTCCTGAAACGACAGATTATTGCGGTGGAAAATGAGAGTAACCCGGTCAGAAGGATAGTTGGTAAGTTTTTGGTCAAAAGATAACTTTAGAAGCTATTCAGAATGGCGTAAAGTTTTTTAAGTAATTGAGTAATAAACTTAATTTTAGAGGATCGAATGTTCTCGATCATTAGCACGATCCTCACCGGCCCTCAGGCAATGAAAGATCAGGGCAGCCGCCTGCCGCCCGGACTCAGTCTAATCGAAGAGGAATTGGTCGCTCTGATCAGCCAATACCTCCCAGTCACATTCCACAACTCTCGGAGCTTCTGCCAATTCTACACCGCCACCATCAACGAACATCTCCACCACCAATCCAGCCCTCAAAAACCTTCCACATCTCAATAGATTTTTGAATGTTATACATTGTAGAAGAATTTTACATCATATTGAACCTAAACTATATTTAAATCCATCCCTCATCGCCCTAAAAATCGTATTTTGGATGTATAAATCTAATTTTCCCCGAAGTTACCGTAATTTTTTGTTTGATATAGCTAAAGTAAGATGTCAAAGGTCATTCACCCCCCGGACGGCCTTTTATTTCGCACACTGGGAAGCCGGGCCATAATTCCGGCTCTGGCCATTGTTGTCCGTCTCAATCTCATTTGTTTTCCGCAAAAAACACGATAACAATCTCCCACCCACGAAAATCAATAGTTGACATTTCGTCCAATTCCGCGGCGAAACCCCACAGCCTCCATTTTTTTTGTCTCGTCGCACGCTACGCGAACAAGAAGGAGAATATGCGAGTGGTTGGGGAGGATGGACGGACTGTGTGTGTGCTGTGCTGCCGGCTCGGGTTGACTCCAATTTACACTTACTTTTTTAGCCAATCTTAGACACAAATTTCTCCAGAATTAGGAAATTTCAACGGGCCTGCGGCGGGATGTCGAATTTATTATAAACGAAATGCCCGATTTTTTTATGGGTTTTGGTGATATTTCGGACTTTTTGCGTTTGTTTGGCCGTTTTTAGTGTTATCTTACACTTGATGCCCGGATGAAGGTAATTGTTTATTCTGATGTGAAATTTATCGAATTTGGTATTCTGATGCAGGCTCCTGGTGGCTCTTGTCTTTTTATTTTGTCTGGATAGTTGTTTTTTGGGGATTTTACACTTTTGTTTGACAAAAAGATCATGTATAATATAATCTTTTACTTTTGACGGTATTATTCTTGTTTCCAGCTGTGTTTTTGTGCTTTGCGCGTAGCCAGTGATGTGAGTTTGATACCTAGACTTTTTTCTTCTGGGGTTTTGCGTTATTTTTTGACCGAGAATAGTTTCCTTTTTTATAAAGGTCATCTGTAATATTACTCGCCAAAGTCTTACTTATTTTTGTTTATACCAAAGTATTTCTCAACAATTGGTTGGGTAATTGAAGATTCTGTTGGGAAATTCAGATTTTGGAACTGATTGTGCAGTTTCTTATCAAATTCTGACGTTTTTTTGGTTTGATATGTTATCTACAAAGTAATTACATTATTTCTTTTTCTTGACTTTGATTTTTGATGGTTATGGTTGAGATAAACCTCTTTTCTGACCTACCGTTCTTGTTGGAACATTTTAAATTTACATTTTTAACGATTATTTTATTAAAATCATCAATTTTAGGTTGATCACCTACTACAACATCAGGAATGGACCCATTCGCGTCGGATAGTGAAGACACGAATGATCAGCAGGTTCCGGAAGACCCAGAACAATTTGCGGCAGAAGATGAGAGGATTCTGGAGCGGCCCGTGGTTTCAGATCTTTTGGACCGGCGAAAAATCCAACAAAACAGCTTCGAAGAAGAGCTGAATGGAGTGGCCGCATATGATGCGAACGCTCTCGAAAGGGGATACATTAACCAGGTCAGTTATTTTGTTTTTCTTTTCTTTTTGGTGTTTAGAAAAGAGAATGGAGAGAGAATTGAATAATTCGATGAGTCGTCATGGATAATATGGGAAATTCGCTCGATTATTACTTGCTTCATAGATAGCGGGTTTTGTTTGTTGTTTTGCACTTTTTTGGGTACTTTGCGTGTGGTAAAAGTCTAGTCGATTTGTTTGGTACCTGAAATTATTATCTTTCGTCAATTTTAGGCGGAATCGGCTCTCGAGCAATTCAGTTCAAAACCGTCGAGTTCAAAAGGTGTTGACAATCTCTTGGAAGCGGATTCAGCTATTAAAACTGGCGAACTCACTCCGTTCGATCTTTTGCAACAACAAAAATCTAAAGATGAGCCTACGACAATACCAAGAAAAGCAGTTAAACATGGATTTAATCCTCTACCAGCCAAGGCGTCGACCTCAAAAGCCTTTGTCAAGCAGATCTCATCTTCGTCGGCTACAGATGAAGAATATTATGGCTCGAGTGCCAGCGACTATGAAGATGAAGAAGATCCGATTCAAATGTCCAGAAAAGTTGGAAGGAACAGAAACTTGAAGAAAAGAACTCTCAAAGCGAAGGACGATGGAAATCAAGATGACTTTTTTGATAGAATAAGGTGAGACTGTTATTGGATATAAAAATTTTTCATTGTTTTAGTCAATACCAAGAGGAACAAGAAAAGTTGCAAAGTGAAGGTCTTCCGAATGATATTGATAGTGGATTCCAAACCATCTTGGACAATTTTAAAGTAACTACCGTTGTCTGGGATAAGCTGTACAAGTGAGTAATTTTTTTATTTTTCGAATTTCAAATTTTAGGGTTGTAATATGAATTTTTGGAAAAAGTAGGATCGTTTTTGATTCAGATTTAATCTGAGTGGTCCGTGACTTTGGTCCAAATTTACCGTTTTCCATTTTAGATACCAAAAGACGGGTGTCCGATGGCTTTTACAACTCCATAAACAGCATGTCGGGGGTATTCTGGCGGACGAAATGGGTCTCGGAAAGACGATTCAGATAGCCATCTTGCTTCGAGCCATCGCCGAGACCGCCGAACCCTCGAGAATCTTCAAATTCAAAGGCCTTGGCCCCTCTCTGATCGTCTGCCCGGCCACTCTGATCTTCCAATGGGTCAAAGAATTGAATACCTGGTTCCCAAAATGTCGAGTCATCGTTTTTCACTCCTCCTCTCCACATTTTTCGAATAAATCCAAGCTGCTGCAGATTTCCGCAAAGCCAGTACAGTAAGTGGTTATTTTCATTATTATTTTTTTTTGTGTTTTAGGACTGGAACAGTGGTAATAACATCGTATTCGACCTTCACAAGTGAATGTAAAAAGTTGGTAAAGCTCAACTGGCATTACGCGATACTTGATGAAGGCCATAAAATACGAAATCCGGATACGAAGGTGAGGATTTTTGATTGATATGTACATGTGGCATGGTGAATGTAAGTTTTTCATAATTTAGCCTTCTTAAACCGAGTTGAATTTTACAATGTTTATTGTTTTCAGGTCACAATGTCGATAAAAGAGATCAGAACGCCCCATCGAATATTACTGTCAGCATCTCCCATGCAAAATAACTTGAAAGAACTCTGGTCTCTCGTGGATTTTGTGTATCCCGGCCGGCTTGGAGCTCTCAAAGAATTCAATGATCGGTTTGCAATCCCTATAACTCAAGGCGGCCTGGCTTCGGCAAGCAAAACTCAACTCAGAGTGGCTTATAAATGTGCTTGTATATTAAGGTAGGTGAACATGATTATTTTATGAGATATGAAATTAAAATTGAGGAGGGAAAAGGTAAAATAAGGTCTATTTTTGTATAAAATTATGATTTTTTTGTAGACGAATTTTTATTAAAATTGGAATTTTCAGAGACGCAATCAACCCATATATGTTGAGAAGAATGAAAAAAGACGTTGAAATGGTATTAAACTTGCCCGAAAAGACGGAGCAGGTGAGCAAGTACTTGTTTTATATATTATTTATGCCTAAATTATTGCCCTTTTATTCTAAATGTATGAGGCAATGAATAATTCAGAGTTTTCCCCCATTTTTTGCATGATTTGAAAATTTTTTTGATTGTTCACTTTATTTTTCGACTTTCAGGTACTCTTTTGTGACATTACCGAGTACCAGAGGAACTTGTATAAAGAGTATTTGGCGTCAAGGGAGTGTAAATCAGTCTTATCTGGCCAAATGCACCCATTTGCGGGACTGATTGTACTAAGAAAGCTCTGCAATCACCCGGATCTGGTCACTGGGTCGCCGGGCGTAAGAACCGGAGAGAAATCAGACGACTCAGACTTTGGAAACACCTCAAGGAGCGGGAAATTGCATGTCGCGGAGAGTTTACTGGCCCTTTGGAAACATCAAGGACATAAAGTTTTGTTATTTACACAAAGCAAACAAATGTTGACAATTTTGGAGAAAATGGTGATAATGCAGGGCTACAATTACCTCAGAATGGATGGAGGAACACCGATCGGGGCCAGACAAGGCATGGTCAAGCGGTTTAATGAGGTTAGTTGGGGCTTGGAGGGAGATTTGGACATTGGGATATTGATGTAGTAGTAAAAAAAAATTTCCAAATTCTATATTGCCGATTTAGATGGTTGGCTGAAGTTTTGGTTGTTGGTAAAGGATTATATTGGGTTGTATTTTTTAGAATAACCGCTGGTTTAGGTTAAAATTAGGACTAGGTGAAACAATTATATTACACATAGTACACCGATCCTAAGATTTTGATTTTTTAGACTCCTGACATTTTTGTGTTCCTCCTAACAACCAGAGTAGGCGGGTTGGGCCTCAATTTGACCGGTGCAAACCGGGTCCTCATCTTTGACCCCGATTGGAACCCCTCGACGGACACACAAGCCAGAGAAAGAGCCTACAGAATCGGGCAAAATAGAAGAGTTACCATCTACAGATTGATGACTTCTGGCACAATTGAAGAGAAAATTTATCAAAGACAAGTCTTCAAACAGTTCTTGAGCGATCGAGTCCTGGTGAATCCGAAGCAAAGAAGATTTGTAAAAACGAATGATCTCTACGAATTATTCAAATTGGGCGATGGAGGAAGTTGCGAGACGGAAACAGGCGCGATATTCCATGGAGAAACTAAGGAGGTCAATAAGAACAACTTTTTTGATGAACAGGCCAAAAAGTAAGAGGATTTTGTATTAATTTTGGCAATTTTTATATTGTGTTATGCAGTTTGGTTGATTTTCTTATGGTTTTTGAAAATTTTAGTGTTCTAGGGTAATGTAAATTGTTTAGGAAGAAGAAAGACGCCAAGAAAAAGCAGAAGGAACCAGAAAAAATTGATTTGGATGCAGAAGATGAGGATCCAGAATATGAAATTCAGCTTACAGAAGAGTACAAGCAAGAACTGTGGAAGAAAGCCCAGGAAAAGTTGGGCAAGGCAGAGGAAAAGACCTATATTTATGATGAATTGGACGAAGAAATGAAGAAAAAAATTGATAATCTACCGGAAAATCACCCATTGAAAAGGAGAGTGATTAGAAAAGAAACGAACATCGAGCCGGAAGAGGGAGAAGTAGTCGAAAAGAAGGAGAAAAAGTCCAAGAAGAGAAGACTTTTGGACGGAAAATTTGAAATCAAATTTTTGAAAAAACAACGAACTTATCGCCCGCCGAAAGAAAAGGAAGAAAAGGAATTAATGGAGAAGAAACAACATGAAAAACAGGACGCATTTGTGCTACAGCACTTGCTGAAGAATGCTGGAGTCCATTCAGCGCTTAGGCATGATCAGGTAAAAAATTCAGGGAGGTTTTATATTATTTTAGGTGATTTTGGGGATTTGTGGAAAATTTTGTTGATTTTTAATAGTTTTTGGCTGAGATTTTAGTTGCATTTGCTTTCAGATTGTCGGAGAGACCAAGAAGAACGATGACATTGATTTGGTCGAAGCTCACGCTGAAACGGTAGCCAAGAGAGCGGCCGAAGTCTTGAAGTTGAGTAGAAAACGCCACTCGGATTTTGTCCGCCACGCCTGTTCGAATGAGCCATCGAAAAAGTCGATTTTTGGAAGAAAACGGACTGTTCTTACGGATGAATTGGAAGAAGCGTCCAAGGAAGAGGAGGAGAAGTTACCAGCCATGTTTAACGGAGGCCTAAAGAATAGTGTCGGCGCCCTTTCATCGACCGAATTGTTCAGTGAAATTAAGAAAAAGAGGGCAGAACAGATGGATGATCATGTTGTTGTGGATGCGGTAGACCAGAATGATGAAAGTGTAGTAAGTTTTGGGGAGATTTGGGATATTGTAGTAGGTGATAGATAATGAAATAATTTTTGATTTTTTTTTGGTATTTTTTGAAAGAATTTTGTTTCCAGCTGTATCCATCTTTGGCCCAGAATAAGAAGAAGCCTGATTATGCGCTTGGCGATGAGTACGAAGCATTGGCAGAAGATATCCGACTGTTTTTTGTCAGTAGAAATGGCCGGGCGACGACCGGAGAACTTTTGGATAAATTTAAGGTAAAAAATTTTTTGAGGGTTGTTGTTGGTGGTTGGTGTGGATTAATGAAGGGTTAGGAACATTGCTAGATTGTTCAGTGGGTAATATGACATGTTTCAAAACTGTTTTACGTTATATTGTTTTAGAAGAAGGTCCAGCCCAAAGATTCGTTCGCTTTCCGCTCCATCCTCCGAAAAATCGCTCTCCAGTTGCCGAATTCACATTGGGCTTTGAAGGAAGAGTACTATTGAAGCAATGCATACGATCCGCATGGTGGTATTATGCGATGAATTTATTTTCCCCGCGTTGTTTGGAATTTCCTCGGGGGTTTTTGCACAGTGCAGTTTTCTGCCTAGAAAGACGCGAGTTTTTGTGCTCGCAGAAGTCTACTCGAGAGGAGAAGATCTTGAAAGAGCTTTTAGTTGATAGGTTGACTAAAAAATAAGTTTTTGGATGTAAATGTTTTCCAAGCTAAATTTAATTTCATGTATATTGTCCTTGTGTTGCGTCTTTTCCATGTTTGTTTTGTTTATCAAGACATGTAAAGTGATTTCCTTACAGCCCGAATGATCTTGCCTTTCATATAGTCCCTCAAAATTACATATCTCTGAGCTTATCAAGTATAATATTTAAGATCCTTTTGATTTGTTTAATTTTCTATTCTTTCTTTAATAGTCGTGTTATAATTTAATTACTGGTGATGGCTAATGCCCGATTGAATGTCTTTCTTGTTTGTTGGTGATTGATTGTACTGTATTTATTGAATAAAATTAAAATTTTCGTATTGTTGATGTTGGTTTAGATGATAATGGTTAGTTTACCATTGGATATCGTTGATTAATGTTGTTTTAGATTTTTATAGGATTGCAAGGTGTGATGGAGACGTTGGGGATGTGTTGGATTTTATTGGAGAGTTGGAGGATGGGATTTTTGAGGTTTTTATATTATTTTTTGTATATTTAGGTCGTATTCCGGTTATTTTTTGGATGACTTATATTGTTTTACAAGTCAATTTTATTTTAAAAAATTTTTGTTCCAAAACACCCATTGGAAGTGTTTTTGCCCATTTTTGGCTCGAATTACTGGCTTTTGCTGACATTCCCAATTACATGAGTTTCGAAGATATTCCTTACTTTTTCAGTGAAAGTTGAGATTTTTTTGGATTTTTTTTTACTTTTTATTTTTAATAGGTATGCAATTTTTATTTGTATTCATAAAAAAATCAACAAACGTATTTTAAAAATTTGCCGGAGGTATTTGTGGGTCTTTTTTTGCTATTTTTATTCTATCTGGACCTTGATGTTTAATTTAATTTTTTTTTCGTGAATTAGCTTTATTTCGCGACTCTTAACTTTTAAATTTTTTCTCTGTCACTCAACTCCCTTACCATTCCTTGCAGCTGAAGGCAAAAATTCCGCGTTTTTTGAGGCGCTTCTCCTCCAAAAAACGGGACCAACACCAGAACCAGAAGGCCACCAACTCAGCCCCCAATTCCCAGTCCCCCAGCCCCACGCCCGCCGCCACAATCCCACCCGAGCCGCAGCCCAGCACCTCTAGTCCCAACGAGAACCGGCTAGCCGGACAGCCAAACAGCGGCTCAACGATGGAACGCATGGAATACACGGACGTTGAGCAGAAGGCCAAGAAAAATGAGCGTGTAGAAGCGGTGGGAGACGCCATGGAGACGGACGAGCCCAACCGACAAATACAATGGCGATTCTCGCAACTCAAAGGTGCCATGGATCAGGCCGTAGCCAGCGATGGTAAGTTTTATGAGAGGTTTTTGGCTTTGAGTCAAGTGTTATATAGTTTAGGTCAGAAAAGGTGATTTTTTGAGGGTGATTACGTTAGTTGTGTTTGATAATGAAGGAAAATACAATTGAAGATTGTATATTTGATTTGTATAGTCATGGAGATATAATTTTGCATTTTTTCAGCTGATCAAATCACAACGGTCCAGTTCAGCGAAGACGGGGAATTGTTAACAACCGGTGATCGAGGAGGTCGGATAGTCATTTTCAAGAGGAGTGAAGTGAGTTTTTCTTTATTTTTGTTCTGGTTTTAGATGAATTTGGATCAAAAGGGAAATTTTTGGCTATGATAATGTAAAGTATTGCCGGTTTTTGCGGGGAAAAGAATTTTCTTGGTTTGATGTCCAGGATATGGCTGAAATAATGTCTAATTTGCAGAGTTATCAGCCCAACGGCCGTCGCTCGGCAGAATACGCGGTGTATTCGACGTTCCAATCGCATGAACCCGAGTTCGATTACTTGAAATCCCTGGAGATTGAGGAGAAGATTAACCAAATAAAATGGATGAAAAAGAAGAGCAGCTCCGACTTTTTATTGTCAACGAATGGTAGGTCCCATTTCGAGATTGTTTCTATTGAAATTTAGACAAAACAATAAAATTGTGGAAGATATCGGAGAGGAGAAAACAGTTATCAGATGGCAATTTTAATATCAGCAGGGATAATGGGCGCTTAAAACGAGTCAACGACGACCTCCTCTTACCTCAACTAGAAGATATGGAGCTGGTGGTGGAGGCCACACCACGCAGAGTCTATTCGAATGCTCATACATACCATATTAATTCGATAAGTCTGAATGCGGATCAGGTGAGATTTTTTGTTATTTTTGAGGGGTTTAGATTGTTTTTGAAATGGAACAGGGTTTTTTTTGAAAAGTTTGGAGCCAATAGTAACTCAAAAAAAAAGTTGTGTTAGTTAGAAAACGGTATTTCTTGTGAAGTTTTTATTGTACTAGACAAAAGTTGCCAAGTTAGCGAAAGAATAAGTGTTGCAGAGTATAATTATTACTTCAAGACCTTTAAAAATATATATAATATTATACATTCATATAAAAATCTATATTTTGTAAAAAAAAACATTGGAAAAAAGATATATAAAAATCGGAAATTTTCTTTGGTTCATCCTAATAGAACCTTTTTTTAATCCAGGACACATTTATCTCCGCTGACGACTTGAGGATAAACCTCTGGCACCACGAAATCACGAAAGAATCCTTCACTATCGTCGACATAAAACCGGCCAACATGGAGGAGCTGGTGGAGGTGATAACGTCGGCCGAATTCCATCCCCAAAGCGACTTTATGTTCGCCTACGGCAGTTCGAAAGGCCTGGTTCGACTTTGCGATACCCGTCAAAAAGCCCTGTGCGATGAGGCCGCCAAAGTTTTCGAAGCCAAGGACGAAATGCACGGCTTCTTTTCGGAGATTGTGAGCTCGGTGTCGGACGTCAAGTTCTCGAACAATGGCCGGTATCTGCTGACGAGAGATTATTTGAGCGCATATGTCTGGGATTTGAAGATGGATTCGGCTCCAATTGAGACCTACAGTATCCATGATTATCTGCGAAATAAGTTGTGCACTCTGTATGAAAATGATGCCATATTCGACAAGTTCGAGTCCTGTTGGAGTGGAGATGACACGTAGGTTGAGGGGAAGGGATGATTTTTGGGGTTTCGAGGAGGGGTTTTATTGTTTTAGGCAGTGAGGAAAAATTGGGAGGAAAATGAGAAGTTTAGTTTTACACTTTTTTAGACATATCCTAAGCGGCTCCTACAACAACTACTTCCGCACCTTCGACCGGGGCACCGGCCAAGACACCGTCGCCGAAGCCAACTACCGCCTCTACCGGCAGGAGAACGGGTCCCTACAACGCGGCCAACTCTGCGGCCAACCCCGCACCGAAGTGGACCTGGAGTCGCTGGACTTTGACGCCAAAATCATGCACTCGGCCTGGCATCCCAAGGAGAATATCGTGGCCCTCGCGGCCGGTAACCTACTCTACGTGTTCGAAGCCGATTAGACTGGTGATTTAACGAATATTGTTCATGATTAATGTTGATGTTGGTATTGATGTAAATCGTGTCCCCCCATTCTCTTGTTGCGGTATTTCCATCAATCCCTTTTTCATAATGGATTCAGAGGGTAATTCAAGGGCGTAGCGGCTCTTCACAGTGGATTTTTGGGTGAAACTTGGCAAAAATTTGAGGTTTTTTTTTATAAAAAAGAGGCCTGGAAGGTAGTATAAGGTAAATTTTGCCAAGTAAATGGGTTCAAAGCCTAGAATAAGATTTGGTGTTGCCTAAACGGGCTGTTTGAAAGTTAGTTTGACTTGTATTTTGTTAGATGAAGACAGTTTGAGAAATTTATATTAATTTAGGCATAACATGTTTCCTGAGGGCATTAATCCCCCGAAAAGTCGCTATCCCCTCCACTAATGTTGGTTATAAAATATGATATTGCTGTAACTTGCTTGTTTCCTTCGCTTCCTTTCTATTTTCTCTCTTAATTTTAGGTTTGTATTCTCTTTTCCCAATTTTTGACAATTTTTTTGTTTCTTCCATTGTTTTGTTGGTATGGGTACTGTAAGTACTGTTAGAAATGTGTAATGTGGTGTATTTTACAAGGTTCTTCAATAAATGTTCACAATTTTTAATTTATTAAGTATTTTCATTTGTTCAAAAGCAGTAGTACCTAGTACAATATGAAAATTTGAGAATTTAATTCTTTTTGAGCTTCTTGCCCTTAGGCGAGGATATGCAGAGACTTAATAAGGCTCTGAGAGTGCGCTGAATAGTAAATAGAATGGAGGAGAATACGGTGAATAGGAAAATTTTGACATCCAAATTGTAATATTGAACGAAATTGAGACTCTTGCCGGGAAGATCCAAGACTTCGTGTAGGTTAAATTTGGCTGCTAGTTCGGCGTATTTCACAAAACGATCAGTCGCACTCAGAGGCTTGGCTTTGATCAGCTTTGACAAGGTCTTGGCCTGGTTGTAGTAGCTGGAATTGCAAAATTATTTTTTTATTTTTACGAAAGATAAAAGAATTCGTATTTTACAAATACTGCTAATAAAAATTCTGAAAAATCTTCCTACTCTTTTTTGTTGATCAATTCCCCTAGAACTTTGACCAAATTCTCCTTATTCACACTCTTCTTTGGCAATTCCAGCCCGATTTTCCGTTGAATCAAAGCCTTCACATTTCTAAATTGGTCACCATAAAAGGGAATGCAGATCATCGGGACACCGAAGAAATTGGCCTCACTCATCGAGTTCATCCCACAATGGGAAATGAAACCGACTGTTTTTTCGCCATCTGAAATGGAGAGGTTTTAAAATTTGACAAAAATTGGTCATCTAATACCTCCCTAATTGTAATACAGTGACGGACCTGATTCAGTGGCAAAAAACGTACTATTTTGCATCCGCGAAGTATCAAAAATGTGGCAAAAGGCGTCCTTCTCCAAGTGAAAAAAACATCGTTTTGAAGGGCGCCTCACAAGAAGAGCGTGGGCGCTTTTGAAATCGGAGTTTTTTCACTTGGGGAGGGAGGTATTTTGCCACATTTTTTGATACTTCACGGATGCAAAATGGTACGTTTTTTGCCACTGGATCAGGTCCACCACTGTAAGTAACAAACTCACTCAAAATCTGTCTCTGCGGCAGCCATTCCCTGAGCTCCAAGTTCTTGATTCCTTTTCCAAATCCATCGTTTGGAGTTTGATATCGCCAGATAAAAGTTGTATCGGGAAACTGTTTAAACGCCTCGAGGAAATCGTTTTTGGTGGCTTCGGGGATCGAAGAACTGTTCACATAGGCTCCGAATGAGATTAGGAACACCTTTTTTGAGGAATCGATGACTTTTTGGACCTCCTGAAAGTGGTGTAATATACATTTTGTTCCAAAACTGAAAATTTTTTCTTATAAAATGAGGCTTCATGGATTTAGAACAAAGCTTACCTGATTTTTTGGGATGTCCTTGATCTTGTCCAGGCCAAATCCGCCAATATAAACGACTTTTTCCGAAATTGGCCGGGGAAAATCGACAAACTCGTCGGAATTTACGAAAAACACTTGGCTGCCCGCAAGAATTTCCTGAAAAATGGGGAAATTAGAACTTATAGGAGATTTTAGAAAAGCATGGAGGGAATCTAACTTACTTCGTAAGTCCCATAACCTTGTTGATCAACAATTCGTCCACTATGAAGCCAGTTGAACAAAATTGCGTTGTAAAGCTCGCTTATTTCGGTGAGAACTCGGTCTTTAAAGGTTGCTGGATTCGTAAATACTCCTTGCCAGCCTTAAATAGTAGGGTTAATACTACTTTTTAATAGGAAATTGTAAAAAAATTTTTTTGACGGAAAATTTTTCTAACAAAAAATCATCGTATAAGATGTCTCTCTTTGAGGTAAAATTTGTCTCCATCGTAAATTTTCAAAGCTTTCATCCTCTTCAATTTGAAAAAATTCGGAAATAAAAAATCTCAAATTGAAGTCATCAAAAAACAGCTTTCATCGTATAAACTGTCACTTACTTGGAATGAAGCTCAAAGGTGCGGGAATTCCCCACTGTTCAAATTGAAAGTTGCTAGGAGTTGTGGAGAATACTGGAGCATACTTTATTCCCAATCTTTTGAAGAGAACGAATCCACAAGGATCAAAGTTTTCGCTCATTCCGAGATCAAATTTCTCCGCCTTCAGCTTTTCGATTATGGAATCATCGGCCATTTGGAGATCACAGAGCTTGCCGAAGGGCTCGGAGAAGGCGGCAATGGCCTGAAAATGGGAGAGAAAAGTCATTCGAAAGGGAAAAGCTCAACTTTTTTCGTCAATTACAGTAACCCCCTCCCCCTATTTACCGTAAAATTAATCATTGCTCTCCAACTCTCATCCCGATCCCAGGTATTTCTAAAATTCGGAGCTCGAAGTGGCTGTAACACCTTCGATTTCCACTCAATAACTCTGGCCTTTCTCTTCTTACTGCCTTCACTATGCAATAGCATCGTTGGCATGTAATTTACAACGTCATGGCTATTATCGGCCAATAAGTCGGCCAATCTGTCGATGAAAATTCGATGAGATTCACTGGCCGACAAACTGACTGGATTGTAAAATAAGAATTTAGAACTTTCGGTAGCAGTTACTAGCAGGATTAGGGGAATAAAGTGGAAAATCATGCTAAGATTACTGTAGATTTACTGTAATCTACAGTAATTAGAGATTATAGCAAAATTCAAAGTAGTGATAGAAAATGTAGAACTGGTTGGGCTTATAAACTGAAAATTTAGTTGTAATACTCTCTTAGTTTACGTGTATTTAGGGTAACCTTGGGGGTCAAAGCTAAGCTGACGTCTAATAAGTACCCTAGTTTTTAGATGGACTTCTAAAGCGATCATTTGCGATCACAACGGGGCGGAGTCTAAAAGTAAAATCTGTGTCTGACAGAGCTTGGACAGAGAAATAGAAGTCGAATCTTAGAGAGTGACAAAGCCAGAATTTTGACTAAAACTTTTGCTGGGCGGTGATAAAAGCTTGACTCCCCAAAAATTGATTTTTTTGGCTATTAAAAGTGTGGGCTATTTTTGCAAGGTGAAGACTAAAAATACCGCAAATTTGTTAGAAAATTTTGATAAAAGAGCTGGAGCCAGCTGATGTATTTTACTTTTAAAAAACCCGAAAAATTTCAAATTTTGAGCTAACATTTAAGAAATTCCAAGATTTCGCCCAACTTTTTCATTTGAAAAATCTTTCTTTGGCGTACTTACCGTTTAAAAATCTCAAAAATTTTAGATTCAAATAAAAAAAAATTGTACAAAATTTTAATTTTTTGGTTTAGTAACAAGTATTACATATCTCGTATTTTACCTTTTAAAAATCTCAAAGATTCCAAGTTTAATATAAAAAATCAAAAATCCGATCCAAAAATCTCTTACCGTAAAATTGAAGTAGGACCAGAAATCATCCTCTTTTGTCCACACATTCCGGCTAAAGGCCCCTTGTTTGGGCTCCAATTCCTTGGCTTTCCATTCCAAAACCCTCGCTTTTCTCTTCATTTTTCCTTCATCATGATCCACCATTGTGGGCATGTAATTCACGACTTCATGGCCACTGTCCACCAACAAATCGGCCAACTTGTCGATGAACAATCGATGGGAAAGACTGGCGCCAATGTTAACTGGGTTGTAAAACAAAAATTTGGCAGCTTCAGCGGCCGAAAACAGTAGAAAAAGAGGGAAAAGGAAAGGCAAAATCATTAGAAAATGCTATCGAATTTTGGGTTCTACGTTTGAACAGGGAATAAAAGTGTAATCGCAAGGGGAAAAGGGCTATTTCAGCAACCCTTTCGAGCTCAAACACGCGATCAGAGAACACTTGCAAGGGCTTTCTTAAGCGAAAGGTTATGTTATCGGGTTCGTCAACGAAATATCAGGGGTTCTCAATAGGCTCTAGTTTGTAGTTTGTATGCTCTTGTATGGGTGATGACTGCGGATACAAAATTTACAAAAAAAATAAAAAATGCAGGTTTTGTCAGGAAAACGGAGAAATTTAGAAGAATAAAATACGAGACTAAAATCACAGTTAACTTAACGGTAAAGTTTTTAAGTCAAAGGTTATAAGGTGTACACTAAATTTTTAGCTTAAAATTGACAAAACCCATCGATTTTTTTAATCGAAAAAATCTTCAATTTTTTATTTTCAGAGCAAAAGTAAATGTCGCCTGAATGAAAGAGAACGAAAATTATACAAAAAAATCATTTTTTTTCTACTCAAAATCCAGAGAACTATCGTCAAAAATATTTTTTTCTCAGACCTCCCTATTCATTTGAGACAGTCTCTCGTCTCTAAAGTCCTTTGAATTTCTTAGCCGCGTTTCAACGTTTCAGGAATCTTGTGGCTTCGCTTTCCCGTGATAGTACGGGAAAGCGAAGCTTTTGAAGATCCTGACGGACGCAAATCCTTTGTAACGAATTTTATCTCCACTTCAAATAATTTTTTACGGTTTATAATCCATTTATCATATCGCCTCAAACTAGAGGTTGTGCCATGTGTGCACAAACAAAATTTCCGTGAAAGAGGGGTCATGTTTTATTGTGATGACATAACATTTCTCGCGCAACAAATTGCGATGCAATGGACATTGAACACTTAGGTTATTGAACATTCATCCGAGCAGACCAGAATAATCGGCGCTTTTATAGAGATTCGCACGTTTTTTTCATCGATGAATTGAGTTTTCATTGATTTTAAGAGCGCCTCCTGGTCTCGGAAAATTTTTTATTTGCTTTGCAGAATTTGTCAGCAAGTTTCGTTATGAGCGACAGCCAAATAATACAATATTGGGTGCTGATTTGCTGATTAACCGTAGAAGTCTAGAGTATCTGGAAGTCGTCTTCTGTCGAGGTCGATGCCATGCCGAAGTTTTCCGCTCTTGTCTATAATGAGAACAGTTGCTGTATTTTTTTGGCCTAATTGTTGGAAATGTAGAAGAAAAAATTAATGTAACCTTGTACTCCCTCATCAACATTTTTTTTGATTGGTGAGATCTTTAGAGATTCGACCAAAATTTGGCAAAAAGTGGCCGTAGTTTCTAAAACTTTACCCGACCCTAATGAAAAACTGTACATGTTACTTCGGCGTTCAGGAATGATTGGATTTCGGCAAGTCATGGGGTTTGTCGAAATTCGATGATTTTGCGATCACGCGGCACTCTCTATAGCATTAACCGTTCATGGCATACATACGCTTATTTCCTACGAATTTGGATTGTAAAATACGCAAGTTTCACCGAAGTTTCGCAAAAAATACTTCAAAAAAATAAAAGAATTGTTGACATGATTTATTTCTGAGATCAATGGATAAATAAACGACATGTAATAGACTCTATGACTACCATACGACTAACGCTTTAAAAATTCTTATACCCATTTCACATCCGTTGATTCTGTTGGCACCGAGACGATCAGCGATGGAATAGAAGTCGTCCTACTCACTTCCATCGACTTCTGCAGCCAGATGTAGCTTTCTTTGAGAAGTTTCTGCCGATTTCTCCGGTTCATTTCCTTTACAACGATCTTCACCATAAATCTGTGTATCGCGGTGGCGACTATCGCCAATACACAAGTGCCTAGACGAATTTGTTCAATCACAATGGCTTTAGCGATTGTGGTTTTGTGGATTCGTTTGGTATCCGCGATCAACATGTACATGTAGAAGACCAGGCCGGAGAAGAGAATCGTGCTCAGGAATTTCTGAAAAGAATGCTTTCTTAATCGAATAAATTTTTTTAATGTCTAGTACAATATTGTGGTAGGGCGGGCAGCAGGTGGATTTTTCTTCAGCCTTGTTATACATGGTTTAAAAGCGCAATTTTTTAGCTTCGAAACCATATGTTCAACATATCTCGTAATGCGCCTCAAAGCTCACAGGATTAAAGTCGACGACCCAAAAATACGCAAGACTTATGGAACACCCTAACATTTTAGGCTTTCCCCTTGTCTAATTGATTATTAAAGTTCAAGATTTCAATGAGCGTCCCGTCTCAATTCGATTTCACAATCGCTGGGTTTCCCCTTTGAAAAGTGAAACGCCAATTTGTATTTCGCACTCTGATTCCACCCTCTCCACCAGTCCCCTCCCATCTCACTCCACCCTCACTTATCGTTTTCACAGCCCTTAATTTGATAAATTTCCCGTCAATATAATTGGGAAAAGGGAGGCATTTGACGCTAATTTGGTGTTCAAGAAACGGACACTTCCCTAGATCATGTGAATTCGTAATCAAAGCTCTTTTTTTTAATGTTGAACAACAAAGTTTCGGGCATTACGACAAAACAAAAATCGATTTGAGACTAACTGTAAAATTAATTGATAGTTGGAGCTTTTTAAGGGTTTTTAAAATTTTGAAAAAAATAAAATGTTTTCTATGTACCGTATTTTATAAAACCACTTACCATACAATAAATATGGATTTGGAAGATTTTCGGCTTTTCCAATAGAATTCCCATAATTATTAGGCAATAACATAAGATAAATATACTCAATGGGAGGATCAGAATAAACTCCCGCGTCTGGCAGTAGAACACTGTGAATGTGCAGCAGAGAGTGATGCCGACAATTGGAACTGTGTTGATTAGACGCTGAAAAGATTGATATTTTTATTGAGGGTTTGATGAAAATGGGGAAAAGTTAAGACTAGAATTTTAAATGTACTTTTAAAATGTATATCTAAGTTCCTAGCTAAAAAAAAACAACTGAGATTTCGATCCGAAAGCCGCCAGGATCTCAATTTTTGTAGATGATAAATTTACTGTTCGTAAGGTGCAGAGAAGTAAAGTTTTCAACAAATTTTTTTGTCAAAATGTTGAGCGTAACATACGGCAGTCAAAACGGGGGAATACGCTCAAATCAAATTTAGATTACTTCAGACAGACAGCTTACAATAAGTACATGTCTAGCGACGTTTCTACCATTCATGTCTTTAATTCCTTGTCATGTAAAATCCTTGATAAGGCTTTGTTTTTGATATATGTTTATTCGAAGATCAAAGTCCTTAAAGCCACGACTTTCTATCTTATCAGAAGGCTTCTTTAAAAGTAATTTATACACTTTAAAGTTGAAAAGAACAACTTGTCTGACATAATAAATAGATTAAAATCGAACTTACTTCTGTCGAAATGCCGCAGACTTCAAATTCATTGCTGTTCATGGCCATTTCAAGTGAATTTTAATCAAATTCAAGCGTTCGAATGTCTAAAAATATAAGAAATAAAAGAAAATCTAATTGCAGTCAGTGAAGCCTCCTTTTTCTCACACGCAACATCAATTAATTGACTGATAAATCCGAAAGATATTCCCGAAAAGTAATCATAATCAAAGTGGAAGATAAGAGCGAAAGACGAGAGGAGTGCGGGTGGGGAGTTTAATTGTTTTCAAAAATGACTCAGCGTTCGCAAGCGGGAGCCCCAAAAGGGATGACATTACACGGAAATTGCGTTTGAATTAGCGGTGTGATTTGCAAGTTATCAGCATGATCCCTGCATAAACACACAAGGAAATGCGTCACAACGGATGTAAGATGACTGAAAAGTGGAGATAAAGTGGGAAAGTTTTGAAATTAAGATAATGGACATGTGAGCTGTGGAAAAAAGTAAAAAAAAGCTGGAGAGAAACGGTATCTCAGTATGAAAGCAAAAGAAGTACTGTAAAAGGTCTGCAAAGCTCTCACGGGAAGCAGGGCTTTCGTTAAGCTGGTTTTATCAGAGAAATATTCAAAATTCGACGCTTAGATTTTAATGATATTGGCCACAAATTTAGCTTTGGCTATTCTCATTCAAGATTTTGCGGAAGAATTTTGCCGAAGCCATCACAATTTTCTGGTCAAAAGCAATGTTGCACGAGTAATCTTTGGTTGCATTTCCCGACAGAAAGCCAGGTGGAATAAAAATTTGATACAACAAAAAACAAAACGCTCAACTTCAAAGACATGCTGCATTCTTCGCCAAACTCTAGCTTTTTGCTGAATGCCGCACGCCTTCGCATCTTAAAACTCAAAAGTTTCAACAGAAGAAACCTTTGGCCATCTCGAAAAAGATCTCTAGGCCGAGGTAAATTTTGTGAAAAACATAGTGGTATAGCCTCCGATGCTACATACTTCCTCAGAACAGCAAAGATAATATGTAATTCTTACGCTGAGCGGCACAGTCACACAAGTAGAAACGGCGTTAGTCCGACTGGAGTAATATAATACAATAGACCTTTGAGGCATACGGAAATCTAGGATAGTCTCCATCACATTTTCGGCACAGGAATCGAAAAAATCAAAACTCTTCAAAACAACTGGCTAACATGTTCTAATATTTGACAGAATGAGTATTGACTTAATATAGCGGTCGCTCTCTAGAATCTCAAAGAATAGGGCAAACTTGTGTTTATAGTATCTTGAAAAATCGACCTTTATGAAAAATAAGGGATCACAGGCTATCATATTATACTTCAGCTGTTAATTAAATATCTAGCTTACTCAGTAGGCGTTCATCCAATGATTTTTGGACGTTTCGGCAAGTTATGGGGAAATGGGCATATGAGCTACGGTTTTGTGAAAGTTTCAAATTTTTTCCGCGAAGTATATCACTGTTAGTTTTTTCTGTTTAGTAGCCTGACAAAAACAAATTCAAGATAAAAAACCATAACAACATAAAGCAATAACACTTCTCTTGTCATCCAAAGTTCGGTCCAGAACATGTCACCTTTAAGATAAGCCTCATTTACGAAAGATCAACATCATTGTTACGTAATGCACTCATAAGATCACGAACAGCAAAAAGCAAATTTTAATAAGATTAGGAAGACCACGTCATTCATTTTCACCGTTTTGTGTACGAACTAAACCAAGGAGAGGTTTGATCATAGGCCCCATGATGTCAAAATGCTTATCAGTCGAGGCGGGCACTGTGCTTTATACGAACAGAATCGGATAATGATAATGGACACATGATATATTGTAGTAATTAGGAAAGGAAAAGTATTGTGAAGAGAAGGGCTACTGTAAAGAAGTTAAAGGCAATGTATGTGGGGGTGGGATGACAGATTACTAGGAGGAAGGTATTTATAACCTACCGTATGAAAAACGAAAAAATATTTGTAAAACGGAGTAAAAAATATGCAAAACTTTATAGTAGTACCCCGGCGGAAGGTGAAAGGGTGTGGCGATGATGTCCGAGAGAAAAAAATGATTTCAGCCGAACTTTTGGTTATTGGCTAGTTTTTCATCAGAGAATTTAAATTTGACGGCAAGATTTCTTTTGACTAAGAAATCAGCAAGATTTTTCTGTAAAACTATACGATCAGTCTCTCGCAAGTTTCATCAAAATCTCAGCGTCGCCTCCCACAGCGTACTGTACCTTTTTGAAATGAATCGGACCTCTTGACAGTCCTCTGCCAAAAAAATTAAAAATAAGATTACTGTGTAAAAGCCCTTGAAAACAAAACGTGACGGCTTCTAACTTCCATGCCTAGCCAACCTATAACCTTATTTAGCTAACACGCATGGTAAATCAGCGAACAGTCTGCGCGAAAACAATCAACAAGAGGACGTTCCGTCGACCACGATTCACTTTACAATCATGTATTCAGACAAGTTTTGTAGGCTCAAAACTCCTCCACTGCCAAGCAATTGGCTCTACATTCGTCATGCTTTAGCCAATACACAACATGTAATACCAGGAATTGAGTGATAAATCAGACAACTGTTATTGGAAAAAAGTAAAAAACAGTTGAGGCGATTATCCCACAACCTTCATCCATTACTGTTGTAAGGGGAAATATCGTTTTCAAGCCCACTCATCAATTTCCACCCGCACATTCCACCACACCGCCCCCCACCCACAGAACAGAGAATGGGGCAAAGTTTGACAAAAATGATGGATGAGCGCCTAATTCAGCAGGAAACACCGTTTTCAACAAGTCAAAGGAGAAGTTTACCCGTTTTACTAAAGTTAAAAATTGGTTAATCGTTGTTGAAACGGGCTGAGATCAGGAGAAAAGTTCTCAGATTGTATGGCCAGAATTATGAATAAATTTGGCAAAAACTAAGACTAGAATTCGCCAATATAAGACATAAAGTTTTTCAGTTGACAATTTACCGTTATGACCAATTTTAAAAAAAAAGTTAGAATACCATGAGAAAGAGAACAATCAAAACTACGCTCAGCAGGCTTGGGCTCCTCCCCAATCGAAGAGAAGCCTCGTTATGATGACCGAAAAAGTTGAAAAGCCAATTTTCTCTTCCTGTCTCTCTTTATTATCCACAGTCTCTCGTCTACAAACACTGTTGAATACCCCAGCTGTCATTTCAAAGCGAAAGCTAAGATTTTCGTGGACTCTTATATGCTCTAAAAATTACACAGAATCCGGAGAAAATTCAAAGACCATACTTCACGGATTTCATTCAAAACACGACCGAATTAACTTTCTTTGCAAGGATTGCAATGAAAAACGTAACTGCATGAAGAATTGGTGAAAGACATCTGCTAATCTGTTTTGTAACCGATTCGAGGAGCGCCCAATTCACTGCCACTACTACTAATTGACGGTAAACATCATGGGAACAAGACGTCGTGTTAAATTTCCCATGCCCTAACATGCACTAAGAACGCAGTCGTGGAAGATCAAAGTTGAATAACGATTCGAAACCAAGAACCGTAAAGAGAGGGGAAAATTACACGGGCCCTTCAGCTGATAATTCGAAATTTCTTTTTCGGGAGTCTAGAGTTGTTTACAACTTTGTCGTAAGGGCAGATGATTAGGGACGTATAGCGGAGCCTTAGTACAACGAACCTCCGTGTGATAACGGTCGATTTTAAAGGCCCGTGAACATATTTTTGACCGAATTGGACCTCATTGAAAAACACCCAATCAATTTTTGTCGCTAGGGATTTGTTGTACATAGATTCGACTGTAGCGTACAGTTAAAATTTTGATGATTTTTGGCATGATTTAGATTTGAGCTTTTTTTAAGACATACGCCAATATTTCGGCCTTTGCTTACAATTAGCTTGAACTAAAATTTTTCTAAGCGGCTATGTTTTATTTAATTCAGGTTCTCAGCAATCGATATAATCAAAAATAATGGCTACTTTATTTTAAAAAATAAACCAAACTCAAAAATTTTATTTGATCCATCGTTTGATGGTCTCCACAGTCAGCTTCCTTGCGTCTTTCACCTTCGGCGACTCTGCTTCTTGCTCAGGGAACAAGTCGGCCATATGGGATGTGCCTACCAGATATTCAGTGACCACATCCTCTCCATGGTCTTCGTCCGTCGGTCTATGTTTTGCGTCGACAGTAAAGAGCCCAGCCGCGTGCCACGGGTCGGCGGTTCCGTAGATATGCAGATGTTTCGTCGCTCGGTAACCTCTTTCTCCACCGTACAATTTATTCGTTTTCTTTATGTTCGCTTCAATTTTGTCACGGGTAAAACTTGGATCGTACGCTCTGCGGCACCACTCGACGAAGTAACTGAAAAAATTATACGAGCTTTGTTGGTCATTAGGGAGATTCTCAACATACAATTTTCAGAAATCTTTTAACTGGAACAACACCTCACAGTTTAAGTTTTATTTTCCAAAAATTTTAGCTTGCGCTTTGCAACTACATCCGAGATATTGAACGATCTCTTTGGATCAAAGTCTTGAGAACGTTGCGGAGAAAGCGAAAGCAAAACAGGTTTTTTGATGGTTCTTTCCTCATATTTTCTATGATCAAAGATCACATAAGAAGTGCTACAAAACACATTTTCTCCGGAAAAGATAAAAAATTATTTTAGAAAAGAGTTTTACATTCTTTTCTCAATTAACACGACTTTACTCACTTGATTGGCAATCCACTTAAACCAGGTCCGCAACACCGGTTGAGGGATAATTCCCGAACTCATTGCAAGTCTGCCACCACCAGCACCGAGATTTGGCTCCAGGACCATCAATGGAAATATCAGACAAACTATCGATCCGTTTGCTATAATCCATTTCATAGCAGTGCTTGTAAACAGCATTGAACTTGTAAAAGACGTCATGTTGGTCGTTGTTCCAAAGATTGCAAATCTTTGCGACTGTTCCGTTGGGTCCCTGAAAAATATAAGTTAAATGGGGTTGAAGAAAGGGCAGGATAGAAGAGTCTGTCTTACTGGTTCGGCATACTGAATTGTCTCAGTGAACCTTATAATCAGGTCCCGGTAAAATTCCATCTTGTCAAAGGGATCCACGTATTCTCCTTTGAATCGTCTGTCACCGTAGCATGGACTGAAATAGAACTTAATGATGCTAAGCAAAAGAAGGAAAAAATTTGCAAGATCTGGCTTTTTTTTACTCGGTTAGGCATATACGAAAACACATGTAAAATCTTGAGCTCTTAGTGTCAAACGTACCCCAATTTCTGGTTGATAATCTCCCTTCCTTCAATGGTGTTCAGCAACTGGTTTATGTAATCAAATCCCTCTTTAATCTTTCCAGCACATCCACCCAATGTAAACTGTGCCACGACATTAAACACTAAAACAATTGTAAACCATGAGCAATGTTTGGCTTACTGTAAAAGTCAACATTAATGTCCAGCGGTCCGGAACTTCCAATCGATCCCACAGAAGAGCTTGGATACAGCTGTCTGAATTGAGCCGCCAAGAATCCAGCATAAGAGCCTCCAATGGGAACCCATTTCGCGTCCTTATAGAGTGGGGTCTTTTTAATAGTTTCAATGAAGTAATTGATATCCGCTAGTGCTTGTCGAGATGTCAGATATTGAAGACTCTTCACCGACAAGTCACTAAATGCAATAGGATTACAGTCAAAGCCCTGTACTAGTCGCGGAAAAAAGTCCTTATTGTTAGAATTTTCTGCGACTCTGCACTGTGCATGAACCCGAAAAGTGCTTTTGCACTGTGCAATTTTCTTGTTTTTGCCTTATTGTCGCGCGCGATTCCCGCGACAAATCAACATTTCGGAGTGCGACGAGATTTGGGGGCCGCGAAAAATTCCAAGGACTTTTTTCCGCGACTAGTACAAAAGAATCGTAGAAATCTATATTTGATACATATAGATTTGACAGTATTCTAAAGCTATTACCTTGTAGCAATGCTCTTTCCATAAAATCTGTGTTCCAGACCAATTAACGAGGCATTTAGCTCCTTCGCATATTTCAAGACACTTGACTTTTCTTCGAATATAAATGGCTTGTAGTAACCTAATAATGACAAGATTACATTTGTTAACCTTCTCCTTACTCAAAGGTCCTTCTCCTCCAATCAAGAGTAAGACTGGACCACCCTCCTTATAGTACTTGTTGTTGATGTAAAAGTGCTGAAAATACAAATTTAGTCTCTTGACGGTTGTATTACTTGTTTGAAAGTCTTTTGTTTTTTCGGATCCTTCTCGAAATGATCAACAACCTGCTCAATCGTGGAGAGCTTCGGCTCATCTTCGGCGTTTCTTGGAGTTTCCTCAAAGGCCGGATAGCCGTCTTGTGGACTGTAGAATTTCTTTGAGATGATGGCAGTCGATTCTTCAGGGAGGTTGAGTTTCTAAAAATAGCCAAACGCCGATTACGCACAAATGAAATTAGGATTGTACATATTCCAAATTGCAGCGTCAGAGAGCTCATTATTTTATCGAAAGACTGATACTGTCAGCCTAAAACTCTTTGAGCTTGTAAAAACCTTGTACAAGTTTGAATTCCTACCTCTCCGTATCCACCGCATCCGAAGCAAACTTCTCCCGGCGCATGAAAAACTTCTTGAGGCTCCGCTGTCTCTTCTTCAACTTTCTTTTCTTCCTTCTTCTCATTTTTATCTACATTTTTCACTTCCTTGTCTTTAATCCATTCCTGAAGTTTCTCAAAGATAACCGATCTAATATGAGCCAATCCTGGGACATCATTTCGGCCCGGTGGAGACATATCAGCACAATGGGCCGCCCCCTCGATGAGATACGAATATTGGCTTGGGCCGTTTACGTATGTTCCCAACGCCGACCACGGATCAATTGAACCGTTGGGGATTACAACGTTTGTTCCCTAAAAGTATTGTTTTTACAGATTTAGTACATATTGGGGTACCATTTGTAATTCAGAAGGCATAGACTTACATTGTAGTCTTCCGGCTCTCCATAGTAATCTCTGGTCGCTCTTAGCGCCTTAACTATGTTGCTCACGGCAAACCTTGGCCCATAGACATCAGAGCAAATCTTTCTGTAGTAATCGACCGGAGTTCCGACGCCGAAAATATTCTTCTCGAAGCTGGTCGTTTGGAAATATCCAAACTCGTTGCACGTCTGCCATATCCAAGAACGCGCCGCTAAAAGTGACAACAATAATAACTTTTGAGATGATTTATAAACTGAATAACTACCAGTCTAACACCTACCACTCTCTTCATGAAAATCTTCCCGCTTCAAAAACGCGATATCGCCTTGATAGTCATCCTCGAACACATCGCCTTCCAAATACTTTGCAACCTTCACCAAATGAGTTATTGGGCTGAACACGGGCTGTTCCATGATTCTACACACATCCGGAATACTGTAGCCAGTTGCGTACCTCCCCTGAAAATGGCTGGTGATCAAGGGTGAATCATTTATCGCCGAAGCATAGACTTACATAGCATACATCATATTATATGTATACTATGTAAATATAATATACGTATCATCATATCTCTTACAGCGTTTACTCGACTGTACTGAACGGCCCCTTGGAACAAGGAGAATGAATTTCCAAATAAGTTCTCGAGGTCTTGAAAGTTCAATTTCTGTTTTTCAAACTTTGGCTGAACATTCAAGTTGGCTTCAAGGCGTTCTCGGCCTTTCTTGGAGTCCATCATCCGGTGAAGATAAGTGAAGGCTTTATCAATGTTTTCGGCGCATTTTGGGCTTTGTTTCCGATATGCTTCTTGACATACTCGGAGGTACCCTAAACAAGTTTCCATCATTAAAATTATTATTTTAGCTTTTAATGCCATTGGAGCCTTACCATAGAAGTCCATTTGAATATCGATTGGAGCTGATGATCCCACAGCTCCAACTGTGAGGTCGGGATAGACAACTCTGAACCACAGAGCCAATGCTCCAGGATAAGAGCCTCCAAAGACGATCCATTTAGGGTTCTTCAGCTTAAGTTCATGGTTTTTGGTTCTTATAAAGTTGGCCAAATCAGCAAGGGCCTGTCGACTGGTCAGATACTGCAGATTCTCTACACTTTGATTGCTAAAAAACGGCAATTTTTATCGTGTACTCCTTATCAAAATTTTAAAGCACGAGCTTTCTCATCAATTCTTACGTCAAAACTTACGGTTTTGGATGACTTTTTCCGTAAAATCGATGCTCTAGACTCCAAATTTGAGCATTCAGCTTCTTAGCCCAACTCGTCATCGGGTAGCTCTCGTTGAAAATTCTCTCTCCTCTCACGGGTCCTTCTCCACCGATATTCAAAAACTGAGGGCCGTTCTCCTTCCAGTAAACATCGTTTACAAAGTAACGTTGCTGCCAAGTCTCATCGTTCGCCTCGTCAAAGTGGTCGAGGACTTGGGTAAACCATTTCTCGGTTTGGTTGAAAGCGAAAAGACTGGCCTGAAATCAGCTTTTGCCAACAAATTTTTGAGATCTTTGTCTATCAGTCAAGTAAAAATATGTATGTATTTTAAACCGCTCTGTATACTACCAAAACACTCACAACTTCTTCAGCGTCCTCAGTGAATTCTCGGAGCTTATTGAACTTGTTCTTCCCGAAGAAGGCCCCATAAGTTATTGCGATCTAAATATGTTAAAATTCTTCATATCCCCACTTACACAGAGACATAACAAGAAAGGAAGCCGCATTTTGTCGTGAACAACTTCCTTCAACTGATTAATTTATAGGAATGAACTCTAGGCACTCCCAGAAAAGATAAGAAACGCGTAATGTTCTGAGCAAATGTAGGACAAAAGATGCTCTTGTTCCATTGACTAACTACAAAATTTGCAATTTAACGCTAAAACACAAGATCCAAAAGATTAGAAAACTAAGGAAAAAATAGTTTGAATATGTGTTTCCGAATCCTCTGTGCAACAAATTTCAGGCATACAGGATTATTCGAAATGAGGACTATCGCTGTGCAAGCGTATGGCAATGAATTGTGTTCAGTATCATTTTATGAATCTTTTTTTCCGATGAAGACAGGTCTTGCAGTATAAGACACAAAAGTTCTTACTGTATTGATGGTTCTTCTTGACCATTATGATACTGAGTCACACATTGATTATCATGACGAATGGTGAGTGAAATTATCGTCTTTGATTGAAGGATACCATGTACAGATTTTTGCAGGCAGAAGGGTGATGATATAGGCACCTTTCTAAATTAACAAAAAATTCCTATATCGCCAGAGGTCCTCAGCAAGTATAAATGGTATATTATTCATGGAGTTATCTGAGTTATTTGTAGGATAATCTAGCGTGTGTTTTTTTGTTTACAAATCGAATTTTTAGGAAACTGTTCCTTTTTCCTGGTCGTTGCTACCAGGAAATTTAACCTGGCTTCAAGTCTTGCAAGATTTTTGATTATTTTGCTGCTGGTTTACCGCCAGTTTACGCAGATTGAATTTTTCACGCATGCCGGACATAGCTCATATATAAATTCCTGAAAGTTTTAGTTTGCGCTTTCCTTGAAAAGCGCAAGCTTTTGACAAAAAATCTGTCATCAAAATCTGAGGTCGCACTTGGAATATATGTACATATATTTCCCTTGTAAGTTTCATTTGGAGTATTTTTCCTCCCAAACAATGCCTCATAACCTCGCTCACTGTGTTTGAAGACAAAGGTAGCTCATAAAATTCCGTAACTACCATATCCTCTGCGTTGTCATAAAACATATCCGGTCGTCTTTTTCTCCCCTCTGTTTGTGATAAATTTGCACTTCGCGACCCAAAGGAAAAAAAACGAAACGAGAATACGAAAGGAAAGAGGCCCCAAGGAACTCGTCTCGTAACATTTTTAAGTGGGGAATTTAAAAGAGTCCAATCATTTTAAAAAATCGTTTCAATTTTTTTCTTAAATCGAGGGGAATTTGAGGTAATGTAAAGTATAAAAAGTTGGGTGGAATTTAAGTCGAATTATTAGCGTGTTTTATTTAGTTTCGCGTAAGTGATGTCGTAGTGGCAAGGATTACATGACTTGTGGGATTTAGTCTTGGAGGGGGAGTGTTTCGTCGCAAAGGTCGTATTAGTTTTTAGTTTATAGCTGACTTCCGCTGGTGTTTATTCCGTAATGTAAGGGGTTAATTTTTGGCTTTTTCAACACTTACAGTTAGAAAAATTATGCACTTTTCATGGACAATATTGAAGAAAATTGATGATTGTCAGACTTCCCTCGAATTTTATCTCTGTGTTTAACATAGACAATATTTTGATTTTTGAAAGTACCTCCTGGGTTTTATAGCCACTCAAAAAAGCCTAAAGAATAATAAAAAAATATTTGTCTGTCTGGAAAATAATGTGGATTCCTCGCGACATAATAACCTATCATTGCTTGTTAGCCGCGGCTGGAGATTTGGTACGCGACAGCGGCGAGGCGAGACATTTTGCAGCGAAAAATCCACACTGTTTTTCATTGGCCTTTCACAATGGTTTCTCAAAAGTGAAACTAATGTATATGATAGAAGCCTTGCAAGTCCATTAGGAAGACATAATAAAAATCAGTGACAAGTTTCATTACAATACTTTATCTTCCGTTTGTTTGGTAATTGATTGTGAGACGTCGACCAATTTGTGATTTTCATTTTTTATCAATAAATCTACCATCTTTTTTCAGGATGAGGATATACCAGTCTGCCATAATCTTCTCTTTTTTCCTCACCATCTCTCTGGTATATCCTCAGTCGGCCACTGATTCCTCCCTTGACTTTCCAAATCAGTCCGCTGAGAAATGGGAGGACGAGATTGAGAATGACTACCTGAGTAATCTGAAGAGTCTGGAAAACGAGGAAGGCAGTAAGCTCAGACAAATGGTCGAGAACTACGTTAAAGCGCACATGGCCACACCAAAAAGGGGCAAAGAATTTTGTGCTGACCGACTCAAACTGAAGAACGTCATGAAAGAGGAGTGACGTACATATTTGTAAATAGTTGTATTAATCGAGCTCTCATTTGCGTTTATAAAAATTGGTTCAATAAAATCACAAAAATGAATCATCGTCTGGCTCTCGGAGGCTAACGAGACTTTTGACGGAAGCAATGTTTGATGTTCTACAACTAAGCCTACATTTCATCATGTCTGTTCAATTTAAGAGCAGTCAGAGAGCGAACCGTTAAATTTAAACCTCCCATCTCCTGTTTGAACTTTTCAAACTTGGGGAACTATTGCGAGTCTTGTACGTAAGTTGTAAAAAATAGTTTATGCAGCCGTCTGTAAGAGTAAAATTGTATGAGCAGCCGTTTTTTGAGGCCATGGCTTATTTGGACACCCGTTCGCAGACCCGGATCTGGTTTGGCCAGCCAATTGTCGGCCCGATGCGATGATTGAACAGCAGTATTCACTTCAGGACATAGTTCCGCCACTTGTCAAGGACACGAACAGGGTCATAGTGGTATAAAAGTTGGGGATGTCGCTAAAAACTCATCAGATTTTTAGGCAGTTGCCTTTGGAGTGAACAGTCATGTTTGGTGTGAGATCTTTTGCATTTACCGTAGTCCTCGTCGTGGCTTTGGTCGAAGCTCACGAAGGGATCATCAATAACGCGTTCTTGGTCTTGGGATTGGATCAAGCGAAGCTCTCGCAAATTCTGAAGGACTCTAATCTCTTGGCCAAACTTGGGCTCAACCCTCCATGCGAGGAGAAGGAGAAGAAGCAAGGAGGCGGTGGGGGAGCAGTTACGGTCCTTCCACACGTAAATAGTACCCTCCCTTCTAAGGCTGAGGAGGAGGATCTCAGCGCAATCTTGAACGGAAATTTCAAATTCAACTTTGACCCCGAGAAGAACAAGAACGAGAAGTGCTTGAAATACATCATCGGAGAGGATGGACAAAGTAAGCGCCTTTTTATGCAACATAAACCGTATGTAGCTTACATATATCATCTTATTTATTTTCATTTTTCCATTTCCAGAGAGCTGCCACGATTTCTTGGCCAAATACAAGCTGGAGAAGGCTGAAGAACTCCAATTCAAAGACTTTTTCGATTTCTCCTGGGCTTTCCATGAGGAGGTCAGCAAGGCCAACAGCTTCGGTACGCTCAAGTCCGCACTTCAAGGCCGCAATGAGACACAAACTTTGCACGGAGTGTTCGACATTATCTTTAACCTTTTCCAATCCAAAGTCACAGAGAGAACCTCGAAACTGAACGAAAAGTCTGTTGACTTCTTCAAGCAGGTAAGTAAACCTTGTAAAAAAACATATATATGATCTACTTGACTCCAAGCCGATTGTTAAACCGATTTTTATTGGAAAACACAAAGAAGATTATGATATTGCTTCAGATTGGCGGAGTCGGAGCTGAATGGGCCAAGAATGTTTGGGGCTTGTGGTTGAAGGCCTCCCCAGCCGTAAAGAGCAATTTGGCCGGCCTTTGCAGCGTCACCACCAATTTCGTTCAGCACAACTCAACCCAAAAGATCTTTGCCTTCAGCTACAACTACACCTACACCGTCTCTGGTTAAGCGGAACGATACATTTATAAATCACTTCTATGATGTCTAGATTACTAATAAAGCATGAGGATGTTGGTTTGATACTGTAGAAACACTTGCAAAGCCGGGGTTGAGCTATTTTTCAGATTTTTTTGCAGTAAAAGCTGCAAACAATGCCAGTATGTTCGGGACTGTTGAAAGCTGTAGAACCTCGAGAACCTGTGTTCCAAAATCAGACTCCAAAAGCTGCAATTACACAAATTTGCCTTTGTCTGGTTATTGAGCTTAATCGGCTCTTTAATCCTCAAAAAATGTAATCTACTTTCTCTGGACCTCCGGCAATTATGTTTATGAAATTTTCGCAAAAAGTTTCCTGAATTCGAACCACCAAACTGCAAGCGTGCCAACTGACTGCTGTCGGGATTAATTCATTGGCAATCAAGGCTTGTGTTCAAGACGAAACGCGTTGTTATCGCTTTGTAAACAGGGCTTGACCACTTCACTTAACTTTGGCCTTTTCCTAAATCGCGCGTCTCTTCTTTCAAAAACGGTTGACGTATCCCTTTGACCGCCGGGTTGTTTGCGCATTGTAATTGCTACTCGTTAAGCACAACGTGAGTCAAGACGGATTTTTGTGCTCTGATCTCGAGATTTTGCTTGTTTTTAGGGGGAAATAACCAATTTTTTCCGTAGTTTAAGCGAATAATGTAATGTAATTTTATGCCATCAAATTCGTAAGAGAAAATTAATCCATGCTTCTTTCAGCTCGTATTTTACCTAGAAATGATTTCTATAACGTTTTCCTCCCTAAAAATGGAAAATTTTTACAATAATCCCCAGAAAACTAAAAATGTGAAACGAATCAATAGCAGTCAGCAAGCACCAAGTGTCCTACATGACCGTGCACACGTTTCTCCTCTGATATCCCTCGATTTATTAACCATCAACCCTCAGGGCAACAAGGATTGTAGGGAGCAAACCGAGGATTCGAACCTGAAAGGCTTGGCACGCAATGCCAACTCACAACCATTATACTAAATAAGCGCATCCTCAAAGCCCCCTTCTTTTTGATCGGAAAAGAACGCAAAGGAGAGGGAAGAAAATGAAACCTTTTTTTCACTGTGCCAGCGTATTTTTTGGAGTAAAAAGTGCTGTAAATCCGTTAATATTCCATTAACAATTTTTTCGGATATATAAAAATTTTTTAGTCGGATTTATTTTGGACGCGATCATCTTATTCTTAAAAGATTCTACCTCTCCTGTAACAGTCCCCTAATCATAATCACATGTATTTTTGTATTTTTACGACTCTGGCGGCGGCGAAATTTGGTCACTCTAGACTAGACATGGCTAGTGGGCCGGGCCGGGCCGGGCCGGGCCGGGCCGAATGAGTTTTAAAGGCCCCGGGGCCGGGCCGACCTCTTCCGGCCCCCGGGCCGGGCCGGCCGGGGGCCCCCGCCAGGCCCCCAATCGGCCCCCAATGACTAAAATTCCCAGTCTCAAAGCGAAAATTAGGCTTGCCAATAAAAATAAAACGCAGAGCCAAGAACCGATTGGGTCTTTTGAAGTATATACATGGCAATGGTTGGTAATTTTTTGTTTCAAAAACTTTTTTTTCGATTTTTATAACAAAAAATGGGGGCTAAGGTAGTACAACCCCCAGTCCAGTTCAGCCCCCCTTGACCCAGTATAAGCCCCCTAATCCAATCTGAAGCGCCTACTCGGGATTGGGTTCTCTCGGCTACGGTCAGCGTTGCCTGAACCACAAGAACGAATTTGGACGGTAACTGGGGGTCTCAGCTAAAACGCCGGGGGTCATTTTACTCTAATTTCCATTTTTTGTATTATTCTAATTTTTTACTTATGGGGTGTGTGAAATGGACAAAACAGTGGGGGTTTGAACTACCAAAGCCCCAAAAAAATGTGTTATATCTCGTAATGAATGCAGTATTTATATTTACAGTTCGGCCCCCGGTCGGCCCCCGGCCCGGCCCGGCCCCCAGGGGGCCGGGCCGGGCCGAGAAAATTTGAAGGGGGCCGGGGCCGGGCCGACCTCTTCCGGCCCCCGGGCCGGGCCGCGATTTTCGGCCCGGCCCGGCCCCCCAGCCATGTCTACTCTAGACTTTTAATCCGCTCTTTACTTTGGTAACCCCCGTTTCCAAGGATTGGTTATTTAATGAATAAACATTAATGTAATAATATAGTTGCTTTTGCTTTTTTAGACTTCACAGTCTTATGATTAAAAAAGACATACAGTATAACGTGTAATTTTCCCAGATTCTTGGTAGTTTCATTATCCGTGCGCAGACAATCGGATTTTTATTTGTTTCGGCCGGCTTTGCGGGTAAATGATGGTCCACGGGCCGAATTCAAAGGGTTCAAAAAAACTTTTGGCAATTTGCGACGCTTAATGTGGTCGGAAGCGAGTGGCCGTTCAAAGATTTCCCGGTGTTGCGTAATGGGGTTCGGAAGAAGATCTGTTATTTCTTTTTGGCCAGTTAGTTACGGTAATCCCAATTTATTGGAGAGAAAGTTTTGGAGTTTTAATTTGAAAACTCTCTTTTTATAAATATTCCAATTAGAGGGGGTTTTGAATAAGAATTTATGCAAATTATTTTACGATAAAAATCAACTACTCTGTTGACATTTGGAGACAATTACGGAGAGTTCTCTGGAAATAATGCGGGAATTTTTTGGACGTTTTTTTCGAATCAATTATTGAGATTTTTAACATTGGCTATGCAAGCACCAACCAAATTTTTAGGTCAAAAAATGCAAAAATTTTATTTTTTCTGAAATCTCCGTAATTGTGTCGATAAAATTGAAAGTATTCATGCAGCAAAATGGATTTTTTCCCTGCCAAATTTGCCAAGTTATGGCCAAAAAATTTGTTTTTCTCTGCTCCTCTCCCCCGATTTTCCATAGCCTCTTATCTGTAAATGCCGTTGAATATCTCAGCCATATTTGCAGCGGGCTGAATATTCTATTTCTTTGGTACAAATTTGCACTCATCCCAGATTCTATGCCAACTTTTCCTAACCTTATCCCCCGCGCTTCCCTCCGTTTTCTTTTGAAATTCAAATCCAGATCGGGTGGTCGATTAATTCTAATTTTTATTCTCCACAAAGTTCGCACCACTTTATCTTCATCATTTTTTGCAAAAAAAAACTTTGGCCAAACAGAAAAGTGGGGGGCTTGGCACTTGGGAGAGCGATTAATTTTGATTTAAATTTGTCCGCGCAAATTCTCTTCGATTAGAGGTGGTTTTTGGGAGGAAAATGGAGATTTATTGTGTGAAAGGGGGTTAGATACGAGAAGCGTATTTTACACTGATCTCAACTTGCTATTTTGTCATTTTCAATCGATTTTTTATACTTAAAAAAATGTTTTTTGGTGTAAAAATCACAGTAACCTTTACTATTTTTTTCAAAATTATGTCGTTTTTGAAGCAAGTGTGGTCCCACTTTTTCTTTCCTACCGTATACTGTAACATCCAAAAGTCGCAAAACTTTTTTCGTCGTATGTTGCGCAACGTATCTAACATAATTTTCCGAGGTTAATGATCTCTTTGTTCTCGCGATTATCCCACCGATCAATTGCTTTTTCTCGACCCGAAAGGTGTTAATTCTCGCTTTTAATTTTGTCCTTTTGGTCACTCGATCCGATCGGGCAAATGGCGAAAGAAAATCTGGCTTTGAACTTTTTTGATGGGCTGCCGCCGTATTTTAGAGCGGGAAGTGACAGAAAATCAACTGTCGTTTCTTTCTACAAGCCTTTTCCTCAAAATACTATGAGCAAAACTCCATAAAATTACTTTTTTGTCATCAAAAATTTCTTTGATGACTATGTCACAGTAACCCTTAAAATTAAAAATCGATAAAATGGATCTTTTCCAAGACAAACCACTTTATTTGCCTTCCCAGCAAACTAAATTTCGATCAAAAACAGTCCGTTTAGATATGCAAATGGAAGGGTCGATCATTCTTCCAGATTTTGGCGCCTGTTCCGCCGGAAAAATGTTTTTGCTCCCGATTTTTCGCCATCGATTATTTCTTGGACACTGATTTTTTATTTTTCGATTATTTGGCGTGAGAAATTTTTGGATTACTGTAGTAAAAAGTCACAAAATTTTTTATAGGCCCAACATGCTCAAAAATTTAATTTTTTTAGTTGGAGTAATTATCTGGTCATTAATCCCTTTTTATCAGCTCCAAGTCTTGTTCAGACAACAATGATCATGCGCATTTTATTTTTTACGGTTCGAATTCGCTTTCCCTAAACGAAAATTCACTTCCGAGGCTCGTTTTGCGCTTCTTTTGTCTATCACGTTATCTTTGCTCGGTTGAACAAGTTCTTGTTGGAACAAGCAAAAATTTTCTGGATTGGGGGTCATAGAAGGTCAAGTTTGTTTACCAGTTTGGGACAAAATTTGGAAATGGGCGAGGGGGAGCTTTGTGCAATTTCGAAAGGATTAGGAGCATTTTATTGGTCAGATATGCTTATTAGTTGCGAAAAATTCAATTTAAAAGCCAAAAAGAGTCAAAAAACGACTAAAAATGGGGCAAGAATGGACTAAATTGGCATACGCTATCTTCTTCAATCCCAAAAACTTTCGTTTATCTCCAAAATGTGTAACTGGAGGTATGGGGAATTGAACCCCAGCCCTCTCGCATGCTAAGCGAGCGCTCTACCCCTGAGCTATACCCCCACACGCCTAATTCTCTTTCGACTGATCTTTTTTTCTGGATTCTTTTTGATAATCCAAATCCATTGCGTAGAAAGAATAGAGAAAGTTGCGCGTGTCAGGGTCAGTAATCAAAAAGAACAGAGTTGAAAGTGAGATCTCATCGATAAGATGACAAATCTTTTTGAGTCGGGAAGATGCCGCGTATAATTGGCTCTTGAGCTAATTGAGCGACCGGAAATCATGACTTTCTATATTATACTTGGTTTTGCGGTAATTTATGATCCAATATATAGCTTATTAGATCATTTTGTATAATTTATATATTTTTTTATGTTAAAATTTT